GGCTGTCATGAATAAATGATTTCCTCTTTGATTTTTTTTTTTGGTGCACACAGAGGAAGAGCTGACTGACAGGAGTGCAGCACTCCATGAGGAAAATCTGGAGTTGTTTGAATGAGTATACAGATGCATGGCGCTCCATAATTCCCTTTTTCCTTTCTGGGAAGGCTGAGCTCAGTCGTCGTTTCATTACTCCCTGACAGAAGCACAATTTCCCTCTAAATGCATCATGTATTTAATTCCTACTTGACTGGGAGTTTTCTATTTTGCTTCCAGGATTTAGATTCTCCTTAAATCCTTAAAAGTGGCCTTGATTAAACAGAATAGGTTTAATTGACAAAGATTTTGTTTATTAAGTGTTTTGCATCTGCAGTCAGTGGATGCAAAACTCTTTGATTCATGAAGGACATTCAAATTGATTGTGTCATACTTTGTCTGCTTTTTTGGTTTCTAATTTCTCCGATCCGCATCCTTGACTACGACAACATCAGAGGTGGATACTAGCTTCATTTACTTGAGTAACATTTTGGAAAAAAATGCATTTAGAAAAGTGTTTCTTCTGCTTAAAATATGGTATTTTGAAATTATGTTTCTTCATTTTAGTCTTAGAATATAATTTCCACATGATTTAAAAATCTTAAATCTGGTATTACTCACTTACTTTTTACTTTTACTTCAGTAAAAACATGTTGAAGTAGTGCTACTTCTACTTGATTAAAATTGTTGCATTATCTACCCACCTCATGTACATCAGGTGAAACAGACAAGATTATGACAAAAGAAGAATAATCAGGTTTAAAACAAAAAACAGGTAAAACACATGAGCAGAATCTGATAAGCAGCATCTTTAAGACATAAAAAAAAGATCAGACAAAGCAGAAACAAAGCAGGACCAGAGATGTTTTCGCTACCATATGCCAAGTCTTCATCTAACAGCTCTGAGAATCACCTTGTTTGTGCAAAAATACAATTTTCTTTCTGTCAGACTGTTATCTTTTGTATTTTTTTTAGAGATTGAGCTGGAGAAATGGGAACATATTGTTGTTTTGAGACAGGTTGTTGGTACCAGAGGGCCCCATATCCAATTTATTTATTCACTAGTTCTTTGCCAAGTTGTCAGTTATGTGTAGCTACAGACACTGGTTCATTTTGAGCTTATGGACATTATTTTCTTTTCTGAATGATACAGTGCTTTCCGTGAGGATTCGGTTCCCTTGGTCCTTAATTATTTGCTGTGTAACAACAATGGTGATGCAGCTGGTAGCACTGTTGACTTGCAGCGATGTTCCAAACATAAGTGGAGATAAACAATGGATTAATGGATGTTGTACCGCAAAAACAAAATCTTAGCAAGTAATTCTGGCCTAGGTTCTTCTAGAAAGATGAGGCTAACTTACAAGTACCTTTTCAGCAAGATTTAGGAGCTTGTTTTAAGAAAATAATTCTTAAATGTTAATGATAAAGTACTAATTCCATTGAAAGATTATATCACTTTTAACAAGATATTTTCTCGACACCAAAAAAATAAACTTATTGTTAAACATTAAGCGCTTGAGCTGATTTTAGAAGTAGAGACCCAAATGGAAGTATAAAAACATGCAAAATGTTAATTTTGCATAACAGAGCAGCACTGTAAAAAGGAGCTTACACCAGTTTACACACTTCAGTTTTTCACTGAATTCTCCTCTCTTTGTCAGAATTAAACTCCAGTTAGTGTCGCTCTGTCCCTCAGAAAACCAGTAAGGCTTTTGATAAAATGTAGAACAGCTCATGGGATATGAAGGTAGAGAAAGGTGAATTAACAAAAACACATTCATCTGAAAGTCGTCAGGTACCGCTGGACCAGAAAAATGAAGCAAAATATCAAAGAAATCCTTTAAAAGAGCTTCAGAGAGCATGGAGGGAACTATGAAGAGGACTTCAAAAGACTGCAACAAAGTCTGGCTGCTCAAAAAGAAAATGAGGGACCTTCTGCTAGTAGACGTTATTAATCAAAGTCAAGTAACTACATTTCCTCTGAGCAGATTAAAGAAAATTAGTTTTAGTCATTGGTTGATGTGAAGCCTCCTGTGTCAGGCGGATCTTTTCAGAACAATAGAACGTCATTTAGAAAATGAGGCAAAAGATATGAAATGGTGAAATGCTGTGATTCAGTTCACATCTTATTTGATAGTAAACAGTTAACATAATAAACAAAGACCTGCATGAAAGGATGGGAAAATGTGTTAAGACGGTAAAAAAAAAATCAAACGTGATACAGTTCAAACCAGACGTTTACATACAGCGATTTTTTTTTCTCTTTCAGAAATTAAATGAGACCAAACTTTTCTTGATTTAAGCCAGTCAGAAATAACAAAATTATTTATATTTGCTAAATCCCAGAAAACTAAACAAGAACATTTTTTAGAGAATTTTTCTGCAACGTTCTTTGAATTCAGAAGTTTACCTTTATCTGATCAGGATTAGAGAGAACTGTCTTTTAAACTGTATGACTTGAATCAAACCTTTTGGGTTTACAGAAGTTCTGTTCCATTCCTTCTGACAGAACTGGTGGAACCGAGTCAGATCTATATGCGTCTTCAGATCTATCCACAAATTCTCCAGGACTTTGACAGCCGTGTCAAAATATCAATTTTGTCTTTAAGCTACTTTCTAACCATTTTGTCTGAATGTTTATGTTTATTGTCCGTTTGGAAGACCAAAGCTTTAACTTTCTGGCCGATGTCTTTAGATGTTGCGTCAATATTTTTGAAGTGCACCAGTTCCTCCTGCAGAAAAGCAGCCCTGCAACAGGATGCTGCCACCACCGTACTTCAAAGTTAAGACAGTACGACAGTCCCCATTCTTCCTCCAAATGTAACGATGGTCATTAAGTCCGCTTTAGTTTCATTAGACCACAGGTCTAATGTCTGCAAAACTTTGAGATCTTTGTCATTGTAGTCTGGATTTCTTTTCTTTTTTTATAAATAAAGGTTTTTTGGTTGATTTCTTTGATTTTTCATTATGTTAAACAAAAAAGCAGGTGTGACTCCAATTACCTGAACTCTGTTAACCTATCAGACGTTTGTGGAAGGAAACCCAGAAGGTTTGACTCAAGTCAAACAAGAATCCCTGATACTGACCAACTTCTAAATTGGAAGAAAGTTGTTGAAAAATATCTTTAAAAAATGTTCTTACCATATTTTCTGGCATTTAGCAAATATAAATATTTTTTGTAATTCTAACTAATCTGAAATAAAAAGAATTTCAATCTAATTTAACTTCAGACAGTGAGAAAAAAAATGTGTGTGTGACTTTATTTGGTGTAAATATCTGATTTTTACTGTATATTTGGGGATGTGGTGCAGGTTGAGTTGGACAATTCAACTTTAAGGACAAACAAAAACATCAAAAAGCTCTGCTGATTGCCTTGCAGCACATCTAGCAGCTTCTTTAAAATTGTGCACCCATTTCATGCCTCAACGAAGAAAAATTACATATATAGAGAACATATAATAGAGCGTCTGCAAAAGCCATTAAAGAAAACAGGACTCAAATTTGTACCATCAACAAACCCTTTTATTCAATCTGCAGCATGAAGATGAGTTTGGGGAAGAAGTGAGACTCAAGATGAAAAGGATTTTCTAAACACAATTAAACGCAGCGCGCTCCCCTCCATTTTCTACAGGCAGTTCCTTCCTCATGCTGAACTGATGATTGCACTTTCTCTGGGAAATATTAATAGAGTGAAAATTAGACAATGTGCTTTCTCTCTCTTGAAAAACTACATATGCTTGAGGACAGACAATTTAACTGGTCTGGGTTCATAGTGATCAAACAGTGATGAATTGAATTCTGGGTCAGCCAGATTACATCTTTTCATTAAACCCAGTTTCACTGCTGCAAAGCTCCGCTTGTTCAGATTATTGATCTGTCGGAGATCAAGGGGATTCTTCAGAAACGGTTTTTCAATCTGAAGCCAGTTTAGTATCGTTTTGGCATCGACATATGGGGTTCGACATAGAAACGTTGAAAAAATTGCATTAATTTTAATATAGAAGGAAAAAGATCCATAGTTTTAAGTTTCTCTTAAAAAATTAACTTAAAATTATTGTCTGAATAGTGACGTTTGTCGAGCATCTGTGACGTCGGATGAATGCGACGTGGACGCAAGGTCACATTTGAATCGGATACATATTGGATATCCAAGCGGCCTGGGTCGTATTTGAGAAATATCCGACCCGTGTTCTTCAGACTGTCATGAAACGATCAGATTTATTAATTTATAATCTAAACCCCCCACCCCCAAAAAACAGAATTGTGTTACTTTAGGCTACAGTGCAAACACAATCTTAGTCGGAGTTCAATCTTTAGAGATGTTAATCTGCTGTTTCTCATTTAGCACTGCTTTGTGCTGCTTATATATAAGCAGCTTCACTCCAGTTATAGTGTGAGGACAAGTGAAGAAGTTCAAAGTGTATGAATACATTTATAGCATCTATTAAACTTTCTATTCTAGAAGCCTGAGGAGAATCCAAACACAATACATTACACAAATCTGCAACTGAACATGCTCCAGTTTGTCCCCAGTTCCAGTTCAGCTGATTTCATCATCTCGTAGCATCTGTATGTACGACTGAGCAGGCCTGCAAATCAAGGATTTAGAGGATTTGGGATATGTCAGTGAGTGACAACATTTCCACATCGCTCATCAAAGTTAAGACAAAAATCAATAACTTCATAATCTACAGAGGCACTCGTACAGAAAGGGAGATTATTTTTCATCTCCCGTGTCATTTCCACGCCGCTCTCAGCTCACGACGAGCCAAATCAGAGGGAGAAGCTGATGGGCTGGAAAAAATGGCGTGCTTATCTAAGCTGAGAGAGTGGAACAGATGCAGGATGTGGCAGGATGTGTTATCATGAAGCCGAGTGAAAAGATGAGAGGAGAGGAAAGGAATATCTGCTGCCATGTCAGGACCTCTTTGGTTGGCAGAAAAAAAAATAAAATCCAAACAAAAGAGTTGTATAATTCTGCTTTAATAAAATATGAAGCATCATTATTTACGAAAACAAACAGCCTGGGGGACTCTTAGCTGTCGTAACTCAGCCTTGATCTGCCGTCTTCTGATCAACATTGATCAGTTCTCCAAAGATTTTCCAGCAGATTTCTGCTTCCTGTCACAACACAATTACTGGAGGAGGATTTCTTATTCTTTTTAAAGAAGACTCAAGTCCATGTTTGGAGGGGTCGAGTTTCCAGCCAGAGATATACACCAAGCAAAGTCTTCATCTCTCTTCTTGGGTTCTTTGTTGACCTCTCAGAGCGTCTGCTTGCCGAAGCGTCCATTTCAGTCGCTAAAGACGTCTGCGGCGAGATCGCACACGAACGGAACGATGGCGAACAAACACGGTAAGGCCACATCACTCACTATTTGCACGAGAACTGATACTGTACAAAGAGTTGCTGCTTGTGAGAAATCTACAAACGTTGGTGGGGGGTGACAACATGTTCACAAAATAAAGCAACTCATCTTTAAAATGCTATTAAATATTCCCTTTAGATTATTAAAGCTTTCTAAAAGTAATTCTGTACATGATTCTTCTCCATCACTTAAACTTTTCTAAAATTGTTAAAACTAACAAGAATTACTGACAGTAAAATACAAGTACATCTGCGTTTAAAGGTGCAATATGTAACTTTTATATAAAAAAAAGAAGTTTTTTACATATTTATTAAAACCGTCACCATGTTACTGTTATCACAGTTTGCTGTGAGACAAATAATCAGTGAAAAGATCTCTACTGCTCCTGACCAAAAACTTCCAATCAGAGCCAGGAGGAGGATCTTAGCGCTGTCAATCAACCTCATGTGCTTGCTTCTAAGTGTGCTACAGGCACAGAAGCAACTTACAGACAGAGGAAAATTGTTTTTCTGCTGTCATGCCCATTAATCTGAGCATTCATGACAGGTTGTGCCAGCTGGAGTGTAGCAGATAGCAATGGCGAAAGGGAGAGGGGAGGTGAGCAGCGCAAGAATGCACCTTCGGACTCTGGTTGTTTCTGGTTACCACTGGGAGCACTGGCAGAAGGCAGAGGAGCTCAATTTGTTCACAGATTATCTGTCACCACGTAGTGATTGTTTCAACAAATACAAAATTTTTTATATAAACGGTATATAATGCATCTTTAAAACAATCCCTTTATCCGAGGATTGTTTATTTGAATATTTTCAATATTATAATTCAGAAGAAAATCACTTCAAGTCTTTGCATCGTACCAGAATATCGAACCACAGCTGAGTTTGACGTTTTAAGAAACTGAACGAGGGAAGAAGTGTTTTCTTTTTACCCACAGTGTCACTGGAGAGGACCACGATCAGCGGTCCCAGGGACACCCACAGGGGTCTCCGCAGGTCCTCTTCCTGTCCCAGAGGACATGCAGCTCCTTGGCCGTGTGCTGTGGAGACGACAACATGTCCAGGTAGCATTCCTTCTCACATAGCCAGCCGGCGTCCTGCAGACAGATGCCAACTCATTATCTGCAACAGACTCTGGTTATTATGGAGCATGGATTAGTTATGGACACGCGCAACTCCTTATCCTTCGTTGGTGGAGCATAATCTTAAAATCAAATTGCTAATTTCTGAATCCCACATTAGAAAAGTAATATTTTTAAGATTAGAATCTCATTTCTCTAAGCCATTTCTTCACTGCACAAACACAAATCTTACCAAGTACTTTTCTTCTAGTTTCTAGTGCAAATACCTTGGTCACAATAAGAAGTAAACCAATTAATCGCATAAAATCAATGAATCACAATCATTTTGATTTAGAAAACAGTTGTTAAAGAGATGTTCTCCTTTATTATTGTTGAAAAGCCGCCATTTTGAGAAACACTGCAAACATTTGACACCCAGTGCAAAGTAGTTGGTTTGTACTTCCTGCCACTTTTACCTGTTTTCCCTATCTGAGATCAATAATTATTATTTCAAATGCATTTTTTATTACAGAAACTTTATTGTTGATTCTATTTTGCTTAATATTTGATATTTGCATTTTAGTTACTCAAATTAAAGGTGGGATTTTTCTAGATTTCTTAGTGTGAGATCGAGAGGCTGATATAGCAGATTTATTTGTTTTACGGGTTTTTACTTATCTTTACCAGGCGGGTCAATTAAAGAAACTGCGCATTGCTAAGCGACATTAAAACTAAATGCCACAAATAGGTATGTTTGCCCTACACAACTATTTTCCGACTCAAAATATCTGTAAACTAGTTTACGCATGCTAGATTAACAAAAAACAAAGCTTTGTCTCCAACTCAGCTGAAATAAATTTGATTGAAATTGAATTTATTTCAGCTGATAACATAAAAGGTTATTAAATATGACTTCTGCTCCAGTTTTCTTTTCGTAAGAAGAAGGTATCTGTAAAATAATGACTTGCAAACAAATGTATGAATAAAGATCAGTTTTCTTTCATGCAGCTTTGATTTTATGTAACGTGCAAATGCTACTGCTTTCCTCTGGAGGAAACATTATTTGTATGCATTATTCATTTCCCTTCTTGAGTTTTTCTCTCTTAATGTCAAACTCTGACCTTTGTGAATCCACTGGTAATAAAGGTGTACAGTGAACATTGGACACAACAATGTAGAACATCAAAAGCCTGATTAGTTGTTTTGCCGCTCAGAAAAAGTGAATCTCATTTGTTTCACCTGATATTTCTGCGGTCCGACGGCTGCCATCCATATTCCCATGCTTACGTCTTCTCCCTGTAACCAAACAACCCAGGCGGGTCGCTCATTTTTATTGTAATGATTATCTGTCACGGCTGCTAAGCATGACGGCTTATGATGGTGGTTGTAGATAAAAAGAAAGGAAGAGTGAATTTCAGCCAAACTTTTTTAGACTGATCTCAGAAATTTTCTTAAAAAAACATTTCAGGTTTTCAAAACTGTTGAAATCCTGAAATTTTTCATCACATCAGGGTTAACACATTTCAACCCTGAATTTTAAACATAAAAAAATATCTAAAACTAAAAAACTTTTAGACATTTTTTGAGTTTCGAAAGTCTGAAATTTTTTACTTTTGAAAATCAGAAGTTTTCAAGAAAATTGATCTCAAATTTGGGGTTTTGGCAAAAAAAAATAAAAATCTAATCTTTGCAAAACTAAGTTTCAAAAGTAGAAAATATTTTGCCTCTTCATAAATTTTTCAGTTTTTTTCTAGAAAATTTCTGAGATTAAGTTGCAATATTTGGAGTTTTTGCCAAATTTGTTGCTTTGTACATGTGACAGTGCAATGACAATAAAGTTGAATTCTATTCTATTCTATTCTAAATTTTTTCAGCTTTTGGAAAATTTCAACATATATTCAAAAGTGAATTTTCCCTACTTTTTCTAGAAAATTTCTGAGATTAATCTAAATATTTCTTAGTTTTCTAGCAAATTTTTTGACTTTTCAAACACATACATTTCCATGTTTTGTTTTTTTTTTCGCAGAAATGTATTCTTTTTTTTTTCCTATCTCCATCTATAGTTGTAGCTAAGTGATCTCTACCTGATAGGGCTTCAGCTTCTCTGCGTTGCTGGCGAGCCACTGGACCAGGTCACGAGAAACCACGTATCCAGAGCCGCAGGCGAACGCAGGGTAAGCCGGGCTGGCGTACTCCAGTTCCTGCCACTTCCCTATCCGATCCACGGCCCAGCTCTGCCTGAAACTGGGTCGGGAGGTAATATACAGTCAAAGGCAGAACCGAGGAAAGAAAAAAAAAAGACATCATCATCAGGATCCAACACCGAGCTGTCCTTACTTCCCCCACCAGAAGTTTCTGCGCTTCAGACCCTTGTGGTCAATTTTCATTAACACCGAGTCCACGTCGATGTAACAATCATCATCCGTCTTCAGCAGCAGATTAAAGTCAGCGTTTCCCACGGACCTGTCAGAAAAGGGAATTTGCAACTTTAATTAAAAAAAAAAAAGCACCTGATTGTTTGCAATATATCAGAGCAGATTTATTCTCAAAAACCACAGAGAGAGAGAAGAGAGAAGAAGTCTGTAGATAACCTTAGAAGAGCACACACTCCTGGTAAAATGCCTGAGAAAATGAGACCATGACAAAATTTCCAATATAGTTTTGTGCAATAAAGCCCACACAACTCGATCAAAAAAAAAAAAAAATAGGTAGGGAGATATTTTATTACTCCCCTGAGGAAAATCATTGCCACGACAGCAACAGTGAAGCCATTTAAAACAAAACCGACAGAAAACATGTAACATGGTGCATTAGTAACATGAGGACGTTTCCATCAATTATCTATACATGGTACAGTATATGATGATGTATAGAGCTGAATAAATGAGTGAATGGAAGATCCAGATATGATTGTTGGTAGGAGGGTTTAATGGCTGCTAGCAGGGATCAGAAATTAAGAGAAAAATAATAAAAATGTTGCATAACCTGCTGCAGATTTAGTACTTCATGGCATCAAGTAGAGCCAATCTGATTAATCTAAAATAAGGCTGTAGCACTGTTACTTCGCAGAGTATCTGCAGGCAAGATGTCTTCACATTGTGAACTTTTCCATGCTGAGGAATCAGAAGATACTTAAACAACCTTTCAGTTTAAGGCTGTTGCAGATTTTTGGATTTAGTTAACCTGCCGGAGATTATTTATTGTTCTCTATTATATTGGATCTCAAAAACAGGAATGTGTACACTTTCTAGACCCACTGCAGCTGTCAATTTAAAGCCTGATACCACTCAGGGAATACAATCTGCTATCTGATGACTCACAACGGTGAAGCTTCTCCGACTGACTGATTGCAGCCGTAATTTTAGCACAAAGACGTTTTGAGGCGACGGCACGCTTTCATTTCAGGTTGCTGATTTCCTCTGAGGGCTCAGGCAATTTGGAGACAGAGAATCGAGTCATTAGCACTTGGCATACCATTTATAGAACTGAAGCAACTTGGAAGGCACGTTCCTGTAGGTGTCCACCACGTCTACGAATACCAAATCGCCATGCCTGAGGCTTTCCTCCTGCAGAGTGGCGTCCTCCCGCCTCAAACCGGAGGCGTGCTTCTCCATCCTGGCAGCGCGGCCTCGCAGGAGCCCGGACAATCCGTCTTCATCTGATACCCAGGTATCAACATGGAGCAAAACGATAGAAAAAGATAAGAGTTTTTAGATGCTGCTAGATTTTCAACAAAAGAGAATTCTTGAGAGATGATAGCTAATTACTGGCTGTCAAATCAATGATAAAGCTGCAACTTGCTACAAAATGGATCATTAAGAGACGCTGAATGATTAATTAAAATTTTTCCACACAAAATGGCTATGAATTCATTCTAAGACAGAAACAGATGTAAACACGTATGAGTCACAATCAATAATCCAACAACAACAACAGGTGTCCATTTGGCATAAGTGCAGGAGCTTTCAGGTATCTCTCAACCTGCCAGAATGAGCAATGCCTTTTGGAGCTTTTAGATTGGGATTATTTTTTTTATAACAGATGGCTCTTGAAGGGATATTGATTGAACACTTTTCATAAAAAGTGCAGCTGAATCAACGCCGTCGCAAGACTAACCGTAGATAGTAAACGTGAATCCTCCAGCCAAACCAGGAAATCCAAGAGCACTTCTGTGAGGCAAGACGCCTTCTGCAATCTGCATTTCCAAAGAGCAAAACAACGGTTTTACACTCTGAAATATGTGAATATTACTCCCGGTGCGGCTTTCTTTGAGACGTAAATACTTACAGAGGAAATCTTGAGGATGCCGCCGCCATCATTGAGCTCCACGGACGAAGAGTTGACAGTGGTGAGCAGAGCAGAGTCCTGACTCTCCCAAACCAGCGTCCCCTCAAAACCCTAAACAAAAAAAAGAAGCGGTTACATGTTTTACAGTCATCTGAAGTCATCTCGGTGGTTTCCTGGCAGCCAACAATTGCCTCTAATAAGCTAAAATACCTCTCTTATGGAAGTTGGTCCACATTGTCATTCAGGTGCATGACGATATTCAGATTTTACACTGGTTTAAATAAATCAAATGATTGAATTTTTACACATTTTGTCATGTGGTTGTATGCACCACTAACTTATTTTCTTCTTTTCTCTTACATTATTCTATTTTGAACTTTAAATTTTGTCGTCTTTCTCTGGAAAACAGATTTCTAAAAGTTCATTTATCAAGATGCACAAGTCTACTTTTCTTTTACTCTTAAGTATTAAAATTGGCTTTACTTTATTGTGGATATATATCCTGTAAAATTTGCTTTCTTGGGTATCAATAAAAATAAAACAAAAATAAAAGACTCTGGTTTTGTTTGCCTGCTGTGTGGATGTTTCTGTCGTCTCTAGAAATGCAAAGCGGGCGGAGGATTACCCCAAAATGACATGAAGTTATAACTGCAGCAAGAAATAGTCCTGCAAAGTAGTTACTCAACCGGATGAAGAACTTTTCATATTTTTATTCGCACTACTTTGTGTTGGTCTAGCAATGCATAAAATATCACAAACTTGTGCTTTTTAAAAGTCAAAACCTTTGTTATCTAGTATGATTCAGATGTTTTCTAAACAAACTGCATTAAAGGTTAATGTAAAACCAAGATACTCCATTCTTGAGATTTCACAGCCATGTGAAAAAAAGTGATATTCTCAATGAGGAATGAGTAAAGCAAGACATTTAAAATGTTACATCATGCAGAGCAGCACTGCTTCAAACTTTAAATAAAAACAGGAGCAGACTTAAAAGTTTTATCATAATATTTAGTGATAATAATGAAAAGTGACAGTAAGAACTATTTATTGCTTTTTTAGGTAACTTTATGGCTGTTCTTGAAATACACATAAAGAATGAATTCATTCACTAAAATGCTCAAAGTAACATTTTTAAATTTATTATGTATTAATACACATATTGAAAAAAACGGTGGAAAAATAGCATATAATCCTGACAACATGTAGTTTTTAGACATTAATTAGAGTTTATTGTGACAACAATAAATTAAAATCTTATCATGATTAGGAATTTATGACAATAAAAGCCTGATTAAGAGGTCATTTTTGTTCATATTAAATATACAGATATTAGGATTTAAAATGAAATTTTGATAAAAAAAAAAAGAAAAAGGAATGAACTATTTGTAAAAAAACAATCCATGTTTTTTTCTATTCAAGCCTGAAGGTTTTCTTCCCCAGTTTGGCTGAAGCGCGACACCCTGAGTGGAGAAACTGACCTTGGGCAAGATGAACTGCTCCACTGGTTTGTACCACACCCAGTTCACCATGGTCCCCATGCTGATGGAGCTGAAGCGGGCTGTAATGACAGCCTCCTGCAGAGAGAAAACAAAAACTAGAATTATTTAAAAAATGAAGAGCGATCCACAATAAAACACGAAAGCATCAGTTTTTAAAAGTGAGGTCAGCAGAGTCCTCCAGCTGCCCCCAAGCTCAGTTTCTACTGAGCTTCACAGATAAAAGCGCTCCATCACCTCCTGGTCCAGCTGCAGAAGCTTCACCGTCACGTTGCCGTGCAGCTCAGGCCGCGTCCCACTGGAAAACACCCCGAGCTGGGTGATCACCACCGGGTGCAGGACTTTAAAGTCCAGAGCGATGGCCGACACGTCGGAGGAGACGAGCAGCGAGGGGTCGGCCACCGTCACGATTTCCATCTCTGCATCCTGACCCAACACTGTGTCACACGTGGTCAGGAAAACATAGTTAATATTTATTACTAACATGCACAGAGTATTTTTTCCTGTGATAAACCCTCAGCGCCTTTAAAGGAAGAAAAAAAAACTCTTTAAAGCAACACTAGCATCTCTCTTAGGAGCTGGTTTTCTGGATTGCTCGCTTCAAAGTGAGCTCCTGCTCACCAGCGTGGCTTCTTAATTACAAAAAGAGAAGTTTACTATTCGGGAGATCAATGGAAAGATCAAGGCTGTTAAAGAGAAGCAGGGTTTTCACTTTAGATGCAATCTGCACCAGTTTCACTGCTCCATCCAAAATAAAGGCAATTAGAGGTGAGGAATCACATGGAGCGAGCAGCGGTTTATCAAACCAAATGTTTTTCTCCCTGACAGAGTGGAATTGAACTGCAGCATCTGAAGATGTAGGTGATGTTTCTGTGCTGATTAAATACAAAAGCTTAGCCAGTGCAAGCTTTTCAAAACAAATGGAGCTCCTGCTTGCAAAGCCCTGTTTGTGATTTGTAGATTGGCTATAACATTAGTAATAAAGCTTAATTATCATTTGCAGTAATTTTATTTAAATTAGATTTGGCAACTAGATACTTCTGGATCTATTTTTGTTTCGAAGCAATTCAGCTGGAGCATTATTCGTCTCCTGTAGAGTTATTAGCATTAGCCCACTGCGTATTTAACATTAGCTGTGATGGTTTGTTTAGAAAAATGAGTGTAAGTTACTTTGTTCATATATTTGAAGGCTTTCCAAACTATTACTGCAGTTTGAAAAATAGCAAATGTGTAAAAAAGTAAAGATATTCTTTTTCCTCCTATTACTCTACAATGATAATTAACAATCACTTCAATTCTGTACTATAAGTTGAACTGACTTCTTGCAAATCTCTCAAGTTTGTTGGGACGATGCTTGTTGAGAATCTGTGCAGTAAAAATCAGCAAAATGAATGTTTATTGATGTGACATGTTGATTCGTGTCATCTGAGCCAACAGAGCCACAGCAGCAAAAGCAACAAATGCTAAGTTCACTCAACATCCACCTGGTGTGACAAGAGGAGAGAGCCTGTGCACAGTCATCCTGAATTAAACGGTGGTGACAGAGGGGAAATGCATGAAGTGTGTGTTACACAATAGGCAGACTTTCACATAGTAATCCTGCTTTTCTATCTCACAGAACTTCAATGATCAAATCTGCGTAAAGCATTTGTACGCGTATAAATACAGCTCTGGAAATAATGAAGAGCCCATTGCACTGAAAAAGTCCAGGTTATTCCACCAAATATTGATTTCTGAGTTAAAATATTAGTACTGTTGTTTCTAAATGAATATGAACTTGTTTCCTTTGCATCCTCTGCAGAAAGAACTGCATTTTTTTCAGAATTTTTAACATTTTTTATTTTCTGCAGATAAATACAAAATCTTTGCTTGGAAATTCATAGACATGTTGTCAGTAGTTCATAGAATAAAACAACAATTCACATTTTACTCAAACATATCCTATAAAAAGTAAAATCAGAGAAACAGATCATTTTAAGTGGTCTCATAAACTTTTAAATTAAAAACATAAAACAGTAAAGAACTATAAACCACACACAACCAAAACCATAAAAAATGGATTAGCAAGAATCTGTAGACAAAATAGTTAATTTTAAGTAATGCCCCCCCCAGCCCTCCTTTAAAATTTCCATGCTTTATTTGTTCTTGTTAGTCTTGTTTTTTTTTCTAACACTGCCAAATTTTATATCTGTTGCTGCTGTTGAACTTGAATTTCCCCTTTGCGCAGCAATAAATGCCTTTTCTATTCTATTCTTTTTCCATTCTTTCCAAACCCGGAAAAAATCCTAAATGTCATGTTTTTCCAAACTGCAGAGTATAGGATTCGTTCTGAAAATGATTAGCATTATTAAGCATTTCTCATTGATACATTCAGGTATGGAACAGGTTTCTTTTCAAAGAAACCATCAGAAACCAAGAAAACTGCTTCACCTCACTATAAAAATATTTTCTATCAATATTAAGCAATTATAATACAGCATTTTGTTCTTTTGCTATATAACTTGAAAGCCTGGAAGGTCATAGTAATTATTTACCCGAGCTGAATATCAGGAGAAGCTGCGTGCAAAGTACAAGCTCATTTCAAAAAAACTAGAGCAAAGTTTTAAGGGGCTAATTAACATTCACCTCATTGTAGTCTCTGAGACAAATGCAGCACAAACACGTTTCAGCAACAAATTAACTTGTGCTTTGACCTGAATCCAGAGTCCAGCGGCTAACTGTCTTTAAAAGCAGCCGCTGTCTCTCTTTTCTCTTCCAATTACACTGAGCGCCTCACATTGAAGCAGCCTGCGATTCGGAGGCAAATCACGTCAATGCGTGTGGCCATTAACACGGCAGCGGTGAGTGAGGGAAAATAAAACGCTGCTCTGACCTTAAAGGCTGTCGTCTGAAAAAAAAGTCCATTCTGATGAGCAGTAATTATGTTTCGTGCCGAGCAGAAAACACGGAGCTGGACCGACTCTGTGAAGGTGAGAGACGGTAACTATCACTGCAGATGTCCAATCTGACAATTGATTCTGTCCAATTACAGCATATTTGGTGCATCTAAGCAAGGCTGGAGGGATAACCTTGATAAAAAAAAAAATAATAATAAAACACCACTGATTTACTGGATCAGCGTACCATAACATTTTTAAGCATATTTATTTTTTAGTGCATGTGATATTTCACTTAAGTGAACTGCTTTTTTCCAGGTTTATTAAAAATGCCCTTGCAAATAACCTCTAATTTGATGAAGGTGGCGTCCAAATACCCAAATGTGACCAATATATCAATTTGGTAGGCATTAGTTGTTAAGTTAAAAAAGTTTCTAATATATGAATTTACTAATTTAGAGGCTTTGAAATGATCAAGAACTACTAGAAAAAGTACTTTATATAGTGTTTATTAATATGGTAAACCTTGAGAGTGGACTTGTGTTTTTTATTCAGTTAATGAGAGAATATCTGGATCTTTGAATGTATAAAACATCAGAGCCATTTAATGGTATTATGTCCAAAATAATACCATGTTGACATTTTTGAATCTAAAGAATGCAATTCCAACAAATTGAACTCACGCTCCCTTCTATTAATCGCATAATAAATTAAAATTATTCTCATAATCTGCATGTTTTATCATGTTCTCTTTTCTGTCTGTCTACCAAAAAGTAACTAACCGATAATGTTTGTTTAACACATCGACATATGTGACTATGTTGGAGGTAGTGTGTAGATAAAATCAAAATATTTACTTAAATCTGTGGCAGTGGAGTTTAACATAGTATCTTTGTTTCTTTTGCTTAATTAAATCAGTAGAGATTAGATATTATTAGTAATCTATGTTTAGTGTGATTAATAATAAAGGCTGCTGGTGTCAAGTCAGTTCTCGTTGATTATTTTGAATGTTTAAAGTGTTTATTTTAGATTTACCTCTGAATAAATACAACAAAAATATTTAGAAATTATCTTACTTATTTTTACAAGACAAATTCAGCTCAATAACATCTAAAGAGTTTATTGTTCAGACAAACTTTGAGGTGATAAAGTGTGAGATTATTAAGTTTATGAACCTTGAAGTAATTTATTGTAGATAAATAAAAAAATGTCAAACAGAAAATTTTAATTATTCTTATAATCTACGGTATTAATTGTAGTAGTTAAAATGTTCTCATCTCTAATATTTATTGGCTGTTCCAGGTTTTGGAAGGTGATTTGTCTATTATGCAGGTGAAGTGCAGTAGCTTTTTGTGGGCCAGCTGAGCAGCAGTGCACAGCAGTAGGTTGAGGAGGGGCGATGTTTTATTAGTCAAAGCCTAGCTACATTTTATAAGCTCCACTTCTCATGTTAGTGAGCCGTTTCTTGTTTCATCTGCAGCAGACTTAGTCAGTCATTTCTGCAAAAGCCTTGGATGGAGAAAAGAAAGTTGTCCTTGAGCTGTGGGTGAGCATGAATGACGCTTTTTCACCTCTTTTTTTTCTGAATACTCATTCTTTTCATTCTCCCAACTCCTCGGCCGCCGTTTTGACAGCACGCTGCAGGCAGAGGAGCGTACCCTGGCATTGCAGTCCACGGACCTTGACCTTTCACTCTCACCTGGCTCGCTGAAGTTCAGGAGGGAGCAAGAGTACGGGTCCTCCCTGTCCTCGTCCGGGATGGGACACCCATGTCGACCCACGATGAACTTCACCGCCACTCTGGAAGAACGAGAAGAAACACAGCAGCACAATTTATTATTATTATTCACTTTATTTGGTGTTTCATCCAAATACAAACATCTCAAAAGCCTGTCCATCTCTCTCTCTCTCCCTCCACCCTCCGTTACCATGGTTACCGGAGGTAGCTTAAAGGCCATCCACACCTTATCGGTGCCCAGATCGCCGAACGAGAAGAATGAAAAGAGAGAACAACATTGGCCACTGGTCAGGCGGAGATAAAAGGATGGATTCCACAGTCAGGCATCTGTTGCCGGCTGGAGGCTTTATTTCCACTATACGAGTTCAGAGTGAAAGTATAAAAAAAAAAAACAAAGAGAAAGAGAGAGAGGGCGATGAAGTTGGAGCGTCGGCTCACAAACCTGTGCTGGAAGTGCGGGTGATCTGTAATGTAGCCCAGCCACGTGTCTCTTATCGCTTGCCGGAGGTCATGATGGTGCCTGGCGGACAGAACTCCCACCAAAACGTCAAAGAAAGGCAAGCGCTCTTCTGCATTCAAAATGTAGATGTTTACAGGTTGTGTTTGAAGTTTAAGCAAAGTGATTAATACCATTCGTTCATTCATTTCTATTGATCATAATGCATCGTCCATCAGCCAAACATCAATTACATAAATGCATCAGCAGGAGGATATTTTGAAAAATCCTTCATTTTCTATCTTTGATAGAAGCGACTGCCTCTATTAAAGATCCTGCAGAGTGTATTCTCTCTTTTGTCAGCTGTACACCTTAGAAAAAAATTTATAACCCAACATATCAGAATCCTCAGCTCAGATCTCAGAGAATGCCATGAAATCTGTATTTTAGTTTCCAGTTTTCACAAAATTCAGCTGAACAGTCACTTCTTTTTTGTTGCAACCTGATCTGGCTACTGAACTGGGTAGAAAAATGTAATAACATTAAATACAAATGACATGACGGCTAACTCAACACAAATAATTAAAACAAAACAAAATAAAATAAAACAAAACATGATTTGGCAACCTGGCTTGATTAAAATAAATGTGACAGGAACTGGAATGTAAAAATAACAAACAATGATACAGAGAAATAAAAAAATGTATAAGTATCAAGCAGGGTAATATGAAAGCTTAGTCTTATCATTGCCAATTTAAACATTTTTGCAAAATACAGATACATTTTTAAGACATGCTTTGCTAAAAACATTTACATTTGATACATTTTTAATGTGTCATATCCTCAAACTTAAACTTAGTGTTCGTTAATAACTTAGGTTTTTATATACGACAGTCACCAAATGTATTAATGGCACATTTTCATGTCTAAATAAAAATAATTAAATATCAAAATTAATTACCTTTCCTACAATAGTAAAGGCATCTCTATAAACAAATAATAGGATAAGAGCACAATACAGCCAAAACAAAGCAAAAATGATTAGAAAGCCAAAATATAAATATTTATATAAGCAGGCAGAAATAACAGAGATTTATGTTTTTGTTCTGATAATTGGTTTGTTCAATTATATTAAATAAATTCATTCATCATCCATCAAGAGCTGCTTCATTTATACTCAAGTGGCAAAGAAGGTTCCTCATGATTCTATAAATGGTAATCCGTGTAAAAACAGCATAAAGAACCAGATTACACACAATCCAGGGTCTAAAGTGAGTCCTTATCTACAGTCTGGGGATAAAAGGCTGAGATGCTGCGCTCCCTGACTATCCCAGCAACGCCCAGCACTACTGAACTGGAATATCCACATAATTTATCCAGAAAACGCACAGAATAACACACAGCTCAGCCATTAACTACCTGCTCACACACAAACTGAATAACACATTGGGCGGTAAGAGGCAAAGTTAGCCAGCTGCTACCACGTAAAAAAGTTCCCAAGCTTCGAGGAGGTAAAGCCCAGATAGGGAGGCTAAAAATTAAAAGTACCCGAGCATGTGCTGTTCTCCAGCGGGGTGAAGAAGAAGCAGAAGGAGGGTCGTTGTGCCAACCACAAGTGCACCAGAACGGCGACAGCACAGGGCAGCAGGAAGAGCGCTAGCCTCCGCATGGACGGAGCCCTTCATTCAGCCGCAGCAGGCTTGAGCTGGAGCGGAGTGGAGCCTCTTCCTGAGCCGCACGGCGCTGCGTGGTGTGAGCCACTCCGTGTGTGCGCTTCATTTCAGCTCCGCAGAACTCCGCCGGGCTCCCAGCACTACCTCTCGTCCTGCCTCCGCTGCTCAGGGAGCCGGACCAATGGGAGGCGGCGAATTCTGCCGCGGTGCATTCTGGGAAGTGAAGTTGGAGCTTATAGCGAGGAAGCTAGTCAAAGAAATAAATAAAATAAAATAAAATGTTATATTGAATAAAATTTAAAAAAATTATTAACGTAATAAATCACCAATTTACGTCAGAATACAAAGGACATTGTAAACAGAAAAAAAGTTAATTTCCGCCAAAAATTCACAGAAATTCTTAGATTAATCTCAGAAATTTTCCCACAAAACTTGGAAATTTAACCATTTCAAATGTCAAAACTTAGCTAGAATTTTTTTGATTAATTTCAGATATTTTCAAGAAAAAACATTTGATTTTTCAAATTAATTGTTTTAAAAAATAATTTCTCAAATTAATCTCATAATCTGGAAGACTAGCCATCTGAAAAAAATACAATTTTAGAACTGTACAAAATAAAAGGTGAACATAAACAATCTTGAGCATTTTCTTCATCAGTTTATGACTCAAAGGAGTGTCTTCAGTCAAAGGCTTCTTCAAATGCTTCCTGACATTCATCTGTCCAAGTAATCTTTACCTCTGACCTCTTATTAGCAGGTATCCCAATCAACAGAGAGTTCAAAGGGCGCGCCATTTTGGCAAAACCAGGGACAAACTTCCTATGATACCCAGCCAGGCCCAGGAAAACTCTTATCTGGCAAATGGTATTTGGAACAGGATAATTTTTAACAGCACAAATTTTTTCAGGGTCAGCTCTCACCCAATTCTTGTCCACAAGGTGGCCAAGAAATTTTACCTGAGACTGAAACAACTTGCATTTGTCCAATCTGAGTTTCAGACCATGCTGCCAAAGACTCTGGAAAACAGTTTCGAGGTGTTGCAAATGGGAGGAAAAGTCTGGTAAGTATATAATGATGTCATCCAAATAGACCAAGGCAGAATCTGTAAGTTGGCCTCTTTAACATTGTTGCATTAAATGCTGAAATGTGGCAGGAGCATTACAGAGCCCAAATGGCATGCATTCAAACTCAAAAAGGCCAAGTGTTGTGGTAAATGCAGTCTTCTCTTGGTTTTTAGGGTCCATCTCCACCTGCCTGTAGCTGCTGGCCAAGTCCAGCGTTGAAAACCATTCCGTCTTTGTTAAAGATGTCAAGGTCTCTTCGATCCTGTGTGTATGCTATGCTGGACCAAGTCTGTTCGGCCAATATCTTCTTCATCCACAGAAAACACCTTTTTCCACCTCTGCAGGAAGGCCTGGAGCTCCCCCTTCTGCTGTGGGGTTAAATCTACAGAAGTTAGGAGTTTGTTCACCTCTTCACAGCTGTTGGGTTCTTCCATCCCCACAACCTCTGTGGGGATGGAACCCTAACCCTAACCCTAACCCTGTTACACCAACTTCAACCACCCCATCAGATCCCATAGTTAAACTAAGGTCGCCGGTACCCTGGATTTCAGTCTCCTCCACTTGATACAGTCGGCCTAACTTCTCGTAGCGTCCTATTTTTATTGGATATGGTTGACGGTTACAGACTTGTGTCCTGCTCACAGCGCCAAAATTATGTGAGGCCAAAATGGCCCACACTCCGTCTCCAACACAAGGGGGAGCAAACAACTCAAAAAACCCAAACAGCGGAACAGTCAGGTGCAAGGTATTTTAATACAAAAAGTCACAAGTAGTGGCACAATGAAAACCGTTCTCTATAAAATCCAGTGTTCAATAAAAATCACCAGTTGAAGGCCACAGGTTGGGCTCCGCTTATTATCCTGTTCGCAGCGCACACTCTTGCTTGTCCACAGCCGATGGCCAATTAGCACGCCCTGCCTCCCGAGACATACACCTTCAGTCCAGGGTGTTTGGATTGTCAAAGGGGAAAAGGAAAAAGAAAAGCAACAAACCCCAAAACAATCTATACATGCAAAGCAAACAAAAAGGCAACAATAATTAACCATAAAAGAAAATCATTTTCCCCTGTACAACACAAGTCATAAATCATTTAAGCAGAATCATCTATGCATGTAGATGGATGCATGAAGAGGATTTCCTCTGACTCTGAAAGCATTAGTGTTTTTCATATAGAGGAAGGGTGGCTGCAGCTTTAAGAAGGCTTTGCTGCTGCAGATTTTATTTGTATTGATTTCTATAAAATTCGGTGTTACATAAATGGTAGATTAAAAAAAAACGTAACACCTTTTCTACTGATGAATAACAAAGTAATAGGGTAAAATCAATGAGAAACTGCTTCAAAATAATATACGGTGGTTGCTAGTAAATTAAAATGACTTTAAGTTTCTTCTATACACTTCCTTAGTTTACACACACAATTATTTTTCCAAAAAAGATTGTTTTTCTCAGAGTAACTCTTTGCTTTATTAGCAATTTAAACATTTATTGACATCCCTGGTGAAGATGTGTTGTTATTTTCTCCCTTGCTGTTGATAAGAAAATATTTTGAGTTTAATTTTGCATCAGACATAAAGTCAGTCTATCCCTTACTGTTCTCTCAAAAAGCAGGTGAAGTTCCTCCACTCTGGTGGTGCCACCAAATTTTATTCAATCCCTCTGCGTCACCTGCACATCAAAGAAAATGTAATAATTGATTTTTTCTTTGAATGTATGATGGATAACATTATTGTAGTTTAGAAAGCATTCTTAAAGCTTGATGTTTGCAGGGGGTTTGTGTCACAGCATGCAATATTAGATTTTTGGTTTTTCCACTATGTTTCCAAGGTACAAGAGGTGAAAACATATATATTCTCTTTTAGTGCATACATCCAGTATCGGGCAGCATCAGAAAGCAAATCAATAAGAGTGTCCTCTGTGTACCTGCTGTGTATCTGCTGCTGCACCTCAAACTGCTGGAGGCTTTTAGTGATGACCTACGAGGTGACCAACATAGGCAGTTGCCCAAGGCAGCTTTAATCAGTGGGGTGAGGGCTGCAAATGTTGCATGCATAAAAGAAAACAAAACAGAACAGAAAATGTTGCAAATATGTTTTAGGAGAAACATGTACTTCATTCTCAAAATTTCAAATTCATTTTATGTTTACTTAACCCTTTTAGAACTAATTTTCAAATTTCTGCTTATTTTAATTGTACAAAGTTCTTTAAATGTACTGTGAGTAAATATATTTGCCCATTTATCCAAAAACATCTGGAACTTTCAATATCTAGCAAGTCATTTCTGTAATTTGAGTGCCCCTCATATTAATTTCACTCCCTGCTTCGGCAGGGTGAAATTACCATAATATCCCAATATTGGCTGGAAAGAGCAATGTCTCCTCTTTTGGAAACTGTTGGAATTTTTCAGATAGTGCAAAGTGTGGCGGTATTACGGTACTGCACATTTTCCTGTGTCATCACCAATCCTTTTGGTTTAGAGGGGTTGAAAGGGCAGTATTATATATTTTCTAGGTACAAAATGTCATTTCATAGCACAATCTAGTAACTATGTTACCTTCAGTTGTAAAAATTCTATATATTCCAAATATGACTTAAAAACAATGTTCACTTTGAAATTTAGCGCTTTGAAATTTGGCCTCTGCCTCTTTAAAACGACCACTCTTTCTGAAACACTACTTTCAGGAAGTCATCCCAATGTCACTCCACTATTAACTCTTTAACAGGGTTTTTCCCAGCGTTGCACAGTCATGTGGCTCATTCAATGAGCTCAACTCATGCACAGTTCAACCAGGTGTTTGCTAATTGCTGCTGGCTAGTCTGAAGGAGCTGAGTGGCGGGGACATGGGGGATGCATGCTCTATGAAGTGGAAGTTTGGAAACTGCAGCTCTGAAGAGGAGCTGCACCTTGAAAATGGGGCTTGGTCCACCCAGGCATTTGCAAAGCTGAGATCAAAGAATTTCTCAAACATGCTAAACACAATCAAAGCAACACTCCAGGTGTGGTTTTCAATGAGCCAATGATATTATTAGATGATGCAAAGCTTAAAAAAGTCAATTTCACGTAATACGGTTCCTGATCAGATTAAAAAAATATTCATTCTGAATCTTTCTGGACATTTTTACAACAATTGGTAAGGATGTTACTTAGATCGGAAACAGAGATTTTATTTAAAATAAAGAAAAAAGAATGAAAAGAAGAGAAACCAATATTTGTTAAAAGTTGATCTGAATATGCAAATTAATAATGGAAGTTTTGTAAATTTTCAATGTGGGATTATTTCACTTCAACAACAAAGGCTTTTTAGTGATTTTTTTTATCCTTGCAGCTTCGGTACAGTGATTTATTTCCTTTTTTCCAGATGAAGATAAAGGTTTGTTTCACCCCTCTTTACTGTGGCATCCAACCTTTGTCCCTTATGTCTTTTATTTTCGCTTCACATTTCGTTCATAAACTGCACCATATGCATGCACGAACATCTCATCACTGTTTCAGCTTGTGTGAGTATCTGCATGTGTTTTCTCCCTTTTCTCCTTGACTCTGCAGCGCTCCAAGCATCCAGGATTCACTGTTTTCTCTATAAATTTCTCTTTATTCATTCCAGTCCCAGCTGAGACTCATGTTCCCCATAATATCAAGTCTATTTTTTGAATTTCACATTTATTTTTGGCACCACACAGGATATATATTTCTCCCTGTTTCAGAAAACCAGCCATCTGGGGACACAATTGACTGCAAGGAAAAACTCAGACAACATTGCACTTTGAGGTGAATTAGTCATCTGAATTTCATATTTCTTAGTATTTTTACTTCAGTCTGGATTATCCATCAACAAACATTACTATTGGTTTGAAAAAACAGCACCAAAATTCCCTTTCATCATGACTGTGTGGGTGTGGATTGATCAGATATTACTAGCAGTGAGCAGCTGCACACAGAACACAGTGTATTCATTCAGGACCTCATCATTCATTGTCAGGCACTGACAGAGAAAATGTATTTCTGCTGCCTTTGATTTAAAAGAAATATATGGATGACACTCTGCAGCACAGCCAGTCCCAAGGCTTCACAATCCTCCTTCAAAGCTGCTCATGTTTTTATCCACAGCTTGATCCGTTCAGATTAGAGGAGAGAAATCGATGAGAGATGCCAGGATTTGCATCATCATGCAAAAACCCTCCCATGCAATTATTTGTTTTCATCAAGGGTAATTTGCTGCAGCATCCCGGTTCTTTTTTAAAAATGTTTTTCTGTGATGCACAGGTGCATCTCAATGAGAAAGAGAGAGTACAGTGGAGGTTTATTTATTCGAGTAACTCAGTTTAACGGCACAAAAATAATGTAGTAGAGCCACTGTAAGAACATAGAGAAATTAAAAAGAGGAGTAAATTTCTGGCAAAAAAACTCAGAAATGTTTAGGTTAATCAAAAATGTGAATAGACAAAAAATAAAGACATTTTTGAGTTTGGAAAGTTAAATATTTTCTTGAAAAAAAATGCTGAAAATTTGAGATAAATATCAGAGATGTTCAAGGAAAATTGACTTTGTGTGAAAGTTGTTCATTGAGTCCATTTTATTTTATTGTTTTATTTTATCTTTTAACAAACCGTCCTTGTTTTTAAGTTGGACAAACGTACACAAATTACGTTTTGTTTGTTCTTGAGACAGTTTTCCACAGGGTGACATGTCTGTATAAAAATCCCTAGTGATGGGAAAGCACCATTATCCCTCATGCTTTCCCAAATTTTTTTCTACCACCTAACTTTACCCTAAAATGTTATCATGCAGTGATCAATGAACGGTCGGCTATGTTGGCGGTGAACTAACACTCCTTGAGGAGGTTATCAACTTATTAGAGATGTGAGTAATAACAGGAACCAGTAATTAGAATAATGAATAAGAAAATGACAAAACAAAAAGCGAAAAATAAAGCAAAACAAAATAAAATAAAAAAGCCAACAACAAATATATCCAAACCAAGGAAGGTTGATAAAAATTTAAATAAATTAATTAACAGAAAAGAACATAATTATAAAAATTAACAAAATTGGAAGTTTAGCACTTTGTGCAATGAATTCAGATGACAATGTTTTGACTTTGTAAAGTGAATATCTTTAAAAAAAAAAAAAAAAGCTTTTTGAGGAGGATCAAAAAAGGTATAATATGAAAAAAAAAGTAATAGAAGGAGCTTATTCTAGTCAAAGCTGAGGCTGTGAATGAATGGGCACAAAAAGAACCGCCACAAAAGAAACATACAATAATAAAAAAAGGGTATTATTGTATCTATACTTCATGCAAATAAAGGCTCTGCATGCATTGTCTTCTCTGTGTGCTTTTTGCTGGGAAACTAACTGAGGTTGAAATGAGTCATATATATTTTTTTAAAAGTGTCACAACAGATGTAGAGCATCCAGATGGCCGGTGGCTCTGCTCAGCCACAGGAGGTCTCCACTGCACAACAGCAGCAGCATGTTTCCTCTGTGAGACTCAACCATTTGGCCTTTAATGCTCCCAGTGTGATCAGACACTGTCTGGAAACCTCAAAGAGGCGAGACATGAAGCGGAGAGACACAAATGGGTTACCGTTTTCCTTTAATTCATTTGATTCTTCAAAGGGTTTACAAAGCCTTCTATTTAAATGCTTTTCCTCCATATTACCATTCATACAGCTGCTTGTTTCATTGACACATCCAGGCTCCAGTGTGATCATACTGTGCAGAGTACAACGCCAGCCGCATTTATTGGCACCGCTGGTAAAGATGCTTAAATATTCTCAAAATAAATTCAGCCTGTTTTGCAGCATTTGTTAATCCCACTAAAAAATGTTGAAAACCAACCTTTTGATGTTAGTTCCTTCAAAGAAAATTTCCTTTCAGCAGGAAATATGAGCGTGTTTTAAGTCTTAATATTGGTGAATAAGTACTAGTTCCGTCGACAGATAATTTCATTCATAACATGGGAAAAATGTCTTGTTATAAGTGAATTTATCTTCCAATAGAACTAGTATTTTTAAAATCATTTCAAGGAATCATTAACTTAAAACAAGCTCCTATGTGTTGCTGAAAAGTTAGTTATGTCTTATATTAAGTGAACTACAATATTTGCACTTGAAACTGACCCAAATTAGTTTGTATTTTTCCAGTGCAGAGCATTCTTTGCCATAGAAAAAGCAACACAAAATGCTTCATTATATGGAGTAGTGATCCACAACATTTGATCTTTATGGTCATTTATCCAACATCCAATAAGAGCCATGCAGAATAATCTGAACAATCTGTTTTATGTGAATAAAAACATGATTGCTTTTTAGAATAAGGTTTTCTTCTGTACTAAAATTAAAGGTTGAAATTTTCCCAAATATTTAGTGTGAGATAAAGTTTCTCTTTTTAAAAGAAATGTATTGGATTTTAATGCTTTCTACATTACCTTTTACCAGTGGTGCCAATAATTACATCTGGCACTGAAACACCAATAAAAGTCAATGACGGTGCAACATTTCATATTAGAACAATGCTCCCTGTTGTAGACAGAAACAAATCCATGCATTTTTCATCTTTAGATGTTTTAATCTTTGTTGTATGTTTGGCACCATCTTCATGTGAAATAAAACCGTAAACAAACCTGTACCAGGGGTGCGATTTGTATGTTGAAGGTAAAATTCAAGTAACAGGAGGGAGGAAATTTCTCTCAATTTTACAGAAAAGAGGCAAAAAAAGGCCTGAACCACTAAAGGGATCATATCGTGTAAACAACCCTTATTGTTGTTCTTAAAAAATACAGAGATAGTATCAATAATTGCAATGATTTATAAACAATTGTTTCTTAATACAAGCTTATAGTAGCACTACACGTCATGTACCTGTCAGTGCTGTGCAACAAATATTTAATATTACTACTGATAATAACAATAATATTAACGATCATAACAAGTTATTGTAAAAATTAGCAAATGCTATTCAACTACAATGTAAAGGAGACGTTTCGACAGTGTGCTTTCTCTGCCGAAACGAACAAAAGGGAAAGAAAGGGCTGCAGGGCCTGCAGGGTGAGAATCACGCTGCTCTCACAGAAATTGGCACTGTAACATACTGTACACTCTAAAAGACCCACAGTCCCTCGGAAAGAGAGGAAGCTGTCAAAAAGAGGAGGAGTGGAGAAACATGCAGGCCTCTGGTCCGGCATTAATGTCAAAGGCCGTGCCATTCACTCTATTGGACAGGCAAAAAACTAAATAAATAAAAGTAACCAGTCTCAGGAAACAGGCCCAGAAAATAAACAGGCAGGAAAACTCCTCTTGCAAACTCAAAGATAATACTCTAGTTGGGAGCAACACGACCTCATAATGTCTCTTATTTGTAGGGGATAAAATAAACTGGAAATAAATCAAAGAGAACACCAAAGCAAATGAATAATTTGTGTTTGTTGTGATAACCTTGAAAAAGTCACCTGATTGTTGTCATTGTGCCCTTTAATAAATAGATTCAATCTAATTACTTGCAACAGAATTGATTTGCAGCCTCCTCTCTCTTATTTTCAGTGCAAATTAAATTATTTATTACAGGAAACAGTTTCTTTGTGCTTCTGGCGAATCCTGATGGGTGAAGTGGAGATGTCATTTCTCTCAATTCAAAACTAAAGTCATTTTTTCATCAAATACATGATGTTTAATATGAAATTTATTCAGCTGGAGAGACACCTGTGTGGTCGTTATTATAATGATGAACTTAGTTATACAATAGCAACAAACATGTAACAAATGTTGCGTTTTTGCTTCCCAATCAAACCAATTTGGTTTGAGTTAAAGCCAAGTTCATAGAATTTATGTCTCCATCAGCTCTCACATCGTCAATTTGTGAATGAATGAAACCACATGCTTTAATTTAGTCAATCCCTGCATTAAAGTTTTGTACTCCTTAACTCTATGCTGAACTATTTGAGGTTTACAAGTTTTTCTCCACCTCAATTTGAATTATTTAAAATCGTTTTGCAAAGCCTAAAAGGTAAATATGCTCACAGGTAAGATATAGATTTAAAAACGTTATGCCTGAGGCACTGTGGAAAGAGTATATAAGTAAGTATTATGATATTTTTTAATAAAAATAATGGAAATGCTTTTATTCTGATAAGCAGGAAGTAGCTAGAGTGAAGTGAATAAATCAGGTTAATGTTTTCATAGGAATATAATACAGATACTATGTATTATGTGTCAGAGCTGCAGTCATATCAGATTGTTTTAACCTCTGATTATAAAGAATCCCAATCAGACTTGAGTTTCAGTCCATGAGTCCAAGTCAAATCTTGAGTTTAAATAAAATTTGAAGTTGCTTTTTTCCAGCTTGAGGCTCCAAAAAAGAAAATAAATTTTCTGAGACTCTCCTGTCAGATTAAAAGGAGGCATCAAATTAAATTTCAATGTTGCTATAAAATCAAACTGCATCACTCTTAAGAAAATGAATTAAAAATGTTGTAAACTTTGCTCTAGATGAAGTAAAAGGGGAAAACATGATATAAAAGTTTAACACTGGGCAAATCTTCTGTTTTCTGAGGCAAGTTACGATCTAGCACAAGAAAATTCAAAAAGAAAAAGGAAAAAAAAAACCACATCTTTCATCTCATTAAGCACTGAGCAAGGCTGTTCTCTAACAACAAAGCAATAACAAACCTATTTAACAAGACATGGTAACGCTCACTGGGTTGCCAGTTCGGTGGCTGACTCCCCCAAAACCCTCAGCCACTAAGACAGCGCTGACCAGCAACAACAGAGTGTCCACCAGGCAAAACTCAACTCAACGCCTTTGATGGCCAATAGCTTCAGGTGTGGTGAAGACAGAGAAGCCAGGCAACGCCAAGCCTGCACTCGTAGCGGCTGCTGTGGCGGCGGCGGCTCATCAGAGGATGGTGCAGAAGAACTTCTTCTCCCGGAACGGGTTCTCGGAGGCGGGGACGGGAACGATGAGGGGGTCCTCGCGTGTGTGGGCGTCGCAGTACGCCATCAGGTCTGCAGCTGCTTTGGAGACCTGTGGTTTTGATGTAGAGGGGGACAGATGTTTGTCAAAAATTTAAGAACTTTCATATTTAAAGGAATTTGACGTTTTAACTGTCTACTTGACAGTTAAAATGATCCACTTTTTTCACTTCTGATATATTGTTTAGTTTTAAAACACAGAACTGAACCTTCAGAGTCACATAAAGACTGTTACAAAGTCAGCCTTCTATCACCCGAAAAACATTTGAAGGACTAAAGGACTAACGTCTCAAAATGATCTACAGAAACTCATCAATTCGTTCATCATTAGTCGCATTGATTACTGCAACAGGCCTGATTGAAAAAAATCAATCAGACATATCCAGGACCAACAAGCTCAGGGAGAAAATCAATCTTTTCACAGATTATCTGTCTCATGACAAACAGTCATGACATGGTGACAGTTTTGTGAAAGTCACACACACCAACTCCTTTAAATGGTTAAAGGAAAAACCTATGAAATGTGCCTTTATTTTTTTATCCCTTTAATCAATTAATTGTAAGAATTGTAAGCTAATCATTAGTTGCAACCCTGATCTTTTTACAGTACAGCCAGACTGTATGTGAGCGCAGGCTTCCACTCGGGAGCGGAGTGGGAGTTACAGGAGGGGAGGCAAATGGAGAGCAGAGGAGCAGCTGCAGCGGAGGGACGGCCGGGGCCCGGGGATCCGCATGGAGAAGAGAGCCATCTGATCTCCCGCCTGCCTCTTCACCTCACCCACTGCTGCTCTCAGGGGAGAATACATCACACATCATCCGGCCATGTGAAGCACTCGCGTCGACGCAACGATGCAGCACAAAGCCAAAAATATGATCAGCAACTACTACGACTTCAGAAATCAATAGAGCCATTGTTGATGTCTCCTTTAAATGTTAAGGAATAATTGTATGTGCATCTGTATGTCAGACATATTTTCTCACTTAGAAACGCTGATTCAAAGAGGCACATTTACTTTTAGTATACGATGGGTAATTTGTCAAGGTAGGGTGTTCAAAGTGTGGCGCAGGGGCCAATTGAGGCCCCTGGATTGATTTTGAGCGTCCTCTGAATGGAATTCAGGAATGATAAAAACTTGGCCATTGAGGCTTTTTACTTTTGAACAAAATAAATATCAAATATTTTTTATATATACTGAATTTATCTTTCAGTAAATTACGCTTTCTTAAAGAGGACCAGATCTGTCCAGTGACTTTTACTCAAAAGCAAACTTTGGTGCAACTAAATCTGCTTTCACTTAGTTTATCAAACTTGGCTGAATAAATAAGCAATTTCAAAGAAATAGTGACATAAATCTTGTTCCTTTTCTTGTTTTCTCCAACTAACCTCAACATAATTAGCAAATAGGATCTCGTTTGTTTCATATGGTAAACATCCGACTGTGACAATTAACACTTCTTTTTCTCTTTATTCTGCTCAGTTGTGACCCAAAACATTCAACTATCTAAATATCAAGAGGAAATGTATTCTTCAGCATTATATTGAGAGCAAGCATGCATCTAAATCTTCCAAACAAATGACTTCATGGGAGATAAAGTAAAACTGATTTCAGAACCACATGATAAAAAACCCCATCTGTGGATGAGATGTTCTCAAACCTGAGCAATTTCAAGAAGTTTTGCAACATATAGAGTTGAAATGAAAGAAACAAACCTTTGGGTTTCTGTCATGCAAAACACAACAATCTTCCAGCAAAGAAATCTGTCTGTGTGCTGGTATTGTTTTCTGAAAAACTAAAATCCTGCATCTGTACACAGTCATAACTCGATGAGCTAAATAAGATCCAGAACAAAGTTCCCGGTTTTCTCTGCCTGAGTTCCCTTTGTTTATCTTCCAGCTCTAAATATTGACAGAAACATAATAAATGTGATGGATGTTTGTTTATGAAGAATTTCTGGGATGAGATTAAAGCCGGTTAATGAGAAGTCAGACATGAATCATGCTTAAATCCTGCTTAATAAAAGATGGATTTACTTGAAGTAGCAGAAGAGATCTTTATTTTAGACAAATATGTTCATCGCTTAAGAAAACAAGAAGTGTTTCTGTATCTATTTAATAATTAATTGATTTTTTAAAATCTCCAACCTCATATACCATAAACGTCTTACCAGTTCGCCTTGCTTCGATCAGTGCACTGCACGCTCTCTTAATTGGGTATTTATGGATTTTGAATTGCTCTTCAGTGATCCGGTCCATAAGTGATTTTACATTTATGCCCGAACTATGAACTCAAACAGCGCAATATTTTTTTATAAAATGGAAACAGTTTTAGGAGTAGGAAGAAGTTCACATGAAATTCAGAAATGTTTTTCTGTGTTTATTACATTTTTCAAAAATGAAAACTTTCTAATCATGTTCTTAGAAACTCACAAATGTTTTGTTTTTATGGGATATATGTCACAGACATGATGTTTCCAAATGTGTAACACTTAAAAACCTGGAATGTTACCAGAAGTTTGAACAGTTTTAAAAGTCACTATAGAAGCGACTCAGCCCACCAGTGAAGATCTTATCATTTGAAATGTGCTGCTGGCATCAAATTATCACTGAGTAGCCAAATAGATTTCACTGCAAAGAAGCAGATTGCAAGAGCTGTGTCATCGTCACGCATGGCTAATAATCTGCACACTTCTGTTTTTTTTTTCTGCTCTAACTACAGTACCGTCGCTAGTTTCTTCCAGATGATCTGCTTTATTTGATCTCTGTCTGCAATGCTACACCTGCGATCTGTTTGCAACTTCTCTGCAGCTAAAAAAAGGTCAGAAATCACAAATTATACTTGTGTGAGGGAAGGGTACATTTACTTTTAGTATCCAGTGGTTATTCTAAAAATATTGCTTAAAGTGACAATAAAGATTTTCGAAGCTAAAGGGATAAAACCGAAGACACAATCTGTCTACTTTCTGAAAAACCTTCACAAAGTGGAACTTTAACAAAGTCATCTCCAAAAAACACAACCCAATTATTTTCATAATGAAACTAAATGCAGTAATTATCTAAACTGCAGAGAGCAGGAGCCCCACAGGAGGAAAAGTGGTACTGCACTGGGGGTGTCATTAGGCCCAGACTGATTGTAATTACACTTCAGCCCCATGATGGAGGGAGACTCCTTCTAATTAACACTGATCACATTTATTTGGCTGGATGAGCAATTCATGAGAAAGTGGTGATCCCTGCTCCTTCCACTGATACCAACCTCCTCTCACCAGATCTCTTAAGTTTAAAAGATAAGCAAAACTCTCGTTGTAAAAATGTGTAATTTTAATGTTTTTACGGAGGAACAAAGATGTGAAAATTGAGGATTTTGCTGAGGAAACTCAAGCATGAAGATTGTAGTGGTGATATGCTCCTGCAGGTTAAAGGTTATGTAAACATAAATTTATTAAAGTTGCAGTATAAAACTTTTGTAATAAAAAACATGTTCTTTACATTTTTGTATTAGGAGGAGGGTGTTACTGCTGCCAATCACTCTTGTGTACCCTTGTTGCTCTGTGCTATGTTACATCTGGCTCCCCACACCAAAAGCAATGTTCAGGTTAGTTACAATGACTACCAATGACAGCAGATAAAGTGTGAATGAAACTTTAGTCAACTGGAATAACAGAAGTTTATTCTGTTATGCAATGTTGTGCAGAATAACAGTTTTGTACAGTAAGCTGAATACTTTCACCATAAACTCCCGGATACTTTGGTCATTATTACATATTATTTTGATGGCAAATGAAGTTATTTGACCTGTGATAAAGTTTCACTATGAAGTTTTTTTTTATTTTAGTAGAGTAATGTTGCACTTAATGTACAACAGACACAGGACTTTGGAACTAAAACTAGATCTAGTCAAATTGCATTTCTTTCACAGAAATGGAAAAACATTGTTAAATTTGGTTCACCAAAATGTTTTTCAGCTACAATCCAATAGCAGTTGTGTAAATTCATTCAGTAACTCACTTCACACACAAACACAATGTGTGAAAATACTACAAAACAAGCAACTGGTTCATCAAGCTACAGTCACGTCACCGTCTAATCAACACTTCATTTTCACATCAACGCACAAATCTAGCAAAAGTTCAGATCTATTCCTCATGTCTACTCATATTGTTGTTGTTTTTTGAAACAGTTGTGGCTGTTTGCTGCTTGTCAGCCTCAGGGAAGAGAGGAAACGATTCCTGGAGCACATGAGGAGCTTCTGAACGACATGATGACACGGTCGTTTCAGCTGCACAACAAGCTCTTTATAACACATCCTAAGACCTTCTATCTAACAAACCAAAATTTCAAATGTCACAGTTACGAGACTGACCTTAACTTTAAAGAGGAAAAAAAAAATTTAAAAAATCCTGCTGCATTATTAGCATGCATGTGTTTTTGCTTTATATAGGAACTTTTAACTTTGGAAATACAAAATGAGGAGAACCCAAAATGATCCCAACATTAACAAGAAAACGGTGCAGGAAGTAGTTTGGAAAAAGTGTGAATTTCAATTTCAATATTTTCAGTATAGGTATGATTTAATATTTTGTAATACTATTGTGATAACAATAAAAAAAAGCTATTGGTTACTCTTTTTATAGGTAATTGTATGACTGTATAAAAACATTCTCATTTTAAACTGGTTTCTTGACTTAAAAACATTTAATAATATTTTCTATTTTTCCTACATTTATTCATGATCTCATGGACCAAACTGTAAAAAAATATAGAAAAAATAAATAATCTAAATCTAAATGTTTACAAATCATAAAACAGTTAAACTAAAATTACATACGCCATGTTCAACAGTATATATACATGTAGCATTTTTTAATAGTTCTTCACACTTCAATACTCATAGATTGACTAATATAATTAATTTGAAGTTGAACATCAGAGGGCTATGAAGAATAAAATCTCCAACCTTTCTTTCAGCATAAAGCAGGTACAAATTATGGATGATAACTTATGGACAAAACAGTAAAATGGATAGAAAATGAAAATGTTGAGAGGAACTGACTCAACTAGTAGCAGTAGTCCACCTAAAGAAAATGTAACGTGACACGCATTATGTAATAAAAACCTTGATCTGCTTTAGAGGAAGTGATTTTGGTCTTGTTAGTCATGTTGTTGACAGGCTAACCCATTCTTTACCACATGACATGTATTCTGCACCGGCATCAGTAAAAAGCGGAACAGGTGTTTAGGTTGGGTTTAGCAGATGCTGACTATCGAGAGAGCACAGATATGATATCAGTTTTGTGCTTACACGACAAACGATTGCACCAAACGATGTGGCCAAAAATCCTTCTTCAAGTTATGCCCAGATGAAAAACTCTTAAATTGACAAAAACAAATGATTACTCTTTTGTAAATGTCTGACAAGCGGAAAACTTAAATCGTCAGATATGCAGCTATCTATTGTACCCACTGACGCACGACCACGAGATTTTATCAAGTGACCTCAGTGGAACACTGGCATTCTATTGGCTGGAATGGTTGCTTGGTGGCGGTGGTCCAACAGAGAAGTTTGCAAATACAAATTTGTTCTGTGCAGACAGAAAGTTTGCAAGCGAGTAGATGTTTTGAGAGCAAAAAGATGAAATTCTCTTTGCTGAAAACTGAAAACAATCCACTCTTGACTTCTGGCAGTACAATTCCCCCATAAATAAATGCTTATGGGAAGAATACTGCAAATTATAGATCCTGATAAAGGCAGAGCTATAAGGAGCTTGAGTTGTTTTGACACTAAAACCTAAAAAACGTCGCTATCCTCGATGCTTGTGCTTCATTTTATGTAAATCCGAACACGGAGGAGACTGAGACTCACAGGTCTTTGCTCTTTCAGCTCTCCATATGGCAGGTACAACTGAACAGTGAATCTGGTCATCATGCAATCTGGAAACTTGTAGGCATCAGCGTCTGCAGACCAACCAACTGAGGAGCAAACCCACAGCTTCAGACGTGTAAACAAACAGCTTCAGACGTGTAAACAAATCGACATATGTGCTCAGAATGTGTCTGCAATCAGATATAAAAATGTCCCTGCCTGGCAACCAATATTAATGTTTACCTTCAGTCAGAGAGCAAACTTACGCTTTCATTAGAAAGACTGCAGCCATGTTTTTCAAGGCAACCTCTCTCAATACTGGTCCAGTTCATCATTTAAACTCAAAAAAAGTTATTCAAATTTCCTTCAGCACCTTCGTTATTATATATACTAGAATGACAAACAAATGAATGTGAAACCAACAAAAGAATATCTTACAGTTTTAGGATAAATCAAACGTTTCCTCTTAGTGATTCAAATGTCTGATTAAAGTGACTAATTAATGTTAAATGAAGCAAAATTGGAGCAGAGTTAAGAATAAAACAATTTGTTTTTCTTCAAGTTCCCACAATTTGAACCTGACAGATGGTGAATTGCGCAAACATCTCATTAAAAATGGATTCAATTGAGTGCAAAATCAATATTTAGCTTTAATAATCAGGTATTAGAGTAACACCTCTGAACTACTGAACATCATTTGTAGAGCTATTGCTGCTGTTAACTTTGTGTACTTTCTAAACGTTTCTTTAAATAGAAAGTACTTCCTGTCCATGGATTCTGTAAGAAGCTGAGTGTCTTTCCCATCTGATATCATTCGCTTTATTTATTTTCTTTCCATAAGTATTTCTTGCTTAGTGATTATGTGGTTAGCCGTATCTTTGACTTGATTTCTGGAAAGACAACAATTCTGCAAATGGCAATTTTTTTTTAGATAATCTCTCATAAAATGACACATGATAACTTGAGTGCCTTTTAGTGCACTAGGCTTACAATCAGTATCAGATACAAATCTAGACCATTTTTAACACAAAGTGTGCAAAAGGACCTTCATGCATCTGAACCAAGAAGAGAAAAACCTACATAAATGCTGAACCTGAAACCAAACACAACCAGTGTACCTTTATCCTGTCCATGCAGGCCTCCATCTTCAGCTGCTCCACTGCTTTCCTGGCTTGGGAGATGCTGGCCGTGCTGTTATTGGCGATGCTGTCCTTCATGATGTGCCTGTGACAGACAGCAGAGGTAGAAAAGAAGGTGAGCAGGAATCCTACAAACCTGTTTATTCGTCTTGGAAAAGAGATTTTGTGGAGTGTAGTTTATTTTTGAGCAGCTAAATTTTAAGCATTCGCCACTTATTAAAAGTATTTGAAGTATTTCAGCTTGTAACGTTCCCAAACGTGCCTCAATTGGAGGGAATCTGTCCACTCTTTGCCTCACTTTCTCTTACAGATGACTTATTCTGCTTCCATAAACAAGTTAGAGTAGGTCTAGAATAGGTTTTGTGTTTTGGTCTACACAAAAAATATTTACTACATTTTGTTTTAGCACAAAATCATTCTTAGATTATAAAATTTCAGTCTGCTCACTTCTGCTTTTTTGAGCTGCTTTAGGGATTCTTGTCATTTTAAATCAAAATAAGGTCCTGCTGGCCACGACCCCCAGCTCAACGCCACACATACAAATGACTGCAAACAGATGAACACCCACATCTTTGAAAAGCAGAAGTGGAGCCTCCTGCACAATCAACAAGAATCCAGCAAGTGGTTTCTGAATGGTAAGTCAGCAGCAAAATACTTATTGTTTCCAGCAGCCATTGTAAAGCACATAAAGCATCCAAATGTGCTGGAGCTCAGCTTTGGCTGCTAGGTGATGAGCTGGACTTTGTTGGGGTTGGTAGGACTGGAATGTGATTCAACAGTCAGGAGATTTTTGAATCGGATTGTTTTCCAGACATCAAAAAATAAGAACTTATTGCCAAAAAACAGCAGGATATTTTTGAGCCTCTGGGTTGTTTCTAGAAGCAGTTGATACCCAAATGGAAGTACAAAATCATGCAAAAATATTAATTTTCCATCTTAGGTCCCCTTAAAACATGCCTTAATGCAGCTCCCCCACTTGTTCTGCTAACAAAGAATTCTGAAGAGGAAAGAAAACCTGGTTTCAATATATTTTAAAGCAAAAAATTTGAAAGTTTATTTAAATTCAGCCTCCTTTAATCTGATACCCCTAAAACTTCTGCACATCACCCTCAACACAACATGGCAGTTGTTGCATAAAATCATAGAAAGCTTTAAAAAAAAATAAAAAATTTTTAAAAATCAAAGAGAGTGAATCAGAGTTACATTTACTTGATTAACTTTTTGGAGAAAAAAATTGAGTCAAAAATGTACCAACCAGACACACACCAAAATTCCATAAGCTTTTTCTATTGAAAGAAATTGCTTTGGAAAAAGGTTTGCCTCATTTTGTAATTAGATTAAATTAGATTTATTGTCAGCTCCATAAATAGTTTGTTTATAAAAGCACAGGGCTTTTATAAACAAACAGTCCAGACACATAAAAACTAGACAAACGTTTGATCTGGGAAAGAAACAAAAAGGGAGGAAAAATATTGATTTCCATCTCTTTGTTACTGGTTTTATATAATTATGTTAAGTTTTGACTGGTTACTCGGTACACAAGTTCTAACTCTTGTTGGCTCCTTTTTGCTTTTACCTGAGTGAAGATATGTTGCAGTAGTTACTGGAGCATCATGTTTGGGTGCTCTGCCCACCTCCAGTCACCACATTAGACAAGCAGTGACCAAGACTTGCTCTGGTTCTGACCCCCCTCAGCGCTGATTTGGCCCAGTTTGGCAGCAGCAGCAGCAGCAGCAGCAGGGAGAGGAGGAGGCACCAAACCACAGATGCGTTTCATAAGGATGAAGACATGAAGCCTTCCACCAAGCCGGATGCATCCTACCTTTATTTGTGCTTCACTTCCATGGTATCAAACCGAGATCAGTCAGAGATAATAAAGCAGATGGAAGATGGAGTGTTTCATTTCTAATGCGTCGCCTTTTTTTTTTTTCTTTTTGTGTGTGATCAATTTGCAGCTTCGGATCACACACCCTCGCACTAAGCTACCAGGCCTACAGATTCCCCCTCAATCCGCGCATCGTGAGGCTTCATCCGGCTGGATTTCAGCCTCTGATCGCCTGTGTGTCGTTTTATCCAAACGCAACCGATGCTGATTGTAGAGCCAAATCTGTCAAAACGAGACGCGGGCGCCTCTCCTTATTTCTAAGGAGACAAAAACAGAGCTGCGGCCCTGCTTGGACCCGAAAAGCCCACGCCACGAATCACATCCCAAAATCCGGATTTAAGGACTAAAATGCTCGACTATAAGCACACATTAAATCAGGCTTCCTACCTGAGACGTGCCAATGCTTTTCCAATTTGGAGAATTCCGGGTTGACTCCACCCAACACACACACACACAGAATAAGGAGAGGAAGAAGAAGAGGAGGAGGATGTAGGAATAATAATAATAAAAAATGAAACGATAGGAGGAAATCCCAGCCTCGCTTCTGATCTGAAGGAGGAAAATCCGAGAGGGTTCTGATGCGATCCGGGCGGTCAGGTGTCGGCGCGCTCCACGGCTGGACCCGGAGAGACGTTACGCATGCAGCAGAGGGGGGAAACCTCGGTGTGACGGAGAGATCTCTGATGCACAGGCTGCGAGATCTGCGGACCAGGAGCTGCTGCAGCAGCGACGGAGCGTTTCCAGTGGACAAACTGGCCCTAAACGCACCGCCTGCGACTCTAATTAGAAGCGGACGGGTTTGTTGCCCCCCTCCCTGATTTACCGCTCCAGAAGGCGGCAGAGATCTGCAGGCTTCCCCGTTTCATTTTTACATCAGCTTTGACATCACCGGGTCCTCCCCGCAGCAGCTGACGGGCCTCACCCAGTTTTAACGACGGCTCTCTTCCTATGGATTAATAACTAGATTTTAATCATGCATTTGTTGGTATCTCCCCCCGGCAGAGATGCCTAAAAATAAATTCAATATCTAACCTGAGTACATGTCTTTTATTTCTCTTCAGCTCACCTGGATGTAAATCTGGGGATCAAGAGGCTGAGAAAGAAAGCGGATTTTGTGTCTGATGAACCACTTTTAGGTTGATTTAGTTGGTTATTTTGGACCTTTATCAACTTTTAAGAGAAGCAGCCCACAGCACCACTGATGGTACATGGTGTATTCTCCCAATCTCAATTCTTTATTAAGTCACAAAATCACTTCCAAGTTTTTAATGCTATCCACCCTTTTATCTATTCCAAAACAATGGCTCCTAACAACTTTTGCTGATATGATTTAATATGTATATATATCAAGAGATTATTAAAAAAATATTTATATCTTTGTTTTGGTCAAAAAGAATGAACTTAATGGCAAAACACAGCTGAAGGTTTATTTATTTGTTTAGAAACCTAAATGTAGATACAAAATCGTGCCAAATGTGAATTTTGCACATTACAAAAGGACTTGCAGAGTCTACAAGTATTAAATTAAAGGTTGGATTGTTCTATGTTTTTCTTCTTCAAAGTAGAATTTATTTAGTTTTTAAAGGCAGTGTGAATAAATCAGTTGATTTTCTCATGCTTGTTCCTCATAGAAATGGACACAATAAAAACAAGGTGTCGTAATACTTCTTCAGATATTTATATATATATATATATATATATTTATAATATTTATCACTTGGTTTGTCCATTCAGACACGCACATATGTACACCAAAAAAAGAAGAAAAACAACAGAGCCATGATGCCAATCTGCAAAAAAACACAATACTAACTAAGACAATGATCTTAAATTATGCATAGCTTAAGTTATTAACAGGAAAAATAAAACTTTCTTCTGTCACACGCAGCCTTATTTGACTTCCTTTCATGTAACAAAACAAATTAGAAACTGAAAAACAAAAAACTTTGATGCAAAGGAGAAGATAGAGGAGGATTTGTAGATAAGCATTGGAGACGGTAAACAAGCAACACAACGTGACACTTTCCCCAAGAGTCACTGAGGCGAAGACGAAGGAATGATGATTAACGAAGACTTCCCTTTCTCTAAGACAAATCAACCAGTGAGGCATTTTTCCTTCATGCTGCATTCAACACAGAGGCAGGAGATCTAAAAAAATAAAATAAGACATTTCTTGTGAGTGAGATATTGCTTCCAGGTATTTATTTATGTGCAGCATTGAGTCACAGCCCCTGCTCACATTAAGACCACAGATTATTCTGCTACTCTGGTAAACAAACAAAAAGTGCTTCTGACAAATATTCGGCTTAAAAACAGCCAACATGTAAGTGCAGCGAGTTTGGTGGGAATGTAGAGCGAAGACATGTGGACCTTCTGGTGGGTTCAAAGGTCAAAAGGCCGGCCTCCATTTCCCTGGACTGATCAGTGTAGTGTTAACAGAGTCTGAGAAAAACCTCAGCTTCATCTTTCAACTGAACTGCAATCAGCCAAAAGCTTTTATTAACACTCAAAAGGGCCTAACGAGGACCAATTACTGCTACCAGGGTTACGGTTTAAAAACATTAATGCAATAACTTTAAGTCATACTGTTCCTGTGTTTTAAAGACATCTGAAAAAGATGGCAGAGTAAAGCCACACAGCGCCTCCCCTCCCCTGCCTGTTGCTGCATACTGCCAGTCAGCTGACTGAAAGGATCAGAGAGAAATTGGAGATATTACAGAAAACGCAAACAGTCGTGGAGTGAAAACAAACAGAGGATCATCCTACGCCCCTTATATCTACACTAACTCATTTCAGCAGGACACACAGGAGCTGATAGCCTGACTAACTCCAAAACGTTTAGACACCAAACTACTGTTAAATTTAGCAGGTGGTTTATTCTGCAGTTCTACCAAAACAGTAACTTTATGTTGATGTTATTCTTAGTTTTTTTGTGGCTAAGATGCCAATTTTCTGCTTTAAGATCTCAAAAAAAAAATTATTAATTTGGATCTTGTTAAGGACAATAAAGTATAAAATAAAAAAAGATAAAAGGTTTTACTTAGAGGTCACAGTTATGAACCATAATTACTAGATTAACTGATATTTTTATTCAGCTTCTGAATGTTTGGAGTTTGTAAACCAAAAATACTGAGATTGCTCAGATTAGTTTCATTTAATAAATACAAAAAAGAGGAGTAGAGCTGATTCAAATCTCTAGTTGGCTGATCGGTGTATCTCTAGAAATGTGCAATATTTTAGTTTTAGCAGCAGCAGCTTCACTGTTTTAAATAAAATGTAAATAAATCATGCTATTTTTGTTCTACTTTCTTATAAAACCCATAAAATCTCGATATTTCTCTTCCAGGTCATCATCTCATGATAATCTCATGCCGGCCCGGTTTTGGATCGGATCAGATTCTGGTCCTTCTCCGTAAGCATTTAATGCTCTTTGAGTTTCAGAGCAAAGGCCTGACAGTACACTGCAAAAACACAAAATCCTACCAAATATTTTTCATCTGGTTTCTAGAGCAAATATAGTATTTTTGTCTTATTTCAAGTGTACAAACTTTTCAACGTTTCAGTAAATGCCTTCTAGTTCTACTGGCAGATTTTTTTTTACCTATAACATGTAAAAATGCTTTTGCATGAGTAAAATAATCTGAAACTTGTACTTTAAAAAAAAAATCAATATTAAGGAATTATATATCTAAAGCAAACTTATTTGAGCTTGTACTGTTATTGGAGTTTGAAATCAGACATAAATACTGTTGTGTTTTTGCAGTGTGGCTTTTTTAACAGTTAAATCCAGCAAAAAAACAACAACAACAAAAAAAAACATGGAACATGAGCTTCAGTTTTAAATAAATACATAAATATGAGATTTACTAAACGCAAGAAGACATGAGCAGCCCAGGTAGGCATTAAGACGGCGAGCTCATGACTGGAAATGTCATCTCTGCATTCACAAAGTTAAGGTCAGCATCATCCTGGCATGCAGAAGTAGTACAGAACAACAGGCAGCACAAGGTGCAATTCATGGCATCCTGTCTCCCCTGCGGTTCCTCCTCTGAGCCGGGCCGCAGAGCGAGGCGGGCCGGGCCGTGACACCGCTGTTCAGACCAGAGCGGGGCCGACAGCCGCCTCACGCAGAGCGGGACGCCTCCCGGTGTCGGGCACAAAGAAAGGAAACCGCGGCGTCGGCACGACACGCTCCAGCTCTGGCAGGAATCTGTCAGCAGTGAGGCGAGAGACGAGTGGGGTGGTGGGGGGTAGAGGGGAGTTTTTCTCTCTTTTTGGTTCCGGCTTTGCTCAGACAATAGCAGCGTACCCGGGAACAAATACAACAGAGCGAAAAAAATGAAATAAAATGGAAAACAGAAGGAATCAGAGTTAAAAAAAAAAAAGGGAAAGAGGAGGAAAAAGTGTCTGTTGCAGCTGAAAATTCATCCACTCCTCCAGTATTTTACTTTATAAATATAAATCTATTTACACATAACGCTCGCTTCATCTTGTTCTCTTAATGCTGGGTGTGGTAGCATTTGCTCAGCTGGGAATGGAGTTATTAAAAGTCAGGGCGGGTTCGGAGAGACGGACGCCATGCTGGTGCGTCCTTTCCTCCCCGTCAGTGCAGACAGGAGCAGAGGGAGGCGGGAGAGGAGAAAGGCGATCTCGCTGGGAAGTGGACAGCGGTAAACATCAGACTCGCTCAGCCGGCCGCGTAGCTGCTCAGGAAGGAGTAGAACATGGGCAGCTTCATGCGCTGCTGGTCCCGTCGGCACCAGGCCATCACCGTCCCCTCGCTGTTGGCCGTGTAGAGGTGGTGGCCGTCGCACGAGTACGTCAGGCTGCGGTGGCCAGGAGAGACGCGCATCAGCAACGTATTTATGAAGTAATCAGGAGGTGGAAGATCGTCGTGTTGCTAAATTACCTGATGATGGGTTTGCTCGACTTGGGGAAGGTGATTTCTCTGACTGGTTTCAAATCCCAAGTGCTCCACAATCTGGACAGAAAAAAAATGAAATTCAATTTATTTAAATAGCGGCAATTCACAACAGGTGTCATTTTGAGGTACTTTACAAAAAAAAAAATTAATTTCAATACAATTGTTCCCTTTTTTTTTCCAAATAAAGAAATTATAAATGACATGGGAAATATTTTCAAAAAATGGCTTTTATTTCAATCCTCCCTTCTCTGAGTTGTCAGATGGAGACAATGAGAATTTCTGTTTATTTACGAGAATAATAGCGGAATAAAGATGCAATTTTACCAGAAGAACGTCTTAAAATTACAAGAAAAAAGTTGATTTAATGAGAAAAAAGGAGTTCTTATATAGTTACGACTTCATTTTTATTCTGGTAATATTATGACTGTACTCTCATATTATTTTGATTTTTTTTTTTTATCATACTACTTTTCTGATATTACAACAACTGTATTCTTGAAACATTAAGACTTAAAAAAAAGATCTCAGCCTGATCCTTATATTTTGTCACAGAGTTGACCTGAATTCAAAGTCCAAATAAATAGGAGGTGTTCAAAACCCTTGTGGAACAAGATGGCCGCCTTCGATGTGTTGACATAGCTCCGAAATAATCCAGATTTTCCCCCCAAAATTAAAACATTAAAAGACAAAAATTCAGTTAATTAATCAATACTCAAAATTCAAAACTGAACTGTTGGATTAACTTTGTGCATTTTTATTTTACTTTTTTTACAGATTTTCGCCACACACTTATGGATGTGCTTCATTACCTGACGACGCCATTCTCCAGACCGCCAGCGATGACATTGACGGAGACCCCCTCCGGCTGATTGGAGAACGCCACGGAGCAGATGGTCTCCCTGCAGTGGACGTGACCAATCAGGTCTCCGTTCACCGTCCACAAGCGGAGGTCGCTGCCTCCACCCTCTACATGCAAAATAAAATCAAATTAAAATGAAGAGAACCAGTGACTCCAGATCCATCTGTGAAGCAACAGACCAACGTTGCTGAACAATCAGGTCTCACCAGAGTTACAGACTGTAGCGATGTCACCTGTGGTTTCGCTCGCAGAGACGGCCGTCACTGGACTTTTGTGACCCGTCAGGCTTTGAACGTAACAGAGTCTGGGATAAAAACATAAAAAGGAACAGTTCAGAAACTAAACAAACCGAGGCTTGTGTTCACTGTTAAAACCACGCTGACCTGTTGAGGTCCCAGAGGATGCAGGTGCCGTCGTTGCTGACACTAATGAGGATGCTGTAGGGTTTGCACACAAACAGGCTGGTGACTTCTCCTGTGTGTCCGTACAGGTGAACCTGAGACTCCACCTCCATCTCTGACGGCTGTAAAATAAAAAAGAAAAGTGTAACTAACCCGCAAATTAACTGTACCCCTGTCGCCAACTTGTCGATATATTTAGTGACATATTTCAGATACTGATGTCAAAGAAATGACCAGCAACAATTATAGCGGCTTTCTCTGGTTTATCGGAAACTTTGGTGACAAAAATGAAAAACACCAATAGGAGTAATGCCATTACAGTGAGCAGTGAGTTGCTTAAAAGTTGCATTTACGTCAGTTTTACTGCTAACCTACTGCTAACTGTTCAAAGGAATCCAATCGCTAGTGAACGACACATCAACACTCGGCAGCTGTGACTTAGCTTCCTCATATTCCTAGACTTGATTTCTTTCCACCAGTATCTGCAGCTTTTATTTTTTGTATCTTGGTTTTAAGCCAGTTTTCCATCAATATTTTCAACACAATCCTTTGTTAAACTAGATGTAGCATCGCACTTTGAGCTGATGTCGTGGCCGTTTACCTGCATTACCACGCAGACCATTAGGGGGTGCCAGCGGACTAGAGCCACAGTTTGAGAAAGACTGGGTTTTGGTCTTTTCAGCACTAGTGGATTGGCTCTGCCCTGTTTGGTGGTATTTTTTAAAACTCGTCAGGGTTGAAGTTAGCAACACAATAACAGATCATGCAGCGTCTGTAACTCAGCTCAGTATCAGACTTTTATTTATTTATTTATTTTTTCACTTCTTCGCTGAAAAATGACTCCATTAATGAAAATTCAACAAGGCTCTGCAAGCGATCCAGTGCTGAAAAGCCCTTCAGACACACAGAAGCAGGAAACCTCCACATAGTATCGTGCACTGATGCACATCTGAAGGCCTCTCTGATGAGTGAACTGCAGGACCCCTAATCCCACTTAGAAACTCAGTGAAATGTGTTTCAAGGGCAGCTGTGATGTGACTAATGAAGCCGAGCGTTTGAGCACGGAGAGGCCGTCTAAAGAGGAAGAGGAGGTGGGGGGGGGTCGCGATCGGCGTTCGTGCGGAGGAGGAAGGTTAGTGGGGGACATCGCCATGGAAACCTACTGTGGTGCTGGTGAAGCGGTTGCTGTAGGCGGTGATGACTCCACACTTGCTGCCCGTAAATAGCTGGCAGCCATCGGGAACCCAGGCGCAGCTGGTCACCTGGAGGAGACAGGAAGCGAGAAACCTCCATGTTTGTCGGCTCGTCAGCGGTGTAAAAAAAAAAAAAGATCAAACACAACTGATCTTGATGAGTAGGTTTAAAACCCAGTGATAAATGTTAAATTAACCACTAATAATGGTTATTATTAATGGTCATCATCTACTAGGAATTAACTTAATCTCACCAGTTAATATAAATCAAACAATTTAATTATATTCAGGTTTTATTATAATGACACAACTATTTCATTATTTTCTCAAAGTAATTTTAATCCACTGGAAAACTTAATATAACAATAAAAAAGTTTAAAGAAGTCATATACTATTTATATGAATTTTTACAATTAATAATAAATTAATAAGATTTGCATGCCATACTTAAAAAAATCTTATATTGTTACATATTTTTATTTGTCATTATTTGCTTTATAATGACTTTTAAATATTTTTTGTAATTTTTTTGTCAGAAACCCAGATTTAGTTGATCAAAACTGATTTCTAAAAGCAACAAAAAAGTAAAACATCCATATGTTCCATATTATTTCTATATATTTTTTAATGATCATTAAGTGCACTCTTAGGCTTATGTTTTGGATGACATACTGTAACAAAAAAACAACAACTATATATTTCATGTTACATTCATATTTGCCATCATTTACTTCATAGTTTTTTGTCAAAAAAGTCATAATTGTTGAAAATAACTGATGTGTAAAACCAACAAAAATACTCTTCCTATGCATTGTATCTAATAATATTTGTTATAAAATGTAATTCATAATATAATTTATAAAATATCATCTGTAATCCTGATTATTCTGAGCTTTTGTTTACCTGGTGGAGCTGTGAACACTGAATGAAGTTGATGGGCGGCTCGCTCTGCTTGCTCTTCAGCCTCAGGATGTTGTCGGCGTAGCCCCAGCTCAAGATGGCCGACCACTGGATGTCTGTGCTGTGCATGCTGCGCACACCTGAAGAGCAGAGAGCGCGAGGCATCAGGCAGATGCTGCAGTTTGAGTCCTGACGTGCGCCGTGACTCTTCCTCACCCTGCTCCTTGCTGTAGATCATCATGAGGCAGAAGCTGCGGGACAGACCGCAGATGGCTCGGGTGGGCAGGGCCAGCAGGGATCCGAACTGCTCTCCGTGTGGCTGACTGAAACACACCACCGGGTCCGGAGCAGACGGCGAGCCAACATACTCACCCCACTTCAGACCTTTGATCCAGGGCAGCGGGCTCTGAGGAAGACGAGCAGGAATACTTCACACCAACTGACTATGAGCGTGCGATACCACCAAATCTCAAATTCATTTAATCCAATTTTAACTGATTTTTCTCGTTTTCTCTTCTAAAAAAGGAAAATGCAAATGACAAAATATGTTTTCTAAAAATGGTTTTAATAAAGAAAGGCGTATTCGGGTCATTTTAGAAAGAGAAAAAATGCAAGAAGATATTTGTACTAGAAATTTTCCCCAAAAAACTCAAAAACTTGGAGACTAATATCAGAAAGTTTTTAGAAAAAACTTGAAAATTTCTGAAAGGTTGATAATTTGCTATAAAAAAACTCTGAACTTTTTTAGTTCAACCTCAGAAAGTGCTTCAAAAGTCGACTTTTGGGTACGAAATCTTTGCTTTTTGGAATTCAGAGAATTTCCAAAAGTTGAAAAATTAAGACTTCCAAAGTTTAGAAATGTAAATTTTTTTTCTAAGAAATTTTCTGACGTTAAATAAAACATTTTCTGAGTTTGTTTCTAATTTTTTTTCAAGCTCAGAAGTTTCCTTGCTTCTTCTAGAAATTAATCTCAAATGTTTTAATTTATTTGCGCAAATTTACTGCTTTTTATTTTCTGCATTGGCCCAAACACTCCGTCGTGCGATCGATGATGGACAATGGAGTTTTAGAAACAGGCTGTGAACTTTTCAGATTTGATTTGCCATGTATGATTTTCCATCTACTCCTCAGTTTTGCATTGATGGGAACTTTACCGGGCAGACGATTTCCTTCACATGTTCCCGCGTCTCTCTGAAGGCGAGCTGAACCAGGAGCCCCATGGCTGCTGGGAGCTCTCCCTCCATCATGAGCTTTGGGGAGGTTCTGCTGATGTGAGTGGCGCTGAAAAGCTGCCTGGGCGTCTGGCCATACGTTTTGATCATCGTCTCCAACGCCCGCCGCTGAACCGGGTCTTCTACAGCTGATACGTCCATGCCAAAATAAGTCTGGAGGAACGACGCCCATGTTAGCAACAAGATAAATGGATCTTCAAGCAGAATGCACTTCAAGGATTTTTAGGCAAAACTAACTCACAAGTAACTTTTTAGCAAGATATAGGAGCTTGAATTATGTAAACAATTCATTTATATTAATAAAAAAAAATACTAGTGTCACTGGCAGATTATTTCACTTCTAACAGTGGATAAATGTCTTGTTTTAATAAAATACTTTGCCAATGGAAATAGAACTTTTTAAAATCAATATTAAGTAATTATTGACTTAAATAAAGCTTCTATTTCTTCCTGAAGTTACTCGTAAGTAAGTTTTGTCTTATACCAAGATATATGTACTAGAAACTAAAACAAAAATACTCATTGCAGTGAAAAAAAAATATAAATACTGTGAAAAAGTAGAAACTGAAACTCATCATACAGATTCATTACTTAAAGTGAAATATTCAAACCTTTATTTCTTGTAATGTTAATTATAATAACACAAAATCCACGCTACGCCACATTGATGCGTAGCGGCAGTCAATTATTTGAATTCCTTTCTTAGATAGGAAACTGTTCCTCCATTATTATTATTATTTTGCATTAGTAAACAAGAATTGAGCGAGTAGAAATAGAATATAAATACTTTTGAGAAGCCAGGCGTTTCTATTGATAATAAATTTTCAGTAAGACATAGGAGCTTGTTTAAAGTAAATAACTATTTAGTATTGATTAAAAAAGTACTAGTTCCTTTTGCAGATTATTTCACTTGTAACATGAGAAAAATTTATTGTTATAAGTGAAACTAGTATTTCTTAATTACTGACTTAAAGAAGCTTCTATATCTTGCTGAAAAGTAACTTGTATGTTAGTTTTCTCTAACTTCAAGTGTATAAAGACCTCTGCACTAGAAACCAGACTAATAATCATAGGATTTTGTGTGTTTGTGGTGCATTTGTTCCTTACAGCGGGGTGGAAGACGTTGATGGCGTGGACCGCTGCTTTGCCTTTCTGCTTGAGCCCGAACACCAGGTCGATCCACTGGCACAGCGTCTGGGAGACGTGCTCCGACTCCAGGGCCTGCCGGTGGATCAGGATGAACAGGCGCGGGTCGTTGCGAGCCCACGGAGGTAAATTCACGTGATTCACCCTCTCGCCATTCTGACGAACCCCGAAATCAAAACCTGTGCCATTCATAAGCAATGTGGTAGTTATGACATGCATAAAAACTTTTGCTAAGGCGCCATAAAGAAAGGAAAATAATCACCTTCCCTGTTGACCAGGAACTCTGGGAGGTAGAAAAACTCTGGGATGAGCTCCTTCACGTCAGTCATGGACTCGTAGGAGGACAGACGCCACGTCGTGTTCATGGAGTGAAACGTGCGGTCCGGGATATCAAAGCTCTGATCTGATTGAGGTCAAAGAAAATGAAATTTAACATTCAAGCTGCTGCTTGAAACACACCTCCTTTCATGACCTTAAACACCCGGCTTGCTGAATACATTTACAATCGCATGAAAAGAAGATCAGAAGAGAGAGAGAGATGATTAAAAACTCCAAAAAGTGTTTATCATCAGATAGAACCACAGAAATGAAATCTTTTTCAGAGAAAGAAAAGTATTCTGCAATTATGGCTTCACTGAATACAACTCATAAATGGAAGTTTGGTTGTTTTTTTAAAAGTACAGAGTAAGATTAGTGCTTCTTCTTACTCTCTTTTGGACGTTACCCTGTTTTTGTTTGAGTATTTTGGTTGTTGTCTTCTTTGTTTTGATCATTATTTTATGTTTGTTTGTTATGTTTTTCTCCTGTTTGAAAATGATTAAATGCTGTTGCTTGCTTCCTTCAAGCTAAGGCATTATTTATGTAATTAAAGCTGAAAAATAGCAAGAATTCAAAGCAGGACAAACCTGCTAGATTTTGTTTTTCAGAACTATAATAACTTATAGCAAGTCTTAGCTTATTTATTCTATTAAAATGTTGTGTTGTTTTTGTTGTGCAGATAAAAAAACGTTTTTTTTTTAATCAAAAATGAAAAAAACCTGAACTAAAGAACTGAAGTGAGCAAAGTTGCTCACTTGAGTTTAGTAAAGTCTTAATTAGCATTATTGCTATATTTCCATATTTCTCACTGTAACAAATTAGTATTTTTTAGATAAATTGTTTAGGATAGGAGTCACATTTAAGGAGAAAAACAAACTGGTTAAGATGGTCTCATATTTTTACATCACAATCAGCCTGACATTTTAAAATATCCACTGTGAACATATATTTTTCATTAATCATGAACTATACAACAAAAATGCTGAACTCTATTTTGTGACTTTCTGAGTTTAACTTTAGAACCAAACTGACCTTGGTAGGCGAGGAACATCTTGGTGAACGGCGGCATTCGGACCAGGAAGTGCAGAACCGTGCCGCTGTTGGAGTAGTGTGAGCCGTAGTGGTAAGGCTGGACTGGAGGCATGGGGTCATCCTCACGAATCCCCTTTTTGTACTCTTCCTCCAGGTACTGTGCAGGAAACACAAACACATAGACATGCTTTCTCCCAAAAAAAAACTCTGAAGAAAAGAAAATAGATCTTTTTAATTACCCTGTAATTATCAACGTAGCGATCCTCTTTTTCTTTTGACTGAACTGCAATGGGTTTGTTTAAATTCCTGCAAATCAAAATGTGAGCAAAGAACAACTGAGCTGAAAGTCTTTAAATCAACAAGAATGTAATAAAATGGACAACATCCATGCACACATACAAGATAATGGCTATCCCTATGCATTATGCAAGATGTAAGCCCACCTGTAGATGTTTGTGTCCTGCAGGTCGATGGTTTCGCTGACGTAGTCGCTGAGGATGAAGGGAAACACCGGGTACTGCATGAGGTCGTTGAACGAGCGGCCCGCGTGTTTGTTGAGGTGCGTCAGGTACTCGAAGTTTGTGATCTGACCGGAGCTCCACAGCTGGGTGAGCGCCGAAATGTTCCCGTGCTCCAGCAGGTTGGGAAGGTCGGAGGTCAGGATGTTGTGGTAGACGTCATCCCGAAACTAAGCCCAGGAAATACATGCAGTGTTTAAGACAAAAAGAGAAACTTGCTCTTGTTTTTAAGCTTATTTAATTGAGGTAAATTTCTTACTACTTTTATTGTTGGTGTGTTTGTAATTTTTTGCTTTGTTTTATTTTATCAAAGCGGTTCTCTCTTGTAAATGAGATCCTGAACTTTAAAGATTAAACCTGCAGGAAAAATTTTAAATCCTTCTTTCATTTGAAATGTAAATGTTCTCCACTAAATCCCTTTGAGTCTTATTTCATTTTAAAACTTTTTGCATCACCTTGGAGTTGTCGAAGGCTAACAGCAACGTCCTGCCGTTGGTCAGAAATATCTCCACTGCGTTGTCTCTCAGCTGCCACCATCGCTTGTGCACCTCCTTGATTTCCTCGTACGTCCAAGAGAAAGACGGCGCCTCCGTCTCACCCTGAAGGATCTATTCAAATGAAAAACACGTTTAGATCTGAGCGAATCAGTGGAACATCAGTCCACTAACTCAGCCGTTTACTTGGTTGTCGTGAGCATCAGCGGCGTTGTCCTCCACAAAGTACATTCCAGACTTTCCTATGAAGAAGAGAAGAGTTGGATTCAGAGAACGTCTACTCTTTGTGTTACTCTTTGTGTCTGTGCCTGTACTGCAAAACCACCAAATCTTAGCATCTTGCAGACATCTTAATAAGATGTCTGCAAGATGTCTAAGATGTCTGCAAGATGTCTGCAGACATCTTAATACACTTGAAATAAGACAAAAACAACTTAAAAATAACTTTCACACACAATTTTAATTTAATTTCTAATTTAACCGTTTAAGGCCTACATTTTAATTCTCTGTCTGATTATTTTTGCTTACTTTAATTGTACGCAGTTCTTTAAAAGTCCTGTGAGTAAGTATGTTAGCCCATTTATCCATAACAACTGGAACTTTCAATATCTGTCAAGTTATTTTCACAATTTAAAGGATTATTTTATCAAATTAATTTCACTTCCTGCTGTGGCAGGAAGTAATAACCTGATATTGGCTGTAAACCGCGACGTCTCCTCTTTCAGAGACTGTTAGAATTGTTGAGATAGCGCAAAGTGCGGTGGAATTATGGTACTAGAAATTTGGCTGGATCGTCGCCTATCCGTTCGGTCTGGAAGGGCTAATGAAAACAGAAATCTCGAAATTGTGTTTTTGGGACAAAGATTTGTGCATATTTGTAATAGAAATGCAGCTACTTAAAATAAGACATTTTTGCCATTTTATAAGTGAATAGTCTGCCAGTGGATCTAGTATTTTTCAAGGTATTATTGACTCTAAACAAGCTCCTATATCTTTCTAAAAAGCATTTTGTACATTTGTTTGGTTTTATTTCACATGTACTAGGATATTTGCACTGGAAACTGAACCAAAAATACTTGGAAGTATTTTGTGTTTTTGCTGCTGTTAGTGATGGTCAGGGTTTTACCCAAAAGCAACTCTCCCGCCGTCTCTCTGGACGGGGCGACGCTGGTGCATCGTCTGGTGAATCTGAGAACAGAAATACATTTCTTTAACTCCTGAGATCAACGTAGCATTTAGGAAATCAGTGAGCTTTACCTGATGGACTCGCTGGTGGCTTTGTCTTTAACAGTAGAGGAGAAGAAGGAGTGAGTTTTGTCCTCAAACAGGAAGGATAGAGGAGGCTTCACTGTTTCTGAACACAGGACAAAGATCAAATGTTTAAAAAAAAAAATGCAGCAAAAGCTTTAGAAGAGAAACTTAATCGAAGTTTATTCACCCTCTGGTTTTCGTCTGTCTTTGAGCAGGTATTTGTTTGGTATGGTGAGGTAGCAACGCTGCAGCCGCCGCCGTTCTCGGTTCGGTCCTTCAGTTGGATCCAGCTGCCACGACGTCGGGTAAGATGTCTGGTCATACCAAACGGCTCTGAAACACAAAATAAACCCAGATTTTACTTAGAAAGTCTGGAATACCACTGCAGTTTCTGCATAGTTTTTATTTCCAAACTGCAGATTTTTTCAGAGTTAAATGCTCAGACGTCCATGTCTTTTTTAGACAGTTTGTGACATCAAAATACAGATGTTTCAATTCATTTGGTTTAATTTTTTGCAGTATTTATTGATGTGCAATAAGCTTTGAAAGTAGGGTTGAAAAATGATTAATTGATAACTAATTTAGGAATCGATTAAGACTGAAAAAAAGACTAATTGCTGAAAGAACAACACATTCAGAGCAGCAGTTAAGCCAAAATTGTACAAAAAAAATATATATATAATCTTTAAGATAAAAAAAAAAAATTTTGTAAACTTGTTCTACCTAAAATCTCTAAGGTGGGATAGTTTTTGTTTCAAATTATGTAGAATAAAACCTTCTATTAAGAATGTTTTGCTTGGCAGAAGAGAAAACACTCATGCACAGGGAGAACCCAGAAAAACAGAAAACAGTTCAGTTTAAGAGGCTTAAAATAAAACAAGATATCTTGAACTAGACATCATGTTCAATGTGAAAGTTACTTAGAACAGGTAAACAATATTTTTTTTCATAAGGTCACATTCCATGTTGTGAAAAATGTTTCTTCAATACATCATTTTATTTTTTTCTGTACTTCAGACTTTTTAATACAGCAAAAAATTATTTTAAAATGATACGATCATAAAATCAGCTTGGTTTTGGTAACCAATATTTCTAAAGCGAATGAAGCCGTTTAGTTCACCCACCGGTCGTGTGTGAGCTGCTGCACCAGCTCCTGCCAGTGGCGACTGGCGCTCAGGTCGGTCTTGTACAAACCCCTGATGTGCTGGATGACTTTCTTCCTCTCCATGCCTTGCCGTAGAGACACATTTTGGGTAATGTCAGCCGCAATCTTGGAAATATCCTTGGATTTTCCGTCAAGCCTCTGAATTAGGCTGAGTAGGAACGAGAGAATTAAAAATAATCAACATTTTTTTTCTGTTTAAAGCTACAGTTTATAAGATTTATAAAAAGTATTTTATGAAGTGACAGTATAGTAGAAGAGATTATCTGTGCTAATAAGAAGCAACCAATCAGAGCTCAGAGGAAGGTCTTAGCATTGTCAATCATGCCGTTGTGTCTGCCGCTCTCTTACTCTCTGGTGCAATAGAGCTATCAGCAGAGCTAAGGCTAGTTTGCATGGCCACTGATAATAATTTTCCTGTAATGTTGAGTTGTTTTTCCTCCATTAGCACTTTTAGAATAAGTTCACGAGGTTGATTGACAGCGCTAATACCTTCCTCCTTGTTCTGATTGGTTGTTTTTGACCGGGAGCTGTGGATTTCTTCAGATGGCAGTAGCAGGACAAGAAGGTTGTGACGGAGACTGATCTTTTCACAGATTATTTGTGTCATATTATACAGTCACAACATGGCAACAGTTTTAACAATTATGTAAAAAACACATACATAGATATATAAAAATATATATATAAAACAAGACTCCCAACTTACTTTTTCTGCGTGTGTGCCACTTTCTTTTCCCATGCAGCTTTGCTTGTCTTCTCTTCTGCTTCAAACTTCATCTTTTCCTGCATCAGTAAAGCAGAATCTCTTTCATATTTCTGTCTTGTGATAGTGAAATAGTGTCTGTGATTTCCACCCTGGAAGCTCCCATCTTCTCCTTCACAATGACAGCTTTTACCTCCTTTATTGCCTTGAGCAGGTCGTGTTTGTGCGGCGCGTTGAGTGGGATGCAGCGATGGCCACAAAGCTTCAGAGAGGTCATGAAGACACCCACAGCACTTTGCTCCTCCTTCGTCAGTTCGTCTTTGTGATCGTGCAGCATCTCGAACAGGTACAAGCTCAGTTTTGGCCCGTGCTGAGGGAAAAAGTGTTTCAGGGTCAAACCCAATGTGAGCAGCTCAAAGGAATAATCAAGGAGAAGCGAGGATTTCTTATTCACCTCTAGTCCTGGGCTCAGGCTCTCCTTGAGGATATCTATATGCTTGTGATCAAACACAAACTCAAGTGCCTCCTTTCTGTCCTGTAGTGGAAGTGAAGGGCTGAGCGTGTGCACCAAGAGCCGGCCTATCTGCACCCTGAACGTGTCCCTGCAGGACCACAGGATCCGCCGCCACTGATGGTTTGGGGCTCCGCCACGACTCGTGCTGCCCTGCATCCGCACAACAATTAGTAGACAGAAAATACACAACATGTCTGACACACAGAAAAAAAAGGTCAGTGGTGGAGAAAGTGCTGGAACTCCATACTTAAAGGTGACTTACTAGATGTACTTGAACAATTATGTAAAAAATTGTTCAAGTACAATTTCAAGTACTAGTTTAAGGCTAGAATAGGTCTGTGGACAACACAAAACATTCATTACACTTTTTACACACAGAATTGCACTTCAATCAGATTTTAGTCTGCTAAGTCCCAGGTAAAAATGTCTGCAAACATATTGCACCATTATGCAACTATACATCTTTGAAAAGTAGAAGTAGAGCTTTCTGCACAACCAACAAGAATCCAGCAAGTGGTTTCTGAATGGAAAGTCGACAACTAAACAATTGTGCTTTCCAGCAGGCATTGTACAGCAAGTACAGCATTAAAACTAGCTGACCAAACGTACTGGAGCTCCGCTAAGTAACAACTGCTACTTAATAATCGAGGTTTTAATAAAAGAGGTTTTTGAAACGGCCCATTTACTACACATTAAAAAGCATGAACTTATTGGCAAAAAATGGACATGTATTTTTTTAAAAGCAGTTTTTAGAAGCAGTAGAAACCCAAATAATAATAGTTCCTCTTTAAGTAAAAATAGAAAAAAAAACAGACTTATGACATGGGAAAAACGCATTGTTACAAGTTTAATAATTTGCAGAGGAAAATTCAAATTTTCAACATTAAAGAATTATTTTTACTTAAAACAATATCCTATTTCTTTCTGAAAAGTTACTTGTATGTTAGTTTTATCTCATTTCAAGTGTACTAATGTAGTACACTAGAAACTAGACAAAAAATACTCTGTAAGATTTTGTGTTTTTGCAGTGTAACTAAAGCACAGATGCTGTAGTGAAAAATGTAACGAGTTAAAGTTGTCAGACCATGCTGATTTTGATCCCGTCCATCATGAGCTTCAGGATGTCCTTCTGCAAACTCTTCTTGCTGGCATGTGGAAGGATAAAAGGAGTCGGAGAGTGTGGGACGGAGCACGACCCGCTTTCGTCGTGTACTTGATCCCCCAGATCCGGCGTGAAGATGTGGTGGTCCGGAGAGTCCGGGATGTTCAGCAGGTCGAATAAATCCTCACTCACGTCTGAAACGGGAAAAACATTTGAACAGAAAGCAGAATTAGATGACAATTAGAGGGAATAATTCAGAGAATCAGACAAAGTTTACCATAGTAGATCAGTCTGTTGATGGCCAGAACCACAAGCCTCTGCAGCCGTTGGACAAACTCAGTCTCGCTGGCACGGATCGGGTTTTCCTGGCTCATCCTCCGCTGCATCATCTGGTGGAGCTCGTCGCTGGCGACGGAGCGCATCCGCATCAGGAGAGAGTCCGTCTGGGCCAGAGAGAACCGGCGCCAGCCTGCAGGGGGCAACGTTAGCAATGAGCTCAGTTGGTGACAATAACCTCTACAGAAAGTCTGACCAAACCTTGGATTTGTTCACATTTGGTCTCATTACAACCTAAAACTTCAATTTATTTTTTTTTAGTTAAATGTGAGAAACCAAAATAAAGTAATGCAAAATAGTCAAGTGGAAGAAAAATTACACATTGAATTTTTCTTAATCAAAAAGTGGTTAAATCAGGGAGGTTGAATTGAAATGCCAGCCACACTTTTCAGATTTTTATTTGCACTTAACAATTATGCACTAGGTGTTGTTGTTGGTCTGCAACATTTACAACAGAAAGAAAAACTTTGTTCATTTAGTCGCAATTGTCGCATGACGTTTTGAAAAAAAAAAACAAACAAAAAGAACAGTTTTTAAAAAAATATCTATTTTAGGAAATTTTTTCTCAATTTTAAAGAACTGGTGTTTTATTCATATATTTTGGATTTAAAATAAATATAAAAATACAAGAGAATGCCTTTTATTTCTCTTTACAATGAATGAAAAAACAGATCTAAAGATATATTTCTGGTACTTTTAATGTCATTTTTTGTGAAAATTTAATACATTTATAGCAGAAAAAGTTCAAAATGGTTAAAAGCCTGCATTATTTGTTATATCCGTATGTAAAACGGACATAAAAACAGATATAATAATTTTTGTAGCTAAAGCTATGAAGACGACATTGTGGAAAGTGCAAAGAGCCAAAGATTGCAGACCAATGATCAGTTACATGAAATCCCAATTAAATAAAATTGATGTTTGTGGTTGCAACAGGAGAAAATGTAAAGAAAAAAAAACACGTTGAAGGGTGTGAATACTTTGGTGAACCACTGAATAAGTTTCCAGAGAAGGATCTTTCAAAGACAAGATGATTGTACTGCAAAAACACAAAATATTGGCAATTATTTCAGGTTTAGTTTCTAATGCAAATATCTCAGTATACATGAAATAAGATAAACAAAAAGAAATATGAGCTTTTTCAAGTCAATAATTCCTTCAAATTTATGAAAAAGTACTAGTTATGAGTAAAATAATCTGACATTTTCCCCATATTAGAAGTTACTATGTAAGTTTCTTTTGTGACATTTGCACAAAAAACTAAACCAAAAATTCTGTGTTTTTCCAGTGATGTCTATTGAAATGCTTGACACGGACTCATGTAAGCATTCGATTTGAAAGCACCAGCAGCAGCTGAGGATGCCGGGCAACATTAAACCCTAAAGCGAGGAAAAGGATCCGAGTTCATAGCAAACACGGGAGAGATGCTGGACTGTCTCCACTGTGGGTCAGAATCCCAGCTACCTGCATCACAGTGGAGCATGTACGACGGCGTGCCAGTAGGGGAGGGGTGAGGGGAGTCCTGGGACAGGAAGCTGAAGGGGGAGGGCATTGGGATTTGGCCATAGGAGGAGTAGTGCTGTCTGGGGATGCGGGGGATAATGGAGTCTTTCATGGCAACGGAACCTTAAGAGCAGGATGACACGAGGATCAACAAACCGACAGACAGAAAAATCTTTAAAACACGTATCAAGTCTGCAGCGTTCACCTGCTATGCTCTTACGCTTCCGATAGATGGCGTGATGCGGAGAGGTCGGCGTGTTAACAGCACTGCTCAGCTTCGAGGCCTCCTGGTTGGCCGTCGTCTTTATGAACTCGATGGCCGACTGGAGGACTCTGAACTGCAAAGCCACAGCCATTTCTGAAGAAACAGATTAAGCATGCTTATTTTAAAAGCTTTCCCCCATGAGCTTTTAAAAAACACCCTCATTTTATAACTTCAGAGTTCAAACGGTTAGCAAAATATACATAAACAACAACAAAAAAAACTGTAAAATTGAGATTACAGTTATTAAGAGTACAACTACATTCAGTTTTAACATGAGTCTGAAACAATTAGTCGATTATTGAAATAATAATCAACTAATTTAGTACTTTAGTATAGAAACTAAACTCAGACCAGTAACTAACCTAAAACTGTACAAAAATAAATACATTTAGCATTTAAGAGACAACAAAAAAAGTCAATTTGTGAACATGTTTTACCCAAAACTCAAGAGGCATAGTTTTATATTCTGAACAAAAATAAATGACTGAATCTTCTATTAATCTTCTTTTTCAGCTTCTCTATATTAGTGTTGAGTTGAGCAGAAAAGGCTGAACTTTTCTCATTTTTATGTTTGAAGTGTTTTCATTTTCTGCAATAAATGATTAAGTGTACCTTAAATAATTGCTGTTATTTCATTTTAGGCAGCAAAATGTTTGCTTTCAAAATTAAATAAAAGGAACTGAATTATTTATGTGATTTTTTTATGTATTTCTAATATTTTCTACAAAAAAAACTAAATGAAAAATCAGCAAAATGTCCCAATTTATTTATGTGATTATTGGATTAACTGTCAAAATAATAATAAAAAAAAATTAGTTGCAAACGTAAAAATTCTTATTTTAAAGGTAAAATTGACAGGCAAGAGATATTCCCAGACAGTCAATTTATCAGCAGCAAAATGAGATCTATTTTCTACTTTTTCACGTTTTCACTCTGAGGTTATTTTAGTTTCGTTCTGCAGCAGAAGCCGGCTGCTCGGCTTTGTCCTCCACATCAGAACGCAGCAGATGAGAAGCCCGGCTTGTTGTCTGGATGTGCACTGAATGCTGGAAATGCATCCCTCACCCTGGGTGCGTCTCATCTTGCTGGTTTGCATGAAACCCAGCAGGGTAATGAGGTCTTCGATGATGCGGAAGTACTGGGACCCCGAGGAGCTGCAGGAGTGGATAGTCACAGCAACTAACATCTGCTGGATGTCACACACCAGGAGCTTGTAATCATTCAGGGGGATACTGCAGAATGGTGAGGTAGAAAGTCGAAACAAAAACACACAAAGTCAGGCAACACAGAGCAGCAGACAGAGAATAAATGATTTAATGCTGTGTTACAACTTCTCGTCTGTTCTGGCTGCCTTACCCATTCTCCATGCCGTTCAGGGTAGAAAGAGTGTTGAAGAGCACGTAGAGCAGTCCGTGGTCCAGCAGGATGTCTGCCAGCTTGGGGCAGGCATTGACAAGCTGCAGCAGCATACAAAGGATGTTGTGCACCAAGGAGTTCTCATAAAGGGAGTTCTCAATAAGACCCAACACCGGGATTATGCAGCGCCTTCTGAAAGGTGAGATATTTTCCATTTCCTCCAGGTCAAGACTGTGGAGAAGGAAACAAGGGAGAACAATAAGAGGCGGGATTCACAAACAGCTCCAGAGAGAGTGATCAATGCACTCAATGTGGGGAGCAAGTGGATAATTATGTTTCCAATCTTATTTTTAAAGTGATGATTTCACAAAAAAAATACATTTTGAAAGCAAGAGCTGGGTGAAACATTTTTTATTAATGTTATAAAAAGAGATAAAATTATAAAAAAATATTCTAGATCAGGTATTAGTGGCAAAAAGCAAAAGGGAAGATTTTTGCTGTCTAATTCTATGCTTTATTATTTATTTTACATTATATTTAGAATTCCTAATTGCAAGAAAATATGTTGCAGTTTATTTCTTTATTATTTATTTGGGTTGTTATACTCCGAATTACCTTGACTGAACAAATTAAATCTGGTTTTACATGTTTGACTAAGTTGTTGGTGTATTTAAGGTAAGTTAAGGTGAGGTAGTTTCATTAATATAGCACGTTTTCAGAAACAATGCAGTTCAAAGTGCTTTACATGACTTAGAAGAAAATACAAACTGTGCTGTATTGGTGCAGAGTTATCAAATAAACTTGTAATTCAATACATTTATATTTGTGTTTTAAAAAAAATATTGTTTTTAGTTATTTCAGCACTTTTTCTCCGTACTGGCCAAAACTAAACCTCAGATAACAGTATCAGTATCGGAAGTGAAAAAAGTCCATCGGTGCATCCATGGTTATAATCAACACAACCATCTTCTGTAGAAAACAGTCCTGGTTAGACAAGACAAAGATTGAGGTACTTGATAGTAAAATGAAACGTATTTGGAGGAGCAAAGATGATGTTTTAAAACTTAAACTAACGCTCCTACCACACAGGGTGGAGGTAGTATCGTGCTTAGGGGTTCTGTTGACTCACTCTTCTTCGAGGCCCATGGGCCGCCCAAACAGCATCTCCAGGAAGCACTCCAGCAGCCCCTGGCTGCCCTGGTGGATGTACAGCTGGTTGGCCAGCAGCGAGAAGCCGTGGTTCTTCAGGAACTTCTCCTTCTGCTCTTTGAGAGCTCTGCTGAAATAGGCGTCCAGGAGCTGGAAGCAATTAAGAGAAAATAAAAGTCTTTAAAATACGGCTATCAATGTCAACACTTTATCGCATGGGATTAACCTAAAAAGTTTAGATTAAACTCTGCAGTGGAGGCATCACATTACACGATTTTGTACTGCGATCAACAATGTAGAGTCGCAAAGATGAGCAAGGAGAGACACATTGATGTGGCTCAGTGGGAAATTTCAAATAAAAAAAAATTAGATCCTTCCATGGACGTTTGGATAATGATGAATTATCCTTCCACTATGGCTGAACAATAAATCAATAACTATATATTGTGATTTACACATGATCAATATGAATAAATAAAACATCTGATAGAAAATTTAATATTCATTATATGGAATATTCATTGATTCAGATTGATGCTTTAATTTGAAATGTTATGGATTATTACTGGATTGTAATCCAGTTACGACTTTCGCCACTCAAACTGAGCTAAACAAAGTTTGTGGCGGTAGGAGTCTCACACTTTCTGGAGGATTTGAAAGAAAGTTTGTTGTAGTTTGTTCTTACATGTCTGACCTGTTCCTTTTGTCAGTTTCAGTTTTTTATTATTTATTTCACATCAGCTGTTGTAGTCCTAGTTGCCCTGACTGAACAAATTAAAGTTGGTTTTACATGTTTGATCAAAGTTTTGACGTTATTGGTTTACACAAAAACACACAAAAAAATTCTTTCATCACTTGTCTGAAAAGACAAATACATGTAACATGTAGAGCACATTTAAATACACCAATTTAAGTATTGGTGTATTTAAATGTGCTGTACTGGTGCAGACCTAACAAATATAAATCAGTACATTTATGTCTGTGTTTCAAAACAGAAACATTTTAAGTCAATTCAGGACTGTTTTTCTGTATCGGTTCGGTATTGGCTGATACCGAACCTCACAGTATCTGTTTCTGTAACAGTAGTAGAAGATGATTGGTGCATTCCTACTTTAAACTGCAATAACCCAAACAACAGGAACCAGATTTTGACCCACCTTCATGACGCCTTGCTGGATGAGCGGTGAGGGATGATTGACCAATACGATGAGTGCCTCTGGCTGGATCAGCTTGTCCATGACCTCCTCCAGCATGAGGTCGGGCAGCAGCAGCAGGACACCCCTCAGGAGATCGTAGAGACCACAGCAGATCAGGACCAAGCAGTCCTCCGTACTGGACCTGAGAGATAAAACCTGTTATAGTACAGGCTTTATTAAACTGGCAGGTTATTTTTGCTATATTGACCTATCATTGGCCTCCGTCTTGCTGTGTGTTCTGTCGGAGCCAGGCGAGTATGTATAGCTTTCCCAGTCTTCAGGCATCGAAGCCCGGTCAGCTGCACTGGGCCAGCGGGCGACCGCCAGCGAACCATTAGGGAATGGGAAGGCCAGACCCAGACTGGTCAGGTTGCTGTGGCTCCTCTGGAAGGACTGGATGCCCTTCAGGCTGTCGGGGCGACGCGGTGCCTCCTCGCTGGCCCAGTCCTCTGATTCCACCCCGCCCACGCTGCCCTCCGCCAGACTGTCTACTTCCGCCGACTCGTCCCGCTCTTCCTCCACGCTGATGGACGGCGTCCGTGGTGCGCCGCCCTCCCCCGCGTCGCAGATCGTCTTGGCGGACTCGCAGCTGCTCAGAAGCTGCTCGTCACCTCCGACCTTCTTGAGAGTCTCCGTGCTGCCAAGAGCCTGCTGGGAGGCCAGGGAGGCGTTGTCGCCCTCGGCCGCGTCGCTCGAGCTGCCGTGGCCGACGCGAGGCGTCACCAGAGGTGAAGGGTACGGAGACGGAGCCGCACTGGGAGGCCGTAAGGACTGATCATCACCTCCATGTTCAGGCGAAGGAGCTAGAAGATGGCCGGGGAATGATACCAGTTCACCAGTTCAGGTTTGCAGTGTAAGACTTCAGTAAAAAGTTGTCAAATCTTTGCTCATGCTTATTTAAACCTATTATTTCTTATGATTAATTGATTTACTTGACAGTTTACAGAATATCTAAGACAGTTTGCTGGACTATTTCACTGTGAAAGTAGCTAAGCTTTCTCTTTTCTATGCAATCATACAAAAACACACTACAAATGATCAAATCTGGATTTAAATGTTTCTTCAGTCTGCAGAATTTCCATGTAACTGTGGGAGATTTCTGCACCTACACCATCAGTTCAATCCTTACTATACATGAGAAACAGTCATTAGTGTTTTAATCAGCAAAATAGGCTGCTGGAGAGACGTTGCCTAGAGAACAGATTGGTGAACAGTTATTTGTTCTGTGTAAATGTCAGTCTGAAGCAATTATGCTAACAAAATCTACAATTTGTATTTTCTATTTTTTACCATCACTGATGACTGAGCTGATCCCAAAGGCTCTTAAGCATAATTTTTTAAACTTAAGCCTAAGAAAGCTACAACTCTCATTGGTCTCCCAAAAACTTGCCCATAGGTGCAATTTGGAGGTGTTTTTCCATACAATGTGGCTTTAATTTTCGTCATTCCTTCGGTGAGTTGATTTTCCAAAAATTATATTTTCCAAACTAAAAATTTGATAAATCGGTAGTCAATGTATTGCCCAGCGGTAGGACAAACTCATCATTTGCTGTAGCAGTGTGGTGGCCTGCATACGTACCTTCATGGGGGCCGTCAGGGAAAACAGTCGGAGAGAGAGACATGACGGAGCTGCTGGCAGACCTTCCTCCGCTGTTGGAGCGTCTCAAGTACATAATGGACTGCACCTTTTCCTGGTACAACTTCCCGTCTGAGAAACATTAAAGAGAGCTCAGAGCTTTGAATCACTAAAGCTTTGATTTAAAGGGCCAGTATCATGTGTTTTACAGGCATACAGTGCAATTTTACATCAGTTATTTACAATTTATAGCCTATAAAATAGTGTTTCAGACTAAAATGAAGAAAAACATGATTCCAGCAATGGCTGGAGTGAAATTATCATAATAACCCCATATTGGCCGGGAAGCGCAACGAATACTCTTTCAGAAACTGTTGGAATTTTTCAGACAGCGCAAAGTGCCATGCAGTTATGGTACTGTGAAGCTTGCTTGTAAAAATGTGTTGTGACTGACACATTCAGCCGAACAGAATTAACCAATTTAGCAACGTTTTTAGCATTATATGAGAAGTAGCTGATATAATGAGCTCAGTAAATGTTTCACCAGGTGGTTGCTAATTGCCGTTAGCTAGTTTGAAGGAGCAGAGTGAGTAAATTACAGAGGAGTGCTGCTCTGTGAGGCAGAAGCTTAGAAACTGCAGCTCAGAAGAGGAGCTGCGTCTGGAAGGCGGGGCTAGGTCCACTCAGGCATTTTGCACAGCTGAATGGTTGCCATGAAAGAATCAAAGCACTCCAGGTTATTCCATCCAGGTAGGAGGAAATAAGATTATAACATGATATAAAGCTCAAAAAAGTAAATTTTTTTGTGATACGGCCCCTTTAAAGGTGCTGCGTTCAGCTGGACTACTTCCTTACCGATGTGCAGCGAGAAGTAGAAGCTGGATGGAGTGTGACAGACGTAGGTGTTGGTGGGCGGGTGAACAGCCAGCAGGAAGTTGCAGATGAGCTTCAGCAGATCCATGTCTGGAGGAGAGCCCAGCACTTCCTGGATGATTTTGATGAAGGACAAAGACACTTCCTGAGGTATGGACGTTAGATGGTCGTCCCGGTGCTCCTTAACAGAAATGCATTCTTAGTAACAGCGAAAGAGAGGAAGTGGAGGCGACATTAGAGCTGCGTTATTTGGCAGGATTACCTGCAACACCTGGCAGGTGAGCAGGAAGCGATGCACGACTTCAGCGTTCAGGAACTGGCGGATGTTGTAGACCTGATGTGGGTGGTGAACCCTGATGAGGATCTCTAAAGCGGCAAGCAGTTTTTCCCACACACCACACTAACGAATACAACAAGAATATCAAGTTACTTATACTATTAGGCTCAATTTATCTGCATTTAACCCAAAACATAGGGCTTATAATGAAGGCAAAAATCTGCCTCCATCTTGATAAGTCTTTAGTAGAAACATTTTAAGTAAATAGCCAACAAAAAAAAGGAAATTCACCAGCTTTAAAGACTGAATGTTGAATTTAAAACATTCAAAATTGTTCTGTGTTGTGCAAATATAAGCAGAGTTGGGTAATAACAAGTTACATTTACATAGTTTCACAAAAACAGATTGATGCAGAAGCAAGGACAGGAAGAAAAATCAATATATTTCCAATTAAATTATTGAAGACCTCACGACTCCATCTGAATGGATGACATTTACACACCGAGCTGCCATGTCAGGATGGATAAAAGTCTGATCTGCGACCAGCCTGACTGCAGTGGTCGTAAATCTTCAGTCCTTTGGGACTCTGAAAGCTTCAGGTAATAAAGGCTACAGGCATGAAGTCTTAAACGTTAGCAGAGTTGGGTAGTATATTACATTTACCTCAGTAACATTTTGCAGAAATGTATTTTTAAGAGTGTACTTTTTACTTTTACTTGAGTAATTTTCTTATGAGGTATCACTACTCTTGGAGTAAAATTTCTGGATATTCTACGCACTGCGAGTAACTTCACTGAATGAAGAACAATTTTGTTTCAACAAAAAATTCAAAAGACACAGACACACACCTGCAGTTTTTGTTAAAGTTTCATAATGAAGCTAACAACCTTGCAAAGTGCAAAATACAAATGTGTGTCTCTCTTGAAAAGAGGTCTGCAACCTTTATATTCCAACAAACCATCTCTATGCATTGTCCAGTGAAATAAATATAAATTATAACCACAAATGACATATGACCAATAAAATAAGAATGACTTATAAGGATACAGGTTTCAGATCCCGGCTCTGGAATCTAAATATTAATCAAGATCAGTTTCAGACTTTAGGGCAAAACCGATATCTACGTGTGAGTTCACCTCAGCTTTCGCCCAAATCTTCCAGTCCAGCAGGATGTCAGAGAGCAGCCTGATATCCTGAACAACAGCCACAGACTCTGGGTCCAATCGAAACTGGCCGTTGTCCCCCAGGATGAGGACCGGTCCACTGCAACAGCCGTCCAGCAGAGTCTACAAAGACGGGACACGTCAGTGTTCAGACTCATCAGGCACACATGAAACAGATTGATGAAGAAGCAAAGACAGGGAGAAAAATCAATATATCTCCAATTAAATTATTGAAGACCTCATGACTCCATCGGAATGGATGACATTTACACACCGAGCTGCCTTGTCAGGTTTGATAAAAGTCTGATCTGTGACCAGCCAGACTGGAGAGGTCGTAAATCTTCAGTCCCTTAGGACTCTGGAAGCTTCAGGTAATAAAGGCTACAAGTGTAAAGAATTTTTACTATGCCATACTTTTAACTTTTATTTGAATAATTTTATTATGAAGTATTGCTGCCCTTTCTTAAATAAGCTTACTGCAAGATTATTTTAATAAAAAATTGACCAGATCCAGACACATACCTGCAGTTTTTGGTAAAGTTTCGTACTGAAAGAAATTGATTTGTAAAAAATGTTTCTTTTGCCTGATTTTGCTATTCTGTGATTATGTTACATATATGAATCATTTTGGTTTTTAAAATACCAAAGTCTCCACATAACTTTATATTTTAGTATGTCTGATTATTTTTAAACATTAAATGATTGATTATCTGATCAGTTACTCAGTACTTGATTAGCCTTTTTATCAAATACTTGAGTTAAAATATGTTTCAGTACTTTACCCTCCTCTGCCCACTACTAATTAAACAGTATGATGAGGCTGAAGAGTTACATCAAAAGATATTAGATATTTTAACAGAATAACAAAAAATGGTGAGAATAAATTGTAACAGCATGTTTTCTTTCATAGTGTAATAATTACGAGAATGTGGCATCGCTAATCAAAACACAATAAAGGATTTGAGGATGTGTAAACGGTAAAGAGGCATGCAATCAGAGGAGCCATGGACGTCAGTGTCTCATCAAACCAGACGGAGTTGGTTTCAGCGCGGCTCTATTACACACACAGCCAGAGGGTCAAGTAACAGCGGGTCACTGACACCGGCTCAGACAGGGTCCAGTCTGTCGCTCTAGATCAGATTCACAAAAAACCCCCTCCAGAAAAAACAAAAAAGAGATGCAGAACAGAGGAATAGAAACAGCAAGGGGTTGAAGGTGTGACTCACTTTCAGCATATGGTATCCTACGATGCATTTGGACTTGATGAGGACCTGATGGATCATGGAGTAACCATGGTAACAGTCCATTTCATGGATGCGGTGTTGGTTGTGCTTGCAGAGAGACAGTAGCACTCGCAGGGCCAGAGCCTGGGTCTTCTCGCAGTCACTCAGCTCCACCGTCTGGACGATGCAATACCCAGAGACAAGAGAGAGGGAAAAAAGTAAAGATTAAAAAAAAAAATTCAGGTCACATTAGACTTTGAACCAAAAGGATGCACAAAAATATAACAAGCTAAAACATCGACAATGTTTTCACACTAAAAGAAGCAAAAGATGTATTCAAATTGTCAGAATACAATGAATGTCCAGTTGCTCTGCAATGTCGATGCAACATAAGCTTAAAGCAGAAAATGTATTTTAAAGCAATATTTTCCTGAAAAATTGTCATCCTAATTCAAATTATTTACTTGTTCAATAACCATGCAAAAAGATAAATAGGTAGAACAAATACATAATGGCAGCATTGCTCAATGGTTTGGAAAAAAAACCCCGTCAAGTTAACATTAAAATACTAAATAATTTCATTGTCAATTCTTTTACCTTTACATTCTCAGCAATAACAGTACATGAAACATGTTGTTGTTTTTTTTACTTTTTGGGTGAAATGATTCCTATTTTGTTGGTCTGAAAAATATTTTTAAGATTACTCTCCAAAAGAAATAAATGAAAACTTTTAAAGTACAACAAAAGTTTCTTTGAAAATCATTTTTGTATTTAGCTATATTTACTGAATGGGTGTTACATACTATAAAACGAACACAAAAATGCTTTGTGTTAAAATAATAATAATCAATTTTATTTATCATGCCTTTTACATCTCATTCACACACTGATGATGAAGCTACAGTCCAGTAGCCACAGCTGCCCTGGGGAGTCTGACAGAAGCAAGGCTGCATTTTTTCACAACAGTGTCAATAATCTGCACCATCTGTTGAAAAGCCAAATTTGTTCCACTTTTGAACCACAAAAGTCCCCAAAAATCCATTTGAACACCAGTGATGAATGGTTAATAATAGAATTCTTAATTTAAAACACATTAAATTATTAATTTGTGTATTTGCATTGTATCTAAATTAGATGCTCTACCTGTGCAAAAAGGAAAACAAAGTTTCCCGTCCCTCCAATCTTATGCAAGACGCTCTGCAGGCCGTGGGTTTTGATGGGAAGCAGAGATCTAAATGCATTTGCATCCAGTGAGATGCTCTGCACCTCTTTGGAGCTGAAGGGCCGCTGGGTGACGACCGTCTTGGCCTGACCTTTCAGCCTGATCACAGGCTCATATATGGTGTAGACTCTTGGACTGCTGGGGGCATAAACTATCGCCAAGCTCTCCTGTAAAGAAACAGAAAATGCCATCATAATTATCTCTTCTGTTTGTGGTGACTTCTGATATTTGATCTGCTTTATATTAGTTAAGATTCCAACTGGGAGCATTAACTTAACTAATCTATTAATATTTAATGTTCAGTCTCACTTAAATAGCTGCAGCGTAACTAACAATTTTTTCCATGCGATGCAGGTGAAAATTACTTCCTGCATTGTGTTATTACTGATCTGAGAAAATCAAAAGGAAACATTTCACCAGCACTTCTTAAAAAAGATGCTTTTATATGTGGCATGAATAAAAGTGACACCATTGAACATAGTATCCATCACCAAATGTTTTACTTACAACCAGTGCTGTTGTGTCAATGTCCTTGTTCTTCATCAGAATCTCTCGGACACGTTCACACCTGAGGCCTTCCTGAGAGACGAACTTGGAGATTGAGCCACTCGACTTGCCGTATTTACAGGGCATTATTGATGTAAGGTCTGGTCCACTGGAGTAGAGGAAGAAGGCCTCCTCAGATCCTATCCTCGACCCTGACACAAGCAAGTAAACAACAAAAAGAGTGAATCTTTATCTCTGTTTTGGGAAATCAGGTGCACCTTCCGTTTTTAAGTTCTTGCTTATTATTTTTCCCACAAAGAAAATGATTCCCAAACTTAATTCAATCAAAGCTGGAGAAGTAGAGTTTGCATAAAAACATCTGTTTTTAGGCAACTTCAGTCTTGTTCTGAGGTCCCACTTGAAAGTGATGAAGTTTAAAACGTCTATGAATTAGGACATGTAATAATAATTTCATTGAAATATATCAACCCAAAATAGAGTATAATTGTGATGAAGTAAGGGTCCCTTTACTCTGGTATGTCAAAATGAAACTCAGTGCAACCTCGAATGTCAAGGTTGCACTGCAATTTAATCTCAGTGTTAATCCAGCTGAGCAGTTAACAGTGTAAAGACGGTGAGGAAAAAAACTTCCTGATTAATAAGAGCTCTGACTGTCATTACTCAGCTTTGATATTCTTATAGAGCTCAATCCCTGTTAGAGGGAAGGAGCTGTAAATGTAACAGGAGTCCTACCATTAAAGAGAAGCACAGTGCCCATGCTCCAGCGTCCCGCCTCCTTCTCCAGCTCCTCTGACGAAACTGTGCAATGGCCCAACATGCAGAAGGTTTTGTTGCTGTCAGACGATAAACTGGACTTGCGAGGGAGAGTGTAATCCAGAGAAACCTCACATTTCCTTAATAAACAAATAAAAAAGCAACTTTAATATTTAGAAAGTGACAGAAGTATGGCTTTTAAGTGTACATCTGTCATTTGCAGTAAAGGATGCATACGGAGATAAAAAAATTTGAAAAAGCGAAAAGCTCAGCCCATTCTGCATGAATTATCAATACATTGCTTTGGCTGAGTTGTTGATTATTTTTTGGATTATTTGATTAATAATTTGACAATAAAAGATAATTAATAGAAGATTAAGTCATTTTGGGTAGAACATATTTAGAGACAAATGTTTTCTATTTTTAATGCAGAATGTGTATCTTTTTAATACAGTTTTGGTTTAATCAAAGCTCTGACTGTTATTCTTTCAGCAAGTGGCCATTTTAGAGTTTGCATGCACCAGTTAACAAGTAATCAATTCCTAAATCAGTTGATCATTATTTCAATAGTTAATTGAAATAATTAATTAATAATAATTAATCTGATTGATTGCTTAGCTAAAACACGGCATATTTCCGACAGGTTTTCTTACCAGATGCCACAAACCCACACGACAACGCGGCCGTGGATGTTCTTCTTGCCCTCTGGCTGCTGGCTGTACGTGAGGCCGAGGTGCTGCCACTGCCCTCGTCTGAACAATCCCTCGCCCGACTCGACCTGCGCCAACAGCCCAGCTTTTATGTCATCGTTCGGATCTATGCAAATCCTGAGAGAGCAAAGAATTACAATGAATGAAAGTTCAGATCCTAGCAACAGTACACCTTAGAAATAGCAGCCTGTATGGAGATACCAGTGGAGATATAATACATCACTACAACAAGAATTTGAACGGAAAAACCTCATAAGATAAAATGTAAAACATTAGGTTCTTTGGGACTGTCCGATCATTACGGATTAATGGAAGAAGATAAATAAGTATTATTAGTGTTACTATTTTCAAGAGACAAAGCTTATGTATTTTGGTAATATGCAAGTTTCAAAAACAAACAAATACCGATTAAGAGCAAGTAACATAAAAATGGCTATCACAGGACAAACAAACCTTATATCACTGGATGAATATAATATTTGACACATATAAAAGGGCCTATTGTCATTTTAAATCAAAATTAGCTGCTGCTGGCTCCCCAAACTCAATTTTTACATTCAAATTTTCTGATTAGCTAATTTTCCAGAGACCACAAAGCATAAAGTTATTGCAAAAAAACAGCTGGTTGGTTTTCTCTAAGAGCCTTGGCTGTTTTAATAGGCAGTAGAGGCCCAAATGCCAGCATAAAAATTGGCATATTATATTATCTTTGAAATTTACTCACTTGGAAATCAGTAATGATAAAAAGTAGAAATATCAACTTATTCTGCACATAAAACCTTCATCCTCACCTGAAAGTGAGAGAGCCTTTGGAGAAGTTTGCCCACACTTGAAGCATCAGCGCCTTGGAGCCCATGGAGAGAACATGAACGAGGTTTTCTTCTGCTGACTTTGCTCCAGACTGAGGTGAAGCATGATGAATCTCAGATGCAGAACAGACGCTTTCTTCTGGAAAATGAAACAAATCTTAGAAACTGTCCATCTTTCAAGTAGATCAAGCAGTAAGAATCCCAACCTTTGTCGTCGCTCTTCTCCTCCAGCTCCGTCACCCTCAGCCACATCGAGGCACTGAAACCGGGGGCCATGTGGGGCCAGCAGTTCTGCCCCACGAGAGGTAGGTGGAGAGGGGCCGTGTGCCAGGGTGAAGACCAGAGGTGGCTTGGTCGATACTCTGGTTCCCCCTCCCGGCGACCAGGAGAAAGTTTCCCCTTCCAGAGCAAGCTGACGGCTTTGCCTCCGGCGGCACCGCTCTGCCTGGAGCCAGGAGATGAGCCTCCAGGTGTTGAAACCCCATGGAGTATCGGAAACGTCAGGAAGTGAAGAGGCTCCATGTCCATGTTGGCTTCGACAATTTCTAGGATACCCTTCAGTAATATAGCCTATAAACAAAGAAAATTAAATGGCTGGGATAAGAGCACACAAATATCTCAGATTTGACCTTTTATCTTTATTAAGTTTTTTGCTCCAGGCCACTTTAAACTGCAAATGGCAGACTTGCTAAAATAAGCTCCTATTTCACACAGGCGACACCCAGGCATCTCTGAATATTAATATTTTTGTAACTTTAAGCATCGTTACACCCAAAAAAGATGTAATCTTTTGTTTGTTGTTATTTGTCACTTGGAACCAATGTTCCCTCTAATTTTTCATGTGTCTGGGCATACACACAAGCTTCCTGGGCACACTGAGGACCACTGTGAGCATCATCAGTGTACACGGTGTGGCCACGCACAAGTATCATAAATCTGGAATCATAGAAAGTTGCATGGCTTATTAAAAAAAAATCAAATACATCAGCAATTTTCATTCGTTTGCTTTTAATTTAAGTGATTTGCTCAATTAAAATAAAAAAAAGAAAAGAAAACATTGGTGTTCATGTGATGCATGCTATAAGTAAGAGTCCTGCTTCAGCCAGGGTGAGAAATGAGACATTACACCTTTCAGACATAAATGTTTGTTCATATTAAAACATTCACATTTTGCACAATGAAATGTTTTCTGTAGCTTGTGATGCAGTATAAATTCTTGTAAAATATTTAATTACAGTTTTTTTACGTCTGCCCTTCTCACTTCTTCTCACTTCTCCAGTGGTTGTTCACTTAGCCCAGGTTGATGGACAGTCTGCTTCTTGCTTTATCTACTTGAATTCAGCATATTGACTGTTAATTGCCTCCATAATCTGTGGGTGGAGGAGAAAGGCCTCATACTTCTTTGCCAGTGTACAAATGTCTGCTTATCCATAGTCAAAAATCTGAACTCAACATTTCAATATCAAATGCAGACCATTCCTTTCATTTGATTTGATTCCATTTGATCTTAGAAGAAGTGCATTTATTTTTTTTTACTTTGGCTTGGTGAGTGGATGTCCCACGTAGACATGATAAGGTGATTCCTTTCACGTTTCTTAACTCTGCCGCACTATTCTCACCTACACGGCGCATATGACCAAGGCACGTCAGCGCATGCTGATTGGCTGAGTGTAAGTGTATGTAGCGAAAGTGAACCGTATCGTATCATTGGCTGGATTCCTGTCACTCACTGAGTTCGATCGCAAAGTAGTACGGAAAAAAATTTTTATTGGTCCATAGTCAAAACTGATGTTTGAGCTCAATGTCCACTTTACGCTGGATTTTATTTCATGCGCTACATAGATTTTCTTGTGCGCTGAGAATATGTGAGCAGTGCGAGATTGCGCAGGCGCGCAGCTTAGAGGGAACACTGCTTGGAACCTGTCATTTCAGTAGAATAATATAAAAATCGAGGGTGCTAAAAAAATACATTTTACATAATAAAATACTCTCCATTTAAAAATACAAGAATCCATGTTTTAATCATCTCCACACAGTGACAGTTTTTATGCCTCTGATTGGATGGTCTGTCCATCTTGATGGCTCTTCATCCAGAAAGGAGTTTTGAGCTCCAAGTAACAAGAACCAGCAAACCAAACAAGAAAAGCCTTCCACATCAGGCTTTGAGCCAATTTTGATAACCTTCTCAGATTCGATATTAATAACTGTTTGTTTTGTGTGTTTATATTCTGTGCAAGTCTTCAGCCATTCAACCATGTTGGACCTTACATCCAACATAATGGCAAAAAAAAAAAAAAAAACTCCAACAAGCTTCGAAAACATTCCCCCTTTTATATTTTTTCAGCCCCTTATGTTAATATATGTACTAAAACTCTAAATTAGATCATAAAACATCTGTCCTTTGAATCTTGATAGATAAAACCTTAATAAGTCCCAACATTTAATTTTGTATTTATAAAACTTGTTCAGAAGTAGTGTGCAGAGAAAAGGCAGTAGTAGTCTAGCATGTTTGTGTGCATCATTAGTTAATACATTTTAGCTCGAATAAACATATTTTCATTTTTTTTAATTCTTTTTTTTCCTTGTAGCATATGCACTATTACATCAGATCAATTTCCTACTCTGTGAACTTGTATACTAGCAAAGGCAATGAAGTGATTCTGATTTAATTGTTCATTAGCTGTTGTTTTTTTTTTAATTAATGATTAAAAGTTTGTTAGTAATCATCTTAAAACATTCTACTTCTTTAAATATGTGAAGATTGCTTTAAAAATGGGAAAAAAGATTAATCATTCAGGTTGATTTTTGGTTTATAAACCTCCGTTTGACGTAGCTTAATAACGTAAGAAGCACTGAGAATATTCCCTTGGTAAAAATAAACATTTCACTTAAACAGAGGCTATGAACAGCTCTCTCCTGCAGGCTTCCAACCAAACATACTTGTGCTAATGAGCTGCAGCACCACATCTCTTCCGCACACTTTGGTGTTAACTGTGTGTGATGTGAAGAGAGCTCCAGGATCTAGTATGTGTTGATGAATTTTCAAGAACCACAAAGTGCAAAGCGAGAGTGACAGGAAGCGCGTCTTACGCAGAAACTCTAGTTTACATTAATAAACTGAACTCGCAGACTTTGATCACAAGCTGGCTGCACGTAAGCAAATAGTACAGTGCTGAGTGACGGAGCGGTATTTACTGTAGGTGGGGTTTTCTCCAGGAAGAGGCGAATCAATAGGGCCAGTTCCTCTGCCGTAATGCGCTGGCTCACCATGGCAACCAGCAGCTCCACCAGCACCGTCTGGCAATCTAAACACCAGCGATAAAGAACAGGAATATATGAACAGTTTGAATTCAATCTACCAAGACAAGAACACTTAATCGTGTTGGTTTTATTGTCGAACTTGACTTGCAAAAGTATTTACACCTCTTTTAAGTTTTTCACACCATGTCCGGATGCAACCACAAACTTCTGTATATTTTATTGCTGTTTCATGTGATAGACCAACACAGTGTTAGATTGCACTTCATCACAAATATTAGGAACTTTCAAGTATTTTATGCACAAATTAAGCTCTTTCTAAATTTAAGCATTATCAGTTGAAGCACCCATATAAACACTGAGATGGAGAGAGTCTGCTAATGTACATCTTTAGGTCTTTCCACAGATTGTAAATTGGATTTACAGGGGGTCTAGACTTTGATTAGGTTTGATGTGTCAAAGGATGAATACTTTTGAAATGGATGGTTATTAAGGAGAAATAACATACACTGAAGTATATCTTAAACAATAGAAATTGTAAAATAAGTCCAACTTTGAGAAACTAACTGGGTACAGATTTAGCCAAGTATCTAAGCTAAATATTATGCTTGAACTCTGGGGGTCAAGTTAAAACGTCATGTCTGTAAACATATGAACTTTTAGACATGCTTCACAAAATGTTCTGGCGGATAAAATAAATTACAAACCTTTAAAGGACAGCTCTGTTTGACTGAGGATGTTGTGAAAGCTACAAAGGATGGTTTTGACTCCTCCCTGTGAGAAACCAAAGTGATGGGTTACGTCAAACCTGCAAGGCAGTGAACACCATCACAAAGAGGAAGACGTATTCAGTCTGACCTGGTCGTAGAGCAAGGCGGCGTTGCGGCGGTTGGCATGCACGGCGCCCAGGAGGCTGTGAAACACGTGACTGAGAACCTCCAGTTCCGGCGAACCGGAGGCAAGAAGCCGCAACTCCATGGTGCATATCTCAGGGAACAGCAGCACGCCACGCTCCGGCCCATCCTCCGCCACTGCCGCAAACTCACTCAACCCTGCAGGCTCCACCTTCCCTACTGAGGAAACGTCCAGTCAGCAGGGGAAGACAAAAAAAAAAAACCCCAGAAAAAACACAATCCAACAGATTATTAATTTGCCCTACAGACTAGCTGACACCATTAACATGAATAGCCTCCAGACTCCATCCATTCCCAACCATCGATGTTGGAGGAATCTCATGGAAATGAATTAGCCGGAGGTCTGCGCTCAGCCTTGGAGCAGTCTGGGTTTCCCCTCATGATTTACAGGGTTGCAGCCCTGCAGCCTCTCACATGGTGCCTGGAACCTCCTTTTATTAATGAAGCTGCACGTTCGCGCACATCTGCACTGCTAGCACAAATACACATAAATACTGTCTTCTGTATATTTACAGTAAGGTCTAACAGTTTTCCCTGAAGAATATATAAAGTAACGAGTAAAGCTTGTGACGTATTGGAATGTAAATAACACAAAATTTCTCTGTTCAGAGCAGAAAATTTAAGACAGTAAAGCTTTTTTCTAGATATTTGTGATGCTTTTGTACAAAGTGAAGGTTGGAGACAAACTAGGCCTGCGAAATATGGCTAAGAAAAGAAAACTTTAGATGTTTTTGTATCATATCCAACTTTTTGTATCATATCCAATTTTAATATTTAATAAAATTTTCTTACTATAGATTCTAAAATAAGAAATAAATGACTTAAAATATTTTCCAAAAGTGGCTTTTACGTCAGTCATCCCTTCTGTGAGATGGATGATGTCATGTTAGTGCCAGATTATGAGAATATAGTAACAATATTAGCAGAATAAAGATACAATTTTATAGAAAGAATGGTGAAAATGAGAAAGAAAGTAATTTTAATGAAAAAAAAAACTTTGATATAACAGATTTGATGTGACCAGTTCATGTTGTTCATTCTTCGAAGTAAACAGTTGTTTGCACAATTGTTTCAATCTCCTGCTACAGATAATAATTTGAAGTTGACATGTTAAGTATTTCTATAAAATATAAAGTATTATCTGTGAAACTTCTACTAAAGTGTAACTTCACCAAACTCTCAAAATTTATCATTTTAATTTTTTTGCTTTTTTGTGATGGAGTTTGTGATAAAATGTATTATTCTAATATTACAAGATATATTTTTATGGTAAAATCACAACTTTTTCTCAGATATTATTTTGACCCTATTGTGTGTGAATATTATGACCTTTTTCTCTGAAAATGTTGACTGGCTCTAATATTTTTTTGTAGACCTAAATTCATAGTCCAAATAAATAGAAACTGTAAAACACTACTGCCAAACAAGATGGCCCCCCTAGGCGTGTTGACATCACTGAGCTGTGAAACATAAATATATAAGTACATTGGTGAAAAAAAATTTATTTTCCAACACGAGAATTTGATTAATTGTTCAATTTAAAAACACCAAAATGACATACTAAGTTGTGAAAAAAAAAATGTCAGCAGTTTAACCCAAACTGTGTCTTTAAAATTAAATAATGTTTACATTCTGACAAAATGTCCAATAAAGACGACACCAGCAGTAACTCTGCAGTTACTCCAGCAAGTGACTCGTCTGTCACTGTAAAAATCAGATCTGTCACCTGCATGCTCTTTAATCAAAACTACTCATTCTTTGTTCAATTTCATGTGTCTTTTTTAAACTTTATCAGTGATACTGGTTACACTGGGAAAGTTATTGGTGCTTTCAAGTGAGGTTGTGTTAAAAAAAACAACCCAAAATGCTGCACAACCCATGCAACACTTTGCAGCTCAAAAGAAGTCAAGAAAAGAAAAGATTAATGCCGCAAACAGAATTTGTTGAAACTCCTGCTAAAAAAATGGCTAAAAAGCCTTAAATTAAACAGAGCGCGAGATTGATGATTAGCACAATACAGTATACCAAATATATGTAAGGGAGAGACTTGGCTTTGAAAATCAACAAATGGACAAATTTGTGGATTTTAAGGATTAGGGCATTAAAACTTGATTTTGTTTAAACATTGGCTTCATGTGGGTTGTTACAAGGAAGGAGAGTAAATTATCATATTTTATTTTTTAACCAGCAATTTTACCTTCTGTATTACCGTTCTTTAATGGTTAAAAAATAAATCTGTTTTTTATTCTTATTTTGAATGTTTTGGTTTTTTTTGGCAGAAGCAGTCATATTTGTTTTTGCTTTTTAATTTTGTCGTTTTTTGAATTTATGTTTTTGTTTTTAGCAGAAGCAGTCATGCTTGTTTTTGTTTTTATTTTTCAATTTTTACTGGTTTTGTTTTTTGGCAGAATAAGTCATTTTTGTGTCTGTTTCATAATTTTTATTTTCTAGTTATTCTGATGTTTAAGCTGAAATGTGAATTCAACACTTTGAAAAGCAATAATGAGTACTTTGACACATATTTTTTGGCCACAATTATCACTATTTTGCACAATATGTGTTTTTTATTTAAAGTAGAAAAAGAGACAATGATTGAAAACCAATGTATCTGATTTTAGTCAGTCTGACTAAAGGTCAAAAAAGGGACCATTGTTAAAATCGGATAAAGATTTTACAGACATAGTCATTTCATAGACAGAGCCATTCAAAGTGTATAAATTAATTAGTTAGACCTGATGGGTTTTTGTTTCTCATTCTTCAAAATTAAAATGCTCTCTATTTTAGGTGATGCAATCGTTTTTCCATGAAGCCAGCGCCTCCATCAGATTGGAACCACAAGTCACAAGATGCAGCTTATGAGGCCAAAGCAACTCGCTGCCAGCTAGTTGTAAAACTTATCACAATGAGTCCTTTCTGAGGAGATTAAAGTATAAAAAAAACAGTGTAATCAGGCCAATTCGTCAACCTGCATCAGGCTCAGGGCTGCTTTCTGCTTTGTCATCCATACGCAATAAAAATATCAACTTCTTCTTGCTAAATATCCTCCACAGGAGGATGTTGCTTTATCTGTCACACGACAGAACAAGTCAAAAGCCAAAAAAACAAACAAAAAAAAGAAGTCCAGAACCATTCATTTTTGAGTTGGTCAGAGTTAGAAATGAGGTTTTCCCAAGGCAAGTTTTCAGCAGGGTCAGAGGTTGAGACCAGCACATGACCTCTCAGTCAAGCCAGATAAGTGTGCTGACATTTCTCAGCAACAAAAACAAGACGTAAAGAGCAGATGACGTTTATAGTGATCCACAAGAAACAGTACAGCTGAAGCAAATGGTAGTAACAAAGAGTTGTTTACACAGTTTTAGTGTGCATTTGTGTGTGGACCTACCCTCTTCCTGCTGCTTCATGGTCTCCGGGTTGCTTTCACTATCAGCGTCGTAGCCCTCCTCCTCCCCCGGCAGCCTGACACTGCAGCTCTGCACCTCATCCACCTCCTCAGACAGATCTCCTGCTGGAGCCGCCCCCTCAGCAAACACCTGGAGCTTCTAGTAAAAAAAAAAAAAGCTAAAATGAAACTAAACCAAGATCCTCCTCCCCAGTCCTGCTACCTTAAATGGTGATAAGATTTAAGACTAATCATCAAATCCTTTGATGATTGAAAAAACAAATCTCCTTGACCAAAAGTATTTCCAGCATGACAAGTGGTGGTCTTTCCACTTATGTGGTAAAAAAAGGCAGGGAAAAAAGTACAAGTTTTTGGTCATAAGACAAATATCAGCTGACTTGCACCGCATCTACACAACCCAGTTCCTTGTTGTGCACAGTTGGTTATAGTACGCACACATCAGAAAACTCCCAATAACAACACAGACACTGAGGAATTATTCTACACCACCGCGATGTGAGAAACCATACCTTCAATTGTGATGTGTAAGTTATCATCTAAAAAAATGTGACACCTTCTGTTGCAAAATACTAATTTCAGAGCTCTGTAAATTGGGTAATTTTTAAGTAAACATCACACTCTGCTGGGTCTACGGAGAAAGTACTAAGCTCCTAGAAAAACAATAACTCTGAGCCAAAAAAAAAAATTATATATATATATATATATATATATATATATATATATATATATATATATATATATATATATATATATATATATATATATATATATATATATGAGAAATACACTCTCATCCAATACTTTTAATTTTCCGAAACAATGCAGTTACAGTGATTTGGAAAAGTATTTATATACCTTATACTTTTGTGCATTTTGCACTTCAAAATCATGAATATTAAATAAATGGATTTTAAATCTAGTGCAAAAAAAAATTCCTCAAAAGTTAACTTATAATTAAACTTTACAGACAGCCACAGCTCAGGTGGAAGAGTCTGCTAACTGGACAACCATTTTAAAAACAGGTCATAATTGCACCAATGTGCTGAACAAAAACAATGCCATAATAGAATAAATTGATGGAATTAAAACATAAAAATAAGAAAATAAAATAAAAATAAAACATCAAAACAGAAATGTTACAATATCATGCCTCAATTAAATGCCAACGCATAAATTAAAGTTTTAAGAAGGGTGTGGGCAGATCTAAACTGGAAAGGTAATTTATTCCAGAGAGTAGGAGCAGAAGTAGAGAAAGCCCAATCTCCTTTGAGCTCAAGATGAGTCAGAGGGACTTCCAATAGCAACTGATTACTGGATCTTTAGGTTCTGGACATAGATGCGCTTAAAAAGGTTGTTAAAAGAATCTTAAAATCTATCTGATACGAAACAGGCAGATAGCGTAAAGAGGCCAATATTGGCCTTATATGGTCGGGCTTCTGGGTTTTGCACTCTGGATCACTATAAGATTATTATTGGTCATTTGATAAACCAATCAGCAATTTATGGAAGAATGACAGAAAGACAAATATAAAGTCAAAATTGAAGCTTGAAACAAAGAAAACGTTACATATCTTGAAATTTTGGACCTACATCCAAAACAGTGTGGGAGAAGACTGACGAGACACATCAAAATGCATCCAGCTGTAATTATCATGAATAGTTCGATGCTAAAATTAATTTTCAGATTTGTTATAGATAATAAATGATGCTGATAAAAATAAAATGCTTTCGCACGGAACAAAGGAAAGTGGGTGAAACTGAGTGTAAATTTAAATAGGTTATGCTTGCTCTTCATGAACGCTGTAATTACGTCCACTATCTTGTTGTCCAGATAGTGGTTGCCCAGCAACATGGTGTGAATGCTTTACTGTAGTGACTGACAACACTTTGCTAGATGATTACTTTCCTTTCATTCATGCTCAACTTCTTTACCTTCTTTGTTAGCCAACAAAGCTAAAGTGATCAGGTTTGTTGGTTTGATACTAATAAATCAGGTGATTCAGAACGCAAACAGCAGAGGGGAGTTGATAACGTTGATAACGTTCCTAACTGCGTGATAGCGTCTTAGTTATCACCTTCATGACATCTTGAAAAACAAGTCACTGTTTGACAACTTTGTAAACTCAGTGTTAGGGCTGGCGGGAATTTATTTAAAAATAATAGTACAGAGGAGGAATAATAGACAAGAAAGTAAAAATGAAGCTAAAACATTGCAACCTACACATCCTCTAAACAAAATTTGATATTTTACTCAATTACTAAAACTCTGCTTTGGTTGTAGCAACATTTAACGTCATTATTTTAAAAGCCAGTTCCACTAAAATACCACAAAAATTATGTATTTTGTTAAATCAGCTAACCAAACGTGGATAAGTAGAATGGCAAACTCTTCAACTGAGAGCACAATTAGCGTCAAGTACACCCTAAAGACGATACATGGCTCTGAATGGAAATATTGGACAGGCAAATTTGCGATCGCCTTCACTGTCCTATGTGTTTGTCTGAAAAAGCTGCAGCAAACAATAAAAGTAAAATATTGATTAAAGTCACTTCACTGCAAAAACATAAAATATTACCAAGTAATTTTAGTCTAATTTTTTGAGCAGGTATCTTACTACACTTGAAATAAGACAAACAAACTTAAGTAACTTTTCTTGTTTTAAGTCAATACTTCCTTAATATTGAACGATAAAGTACATATTTCACTGGCAGATTATTGCACTTAAAACAAGACATTTTTTCCATGTTCTGAGTAAATTTATCTGCCAGTAGAACCAGTACTTCTTCATAAATTTTAAGGCTATACTTACTTAAAATAAGCTAATACATCTTGCTGAAAAGTTACTTTTAGATTAGCATGTCTTATTTCAAGTGTACTGAGATTTTGCACTAAAAACTAGACCAAAATTACTCTGAAAGATTTTCTGTTTTTGCAGTGTAGCAGACAGTAAATCATATTCTGATTTAGGGTTGTTGTAGATTTGTAGTAGCAAATCTTGCACATTTTGTGTTTTTAATCCATTTCTGGGTCTTAGGATATAGCTACAAATGTTTACTAAACGCTCCTTCTTGCGCCACAGGTTATTTTTACCTCATCACCTTTCATATTGTTCCAGTTTTAGTCATTTTATCAGACTTTTTACCATGATTCTCTCTACCATGGGGTCTAATGCACCAACTACGTGTCAATTCACACCCGCTTTCAGCTCCTCTCCCCCACTAGCACTGATTTTTCAAAACAAAGGCCACAAAGCGTGTGGTTTTAAGATCCCAAGGAGCACAAATGCATATTGGGACACATTTGAGAGCAAAATATTTCAAAAATAATAAATATAAAAAAAATTGTGTTAAAAATTATAGTTTCAGTACACACACACAAATCTTAACAAGTATTTTTAGTCTAGGTTCTAGAACCCCACCTTCTTCAAATCAGACAAAACTGGTGTCAATCAACTCAACTGTTTTGTGGAGCAACAACTTTTGTTTGTGCTGCTTTGGCTTTGAAGATATTAATGAAAGCTAATTAATACAAATATGCATAGATTGTATCTTGCTATGCAGAACTTACCCTCTCTGGTTTCTCCTCGGGCATATCAGTACATGAAGACACCTGAGCCAAGGCCACTCGCAGCAGAGAGTCGAACAGAGGCACGGCAAGGTCAGAGTTCACCACACCTGAGCGAGACAGTTGGTCTCTCACCTCCAACAGGGTCTCCTCCACAGACTGAGGCTGTTGAATTTAAAATGCAATAGATCAGGGCTTCTCAAAGTGTGAGCAAAATGTTTACAGGTCAGGTTTTCACTAAATGGCATAGTTTTTTTGTGGCGGAGGTACAGAGAAAATAGAGCTGCAACAAACTAACTATTAATTGATTATTCTGACAATTAATACAATTAATCTTATTTAAAAGGTGGCACATTATGCAGATTTTCACTTAACCATGGTGTTTTATAAAACCACCTTTTTATAAAACATTGTAAATACATTGAAACATGCTAATAAACTAATAATTCAATACCGTTTTAAATCAAAGAAATACACATTTTACTTCCAAAAATGCAATTACAGCGTTCCTTTAGTGTACGCTTGATTATTTGTGGTAATTGATGCATCTGGAGCTAAAAAAAAATAAATAAAATTCATATCAACATGTGAAAAGTTCGGCCTTTGATTGTTTGTTTTGATTAAGTGATTAAGTGATTAATAATCGGACGTCAAAAGGTGCTTAATTTAATCCAGTTTTGGCTTACTAATGTCTCTGAGTGTATTGTTCTTTGAATAAATGGCCTTTTTGTAGTCTGCATACATCACTTAGTGATTAATCAATTTCTAAATTAGTTTATGATTATTTCAATTATCAATTAATTAAAAAAAATTAGCCATGGAGATAATAAACCAACCTGAGAAGAAAGCTCCGGTTCTGTCCTTTGCATGGCAGAGTTAGCGCTGTGCAGACAAATTGCCAGCAGGGCCTCAAGAAGACGAATACTTTGAAGCTGCCACTGATCATCAAATCTCTTTCCTGGATCTTTGGTCTTCCCCTCAGTCGGACCCAAACTGTGAAAATCTCCTGATTCGTAGGGAGGATCTTCAGATCCCAGTGAAGCAGCAGAAACTGCAGACTCAGGGCTGCCTTTCCCTTTGCCCTCTCTCTTCTTCTTTGTTTTTCCATCCTTGCTCTTACACGAGAGTTTCTGGATGACCATGGCCATGAGGCGCAGGCACACATCTAGTCCTCCGAGGCTGAAGAACTGCCTTTGGAAAAGAGGGCTGGCCATGTAGATGAAGCGGCACACAGACCAGACGTCCGCGGCTCGTCGTAGCTGTTCTTTAGAGGGCAACGCCACGCTGTCTGGGGACAGATATGGCAGGCGGCCCCCTAGAGGTTCGCTCGCTGTACTGTCGTAACCTGAAGTGTCCTCAGAGTCGTTGGCAGAGTCCCGGTCAGAATCTGCCTCTTTGCTGACACAGAGGAAGGCCACACAGAGGAACAGGTTGATCACATGCAGGTGGGTCTCCGTTCTGCTTCTCCTTGGTCCATGGTTCTGTCCAGTTCGGCTTTTGTGACGTGGATACACTTCCTTTAGGCCTTCGTAGAACTTGCTAAGGCTCTGTGGGCCTTCTCCTACCCCTCGTGACCCCAGCTCCTCAGCCAGGCCGAGGATGGCCTCCCTTTCTTTGGTGTCGGCACGCTCCAGCTCATGAAGAAGCCCGTCACTCTGCTGATGTCCAACTCCTATGATCAGAGTTTCAAACACCTTCAAGGCCAAAGAGCGAGTCTGGTCGAGGTAGACGAGCTCTGTCACCTGGTTGAGCCCGTTACAGCTGATGAAAAGGTCTTGCACCACTCTGAAACACAAAATGTGGAACTACAATGAGTAGAGCTATGAAGAAAAACCTTGAAATTGAACATAACCTAAAGTCAGACTATTTTTTTCTAAAAACTTGTACTATTTTTTTACCATCATTTTATCTTCATAAATGAGATGCCTGTCTCATTTCACATCACAAACAAACTTCTAGGTTGAATGAAAATAACCTTAAATCTAAATCTACCAAAGGTATGAATAATTTTGGGTCCAACTCTAATTCAGCAGCCTTAAATGTCACACATGAATAACAGAACTGGTGAGAAACAGATAAAAATAGATGAAAATTCAAACGTGCGTTTTTAATCTTTTGGAAAACAACCAAATCAAAAGACAGGGAGATAAAATTACCATCTACATTAGAAACAGTTGCACTCCTCAAGGTCACGCTCAGTCGATAAATTTAATTAATTCAGATTAAATCTAGCTATGATTTTTAGCACCAATATGTTAATATTTATGATACATTTTCTCCTATGATGTGATCCTGTCAGTCCATATGTGAATTAAACACACAGGGAATAAATAAATACGTTCCTTATAGGCAGTGGTAAATTTATACTTGCTTCAGCGATCCGTGCTTTTAAATAAATATGTTTAATCGACTCAAACTCAACATATGTTTGTATCAAGCATATGGTACCATATCTACCATATTCTGTCTATATATATATATATATACAAACATATGTTGAGTTAATTATCCCCAACCAGACATTGTCGTAGTGGATAAACATCAGAGGAAAGCCGTTGTGGTTGATGTAGCAATACCAAGTGATTGCAACATCAGGAAAAAGGAGCACGAGAAACTGGAGAAATACCAGGGCCTCAGGGAAGAACTGGAGAGGGCCTGGAAGGGGAAGACCACAGTGATGCCTGTGGTCATCGGGGCCCTCGGGGCAGTAACCCCAAACTGGAGCAGTGGCTACAACAGATCCCAGAACAACATCAGACATATCAGTCCAGAAATGTGCAGTCCTTGGCACAGCCAAGATACTGCGCAGAACCCTCAAGCTCCCAGGCCTCTGGTAGAGGACCCGAGCTCAGAGGATAAGAACCACCCGCGGTGGGTGAAAAGGGAATTTTTTATTTTTTTTTTATATATATATTTATAGAAAGTATAAAGTATCACCTGGAGACACAACAAGAAAGGAAATCCAAAATAATCCTTAAAAAGTCACTTTTAGCCTCTTTTTGTGAGTGTGGTAGAAATCTAAATGGAGAATGTAGCAATTTCTCTTCTTATGTTGGGAAAACCAGATTATGCAGATTATCTAAAGCATGGCCAGCTGTACTAGACATACATAATTCACTAGCAGCACCTTTATATAAATAGACCACAATATATGCAACTCTGTAGCCAACAGCTTTAAATAAACTCAAATTAAACCACAACTTCTACTGTATTTGATATCCATTATGTTTTTTGCTCTTTGTGTTTTATGAGCCATCGTAATTATGATGTGGATTTAAATTTGTGTTCAACTTAAATACAAATGAGAGAGATGAATAACAGAATATTACATCTAACACAAAAAATAACCTTATATAACTTGTAGGATAAGGTTAAATCAAAAGCAATACTTGATATTTCCTGAATTTACACATTAACTCCCTGCCAGTACAAATACTTTTTATTAAAGTAGTGGTGTCCAAAGTGGAACATTTCAATGAACTGTGTTGGAGCAGAGACGCGTCTGAAACTGGCAGGACATTGACTTTTGAGGACTGGAACTGGACATCTGTGAATTAAATAGATTCAATTTCTAAATTAAGCTGTTATTTTTGCTCCCTAAAATTGAAACCCTTTCCTCACCCTTCCTCTAATTTATCTCATTCTTTATTAGTTTTGCTCTCCGGAACATTTCCTGGTTTCATTAGCAATGTGAAATTCCATCAAGATGGCTCATCTCTAACTCCACGTGTCGTGATATGTACGATTTTATGAAAGGGAGTTGTGTTAAGCCAACGGTCACAGATGTGGAGTCAGGGCGTGTATTCAAACAGCATAAAATTGCTTGTCTTAATTATCCTCAAGCGCTCTAATGTTACCTAATATATGCATGAGAAATCTAATAATCCACCAATTCTGTTTTTATAAAACCATGTTACCAGATTGGTCCAGCAGATGGAGCACCTTAAAGTACAGAACAACAATAAAATTTAAAAGTTTTTTTTTTTTAATTGTGGGCTTGTATAAAAGCAATCTCTCAATAGCTAGATTTGAACATTTTGTTTCCTAGAACAGGCTAAATACTTTAAATGTGGCATATCAGTCCAAGCCAGGCAACAGATGAATTGATTAACCCTTTATGATGTCCTAAATTTAAAATGTCAGCTGGATATTTTTGTTTATTTTAACTGTACGCAGTTCTTTAAATATCCTGAGTATTTATATTTGCCCACTTTTGCATAACAACTGGAACTTTCAATATCTAGCAAGTTATTTTTGCAATTTACCATCTATTAAAAGAGCGCCCCTCAGATTAATTTCACTCCCTGACACAACGAGAGTGTAATTACCGTAATAACCCGACATCGACTGGAAAGAGCAACATCTCACCTTTCAGAAACCGTTGGAATTTTTCAAATAGCGCAAAGTGTTGAGGAATTATGGTACATTTAGGACTTATATATTCAGTATGAATATTCAAAGAATAACGTTTTATTAAAGCAACTTTATCCAAAAGGTTGCACTGCAGCTGAATGAAATGCGGCACAAAAACTATTTCAACATTAGAGATGCACCAACAAACGTCTGAAGAAAAAAATATGTTCTTCAAAGTGGAAGTTCAAAACTCAATTCTTTTTCCAATCAGTAAAAAAGCCCCATATGTAAGCTCTACCAGGTTACAACAACACTCTTTGGGGTGGAAGTGGTTACTGAAGGAAGACAGTTAGCTATTTCTATTTAGAGGAATGTTTTCTTTGACATGTTTTGATATTTCTACAGTCCAATCAGACAGTGAGAGACGAGCTTTTCACATGAAAACACAATTAGAGCAGAGTACACCAAAGACCCTCCAGTTTGGAACATGGAGGATTTAAGCCTTTTAAAAATCTTTGAATGCACAAAACTGCTGCTATTTTAGAAATGCTGTTTGCAATAATTGTTAATATAAGACAAAAAAATATTTTGAATGCTGATTTAACAGCACAGAAATCCAAATTGGCCAAAATCAGAGTCAGTGGAAAATATTGATCAGTCCATCAAACAATCTGGGAATGTAGCAAGAAAAACACAAATAGGAATTATAAATATTATACATAAACAACAGCTAAAAGTCCTCAAAACGTCATTCGACAATTAAAGTTAGGTGTACTTTTGAGTGAGCATCTCAAGCGTGAGCACTTTTGCTCATTTATCTCTCAGTATACACCAAGCTAATTGAACCCAATCTAAAAAAGTCACAAAAGAAAACACACAATGATTCATTTCCATATGTTGATGTAGATCATATTAAATATATTTTTTAAGGTGTTGGAAAAAGAAATGTAGTATGTGGATCAACAATGCCTGCCTTATAAGAGAGGCAACAATGTTACATAACAGTAAATAGTCTTGCATTTCTTACTAGAAACACCAAAACAGGATAAATTATTGATTAGTAACAATTACCACGTGCTTGGAAAGAGGGATCTCATGACCAAGTGGATACGGTCTTCTTTGAGGTGTCTCGTGTTCATACAATTCCTGAACTGTTGAAAATTGCAACGCTGCACTAAATTATAACAACTGAGACGTAAACGGATTTATGGTATTTATGCAAATAATCCCAATGTCTTTGGGATTGTAGCTGCTAAGAGTTGAGCAAAACCAACAAAAGCAGAGAAAACTTAAAGGGGACTTCTTGTATAAAAATTCTAATTTTTCATCTGTAGGGAAATAAATACACATATACATCTTTTTGGCAATAAATTCATGTTTTGTGGTGTCTGGAAAATGAGTCGTTTCAAAAATCTTTTGAAATAGCACTGTGCCATTATTTAGCAGCCTGAGCTTCAGTGCCATTACCTAGCAACCCAAAGGGAGCTCCAGCACATCTGGTCAGCTGGTTTTACCACTGTATAATGGCTGCTGCAAAACACAAGTGTTTAATTATTGTCTTACTATCAAACAACACTTGCTGCATTCTTGTTGGTTGTACAGGAGGCTCCATTTCGGATTTTCAAAGATGTAGGGTTGTATAATTACGCGTCTGTTTGCAGCCATTTTCACGTGCAAGTGTAAACTTTGAGTTGAGGGGTGTGGCCAGCAGCAGCAATTTGGATTTAAGGTGACAAGAGGCCCCAATACAACTCATTCTGAAAGGAATTAAAATCTTATTATCTAAGAATGATTTTGTGCAAAAAATGAGAGAACATGTTTTGTATTCCCCACAAATCTATTCTAAACTGTTCAAGGAAGCGTAATAGGCCATTTTTAGGTCAGAAGATTCCAGATTGAAGTAAAGAAGAGTGGTTGAGGAGCTCACCTTGACTTGAGAAGTGCTGGTAATGTTTGCAGGTAGATGAGTAGGACCTCCACAGGCAGGCACTGTGTGTGGTAGCTGCAGACCTGAGTGCAGACAGTAGAAACCCCCAGCTGCTGAGCATGGTGGACCAACTCCACCCCTCTTTGCAGAACGGGGTTGAAGATGTGTGTGTAGAGTTGCCACTGTACTACAGTATTGCCACGTAGTGTTACATGGCACACATGGCCGGCTATCTGCTGGCTCAGCTGCCAGTCCTCACCAAATACTAGCTCCTGGTAAGCCTCCAGAGCATCCCACTTCCAGAGCATGTCCTCAGCCCCTCCTCCGCTAGGCAGGATACCTTGGGAGCGGTAACATAAACTGGTAGAAATATTTGCAGGTTCTCCTTGTTGCAATGTCTCCTCCAGACTTGGAAGTTGGCTGCTGTCCAGAGTACAGATGTTACAAGAGGCCAGTTTAGCTTTCTCGGATGGCTGACCCCCACCAAGCTGATCTAAAATCAGCCGACTTAGCACACTGAGCACATGGGACTGGTAACTACGGAGACCTGGAGCTCGGAAAGCATGTAAAAGGGGTCCTACAACTGAGCGAGGGTTCATGCAACAGCAGATTCCAACAGCTTGAATCCCAGCTAATACCTGCAGCACAGACGGCCCACTGGGCGAGAGGCGCTGCAGGAGCCTGAGACATTGGTGGGCACAGGCAGCCAGGCAGCAGCATCTCTCAGGGTAACGCACGTTGTCTCCCTCAGATTCTTCTGAGCCTTCCACATCCTCCTCAAAGGGGTTGCTTCTTCCGGTTTGCATGAAAGCAGAGACAGGCAAGCCAGACATGTCTCTGTGGTGATGGAGGAAGTGGGAATACTCGCAGCGACGGTGCCGGCGCCGAGCACAAACCGATTGATGAAGCTGTTCCGACTTGGCTTTCTTAATAGCGCTGATTATTTTGAAGACCCCTGCAATGAGACCGCGTATCCGCTCCGACGTCTCTCTGCCTAGGTCAGAGCTGGCCCTGCCAAGTCCCTCCAGCCGCAGAACCGTGGCTTCAAAGAGCTCGAGGCCACGGTGCATGACAAATTCATGGATGAGCTCCAGAGCCTGGCTAAAGAAAAAAGGGTTGGGCGTTGAAGCCTGGAGGCAACTCAGGAGAACTTGTAATACTCCCTCTAAAAGCTCAGGAAGTAGTAGAGCCCTGTGGCGATAACGGGAAAAAGAAAAATCATCCTGGACCTCCTGTAGGGTCTTTTTTGACCGCGGAGCAAAAGGATTATTCTGCCTCTCCAAACAGCTTCGGATTTTGAGAGTTGCTCGCAGCAAGTCTGTCAAACTTCGCCTCAGGCTGTCTGGAAGTCTGTCGCTCTGGCTTATATCCACAGACATCAAATGTAAGATGGTGCGTAGCAGCATCCTCTGAACCAATGCGATTGGTTCCTCCGTCCAGCCTCCAGCAAGTTCCTCTGCTCCCATCCCTCCTCCTCCCCCCAGACCACAGCAGTCTCCAAACTCAGTCAAGATCTCCGTGAGGGTCGGTACGACGCTGATGGCCAGACCGGGGTTGTGATTGATGCTCATGTCAAACTTACACACCTTCTCCAACAGGGAAAGCAACACATGACAAAGATCAAAAGGAGAGTTCTCCATGCGGTTGAAGATGGATATTGCAGCCGGGTCAGTCAAGGTTTTGTGGTCTACCATCTGAGACCCAGGGGCTCTGGGGTGGGGATATGGTGCACTCATGGTTTCTGTAGTGTTGGTGGCCGTAGACATCAACTGCGAAGCCTCAGAGCGGTGATGCTGGCAGCTCACTTGGATGGTGGAACCGTGTGGTCTTCGGTTCCTTGAGCCCCCAACAGCTCTGTCTTCAGAGTTGGCTTCTGAATCTGAGGTGGAGACCTGGGACTTGCGAGCATCTTTCACAGAGTATCTCTGTGACGTTCTGCGTGATCTCCGTGATTTCCAGGTGCCACTGCCAACGCGGGACCTCTTCCCAGAACTCTGCTCATCAGATGCAGCCTTCTGTCCCGTCCTGAGTGGGACGGCCTTCACCTCCCGGCTAAGGAATGCTTCAAGTAGGGATGGCAGGTTGAAATCTGTTCAAACACAAAGACATTCACTAGGTTTTGGCATTCTGCATTAAAAGACTTTCAGTCAAGAATATTTTTGTAGTTAAATGTGAAAAAAGATGAAGAAGGTTATGCTCCACTGCATGTCAAGAGCAGGTTTGGGTCAGTAAGGGTGTCTTGCATGCTCGGTTTGACTGGGAACAAAAGTTGTAGCAGTTGTAACATTTTCGGTTGGTACAGTTCACTTTCACTCTGAGCTGTGTCAAACTTATTGAAAAACCTGCAGCAATAATCACTGAAGGAAATGACATGAAAACCTCTGAAGACATGAGCGCACGTCTTCTTTCGTCACAAAATGTAAACAAAAATGAAGTAACATCACAGTTTAGTGGTTGTAGGATTTCTCTTTTGTCTTTCTTCCACTAGTATTAAAGCTATATCAAGGTAGGTCTTGAGTGGGCTGAGTATGGGGCACCCTTTCTGTCCCTCTCCCATCTGTTGCTGTGCACTGCCAGTCAGCAGGTTGAAAGAAGGTTTCACAATCTTATAATATAGTAAAATTTTGTAGTTAAGAAATATTTCCAGCTTTAGTAAACATATTTATATGTTGTGTGACATAGTACTTGCCCATCACGTTATCATTTTCACAATTTAAAAGTAATGAAACCAATGACGTATTAAGTTATGATGCTTTAAGTGTATCATTAAAATGAAAAAAACTTGAAAATGTGATAAATAATGGTACAATGGAACACATTTATTGAAAATAAAAGCATTTTGTAGATTTTGTACATTTTGCTTATACAATATGTGTAACAAATGGCATGGTACTTATGATTTGAAACATTTTAATTTATAAGAAGACATAATATCATGTCTATTATTTATTTTTTTTATTCACCATTATCACTTTGCGGCAATCTCGTAACAATTTAATGTCTTGCCACGACCCAAAATCTTGTGTATTAAAAGTTTCAGAAAGCAAAAATTAATTAAGCAAAAAAATTTCTAGACTCCATGTTACAGAAGATCAGCAGCCTTATTCTAAATGCCGGAGTAGTTCTCAGGTCATAGGCCTCTACAAACACAAATGTTCTCCTGCTCTGAGACAGGTTGTGCTGCTCACAGCTGCAATAATTAAAGGTTAGTTAAAAGCAAAAATTTAATCTGGATTTCTACACATTTATTTTTAAATTTTTGACTTTTAAAGCTAGAATTTCCATAATTCTTGGTATGGAAAATACCAAGAAATATGTATTTTTGTATTTTACATAAAAATACATATATATTCTTTTTATATATTTTTATGTTTAAATATATAAAAAGAACAATTTGAATTCATGTCAGATAATCATACTTTATGGACAGACAACTTTATGCAACACTTCAAATAAATTATCATGTGTTTAAGAAACTTTCCACTGTTATTAACCATTTTCTCATTTAAATAGAGGAACATTGATGCATAAAGCCTTAAGGTGTGTCAGTATGTATGCATCTGCAGGCCTTTGGTCAGGAATTAATATAACTTTGATGATGCAAATTTTTTATGCAAAAAAATTTAAAAACATTAATTGAAGCAACATTTTAAGATATTGATATGAAAAAAATACATGGGAATACAAAAAGTTCCATAATACACTTTCATTTTTTAAAGCTACTCCAGACTTGTAAAATACTTAAAGCTTTATAGATTTTGAAACTTTCAAGACTATGTTGGAACTCTGCCAAAAGGAAACTGAGTGCAGTGCAGCATTGAGAAAATAAAGGTTTATTGCTGTAACATGAAGATGATATCAAAAGTTATAGATAAAATCAACAAGGTCTTCACATAAACCCATCAAAACAAATGCTGCAAAGCTGCTGGATGATAAAGTCATGCAACCTCTAAATAAGTTCGGAGGAAAAAATATTTGTAACATGAACACAGGTTACAGATAAGTAACACGAATACATAAGTTACAGTAGGAGTGTGACGGCATTAACAAAACAACAGAAATTAGTAAGTAAGGTGGTAACGATAGTTGACAACAGACCTGGAGCTTTTTCCTCTTGCACAGGAATCTTCCAGACCAGAGGCAGCAATGACAGCAGCAGAGTTAGCAGCTCTTCCCGACAAGTCAGCTCCTGAGAGTTCAACAGATCACAGTGTCTTACTTAGATGGAGAAAGAAAAAAATCCTTTCAGTCGTCACTTTGGTCCCACTTCGTCACCACACCAAATCACTCCCTCTAAGTCCTACTCCACTCCTCCCTAAATTTAAATATCCATTCAGTCTTCATTACAAAACTCTAATTTATGAATACTTCTAGTTACAAAATTATGGTTTTTTTTTTTGTTTTGATGTATTTCATTAGAAATGTCACAGGGAGCAATGTAGCAGCTAGATGACGGGCATACTTTGAGGAATTTTGAATCAGACGTGTAATCTGTGCATCCTTGCATTCCTCCGTCATGTGTTAATTAAAAAGATCAAACCAGATCATTTGTCAAACATAGAAGGTTAAATATTAGGTTAAAAACACTTTGTTCTAAACATAATGTTACAAGTTTGTATTCAACTGTTTAATTATGGTACAAAATCTTAACCTAGAAATTAGGGTTCCTCTAATAGTAAAATCATCACAATGATAAAATAGGCTTCAGATTTTAGAAGTGGTATACAATTCCAATTAATTTATTTACATTAATATTTTTTGACCACGTGGAAGAAGACAGATGAGCTTTATTTCACAATCTAACAGTTACCAAAAGTGTTATTGTATTATGAAACAAATATGTAGCAACTCTTTAAATGTTTACCTCTTCAGGGTTTTGCTCACCATAATTAGCAGCAGCAACAAGTATTTTTTCTCATGACCCAAACCGAACGAGCAAGAGTGTCTGATTAGAGGCCATCTGATAACATATCAGTATTTTAATCTCTACCATGTAAGACATGCTTGTAGAGCTCTAACAACATGTGAGAAAAAACAAGTTGTGTGACAGAAAGTGTCTTCAAAATGATGCTCCAACAGCCACATCTCTATAGCACGGAATAGTACAATAAAATACTGGGAAATAGTAATTAGTCATCTTTTTTTGCTCTTAAATAGAAAGAACCCTATGTCTTAAAAAAATGTTACAGCAGTATCAAAAATGGAGCTGAATATTATTACGATAACCAACAATATTGCTGAGACAATTTTCAGGTTATGTATCGGCAGTGGCATAACAATGCAAATCCACCATGTCAAATTTCAATAAACTTTAATTCTCTAAATAGTTAAAACTGGAACTGGGAGATATTTTAGATACGCAAACCAGCCGAAACCATAAATAAAATGGATTATGTCATTTCTGGAAACAAAATCTTCCTTAAAAAGACTATTAATCATCAGAATACAAATTATCAAGCTTATTTTAATTCATCATGCGGTTAATTGAATGATTATTGTGAAAGGCTTACTGATACAAAGAATAAGAATGTATTTTAAAATCTGTGATATATATTGTGTATCTTGATACATAAAAAATATTGTGGTGTTGCACTATTGACCTTGTTGTCCAGCTCTACTTACAGCCTCTTAATATTTTATAGATTTTAATCTGACAGGAGTAAAATATCTGGCACATGACTCAGAATATGATCTCTAAAGACAGCAGAGTTACATTTCCCAATCATAAACGATACAAAACATTTTATACATATTCATATGAGGGCATTTCCAACCCAGTGGGACAAATACAAATCACAACACATTTGCTACTGAATCACAAGCCTATTTCTTTGATTCGCAATCAGCATTAGCAACACACAAGCTGATTATAAAGTAGTTCTGATTGCCAAGTCAGAGCTGATCCCTAGCGGGATGCTGTTGACGCACACAGCCAGAGCTTGTGATGACAATTTCCACATGCATGCCTTAAATTTGCAGACGAAATGCTAAAATAAAATGAGAATTATAAACAGTGAGTGCAGGCCCAAACATGTGAGGTAATATTTTTAATAACTTGCATACCATTCAAAGTTTTCTTTAAATTGAAGGGCTGTTTTATATAAAACTGATGAAGAAGAAGATCATATTTCTCTGTCACACCACAAAAAAAGAAAAGGTTTACATCCTTGGGGTTTGTTTAATCATCGCTTTGGTGTCCTTATGTCACCTGAATGAACCACAGAAGTCTAAACTCTGCTGGGGTTTCATCTGCATATTCCTTTAGGCTTATTCTGCAACGTTAATAAAATGTGGACGCTAAACGCTTTGCAAATTCCTCAAATTTTATAGGTGCCATCTGACTAAGCAGCAAGAAGATTTCTGACAAAGTGTGCACCACAACTCCCAGAAGTCATATTATTTCCAACTCCATCAAGGACTCACACAGAGCACTAAGAAACACGACACTCAGAACGGCAATTATAAACCTAAAAGTTGTGTCTGCAATTGAAAGTCTTTCCCAGAAGACTTATGGTGAAGCGTGCAGAAAGCAACGATATGAACAGACAAAACAGCGGGCTGCCTGAGCCTGGTGCTGGTTGATGGAGTAACATTGCCTCCTTCCTTGAGGCCATTCCTACCATTTCACACAAGCCGCAAAGGAGAGATTCCCCTTCTTTCTGCTGCTGAAGATCCACATCATCAACAACAATTAATATATATTTAGGCACTGAACCCTTAAGGGTAAACAAAAATATTTACACCTGATAACAGGTGGATACTGGAGAAGCAGCCGTAACAGATATATGCAGAGAATTTAAAACCTCAGTGAAATTTAAGCATCCTCTGTAGAGAAAAACATTTCCATTGGAGAATGAAAATGTGGTCAGTTCATAAAACTTTACAGCATCTAATTGTAGCACAACCTTTTTGTTTATTTAATCATTTTATTGCACCCAGTACAAATATATATCGATGTAAATGTTCTCATGTAAATGTGTTCATTTCTCTTAAGCATCCTTGCAGTCTGTCTGATTCTCTTGTTGATAAAAAACTATTAAATGAATGAAGAATGTTTAATAATATTGCAGTAGAAGTCTAGAGTTTACCATGCAAAACTAAATCTGCAACTAAAAGCAATTTGGGGTAAATAATACTAAAATTAGGTATGCTATGCTAAGTTAGACAAGCTGTGTAGGCTTCCAGTAATTTTTTTAATAAACACTTTTCTGGTCTCAGATTTCTAGATTTTTTTTATTTTCTGTAATGAGAAAAAAAAATCTACCATGAAATTTTATGAAACATATAAAACCACAAACCTGAAATTAGAATCAGATTCACTGGTGTGGTAAATTGTTGTTCATTTGGTATTCTGGAGTTATATTGAGATTGTTTCATTGCTTCTAAATCTATTACATCTAAAACTGTTATTGTGCTCTTTACTCATTTCCTTTTTGTGCAACCAAAAAGGGAGTTTTAATCCTTTTTACTACACGTTTCCTTTATGTCACTGACCTTTGACCCTTTTACTTTATTAGACTAAAAACTTGATTTGGACTTACATTAAACTCAAAATGTGAAGTGAAGCATTTTCAATACATTTTTGTCTATAGATAATAGAGTAATTAATAAAATCTGGTAATATTCTCTGCTACACTTTCAAATTTTGTCTCAGTTTTTTTATTACTATGATTTGACTTTTAGGGAAAACATATATTAGCTTTTCCTACCTGATCAATGATGGCGTCCAGAGTGCTGAGCAGCAGGAAGCCCCGCCCCCTGACCAGGTACTCGCCCAGTGCCACCATGTGACTCTCCTCCTCATCTTCATCCCGCGCCTCGGCTCTCTGGGCCACCGCACTGCATAGCTGGTGTACATCTGTCAGAAACTCTCTGGCCAGGGTGTTACTGGCCCCACTCATATCGGAGCTGCAAGGAAAGACACCATACGTCAAAAGCCTGCGGCAAAATCTAATTATTTACAGACTAGGGCTTCCTGAACATAGATCACGTGTATGAGGTAATCTGTAACGCAACAAAGATTTTTTTTTTTTAATCTAAGGTTGCAAAAAAACAGAAATCTGGGATTGTGTGATTATCCCTCCTCATGCTTTTCAGAGCAGCCCCAAGCTGCTGCACATGTGTGCAATAAGCACGTGTCTCTAAAGAGATTCTCTTTTCCACAAATTACTGAAAGTCCTATTTAAAGTCAGCAGAACCTTTAACACATGGCACCAGGATGGCATAATAATTAGAAACCATAAAAACCAAGTAGGTACCACCAGCAACGCAGTCTGTTTTTTGTCTTAAAACAGTCAAATAAAAACCCAGAGACCGATCAAAAAGCACAGATCCACACATACAATCTGCATGATCTTACCAAATGTTGCAGGGCCAAACGGTTTCCCTCCACACATCTTGTATGCGCTCCAAACTTGACTCAATCCTGCTAGCTGGATCTGCACACTTCCTCACATGACTGCTGACTGATTTCTCTGTTCTGCTGCACAAATTCCATTAAATCGGAATTTCAAATGGAGGCTTTCCAGATTCGCAGCAGATCAGCGTATCACATGAAAGCATGTGATGTCACATGTCGAGGGGACTGGTCTTGGTAGCACTGACAAGCACCCAGTGCCCTGCGGAAGACCTCAGTCGGCAACCGTCATTGATAGATACTGGCGTTTATATTTTCCACTACAGCAACTGGGAGTGTCTTTAAAAGCAAAGAAAAGGCATCTTAGGGATAGCAGCCCATGGTATTATAATATAAACCTATCATTGGTATCTAACTAACAATTTATTATACTATAAACCTATTATCTAACTAACAATTTATGAATTCATTAAGATAATATGATAAACACAAAGTACTTTTGACTAGTTTCTAGTGCAAATGTCTTGGTAGTCATAAAATAAAACAAAATTAGCTCACATTAACTTTTTTCCAAGGTATAAGAGCTAGTTTTAAGCCAATATTCTATATCTATAGATTTTTTTCTCACTTATCTTTTTTTCTATATTTTTCTTGTCTTTTTTCTGGACAAAGGCCTTGATAGAGAAATTACTGTCTTCAACTACTTACAGTCCTTCCTTCTTCCCCCGATACAAATGTACTCATGTCTTAGTGCTTTTGTGCTTTCTGTCTACTTCCTTCACGCTCAAACCCCATCTGGTCGCCCCAGAAAGCTGATTAAACTAAGCCTGGTTTCCTACTCCTCTTTTTATTTTCCTCTTTCTGTGAAAAGGAGTACACCCTGTCCACTGCTGATCAACCATCATCAATCACTCTGCTCCCGTTTTTACAAAGTCGAACGTATGATGAACTGAATTTGACTGTATTGTGTTATAACTGGATTTAATTGAACTGTAATTGTGTGTGAATGTGTGCTTGGATGAACTGGATTCATCTGAAATGAACTCAAACCAAATACGACTCAATATACTACGAAAATGAATTTCAAAATTGCATTGACTTTTATCTTTTAGAAATGCTGCAAAATAAACTGAAAGAGCTTAGATGAGCTTGTGCTCTTCCAATTCATGAGTTCTTTAGATCAACTGAAGCTCAGCATGCAAAACATTTCACAACAATATTATTTATTTGCTTTGAGTTGTCAGGAAAAAAACAAGTTTGATAAAAATCTTCTCCACCAGGCTTACAATAGACTGGGAGAAACCCTGTAATACCAACAAAAATAAACTTATTTCATCATTTCTTAGTCCGTTCTACACAATCAAGAAGAAGCTCAATGAGCTGGAAATAACACAAACATAATTTTGGTTGTGCAGGGAAGACTTTCAGGGAAATCTCAGAGTCAGCAGATTTGAATTATTTTAACATAGTTACACATATTATGTCAACGGTGAGCTCTTTAAAATGCCTGCATTGGGATAAAACGTAACCTTTAGCAGAACAGAACCTTAATTGGGTCATTCCTGCTCCCTGTCAACCGACTTTAGTCTAAACCAGTAAAATACCACAAAATACACATAAACAGTGTCACATAAACACTAAATATTTGTTGCATCCGTTGGAAATTAAAATTACACTCCGACCAAGACTTCAGTGACACACGCTGCCCTCTTGAGAAATTCCCGCTCAGCATGAAAATGGTCTCTGAATTGAGCGTAATGAAGGTCATCCATAAAGAGGCCAAAAGAAAATCTAAGATGGTTTGACAAGCAGTCGCCAAGTGTGACCAGATTCCTCCTCAAACCACCACAAGATCAGACATTGTTCAAAAATCTGCACTTTTTGTGGCATCCATAAAAACTACTAGAATAGCAGCAAAACTATAAACATTTTATTCATAAAAGATAGCAATGAAACTGTGCATATTGTGTATTTTCAGTAATGTATTACTGAATATTTTTGTTTGTATTAAATAGTGCTTCAACTAACCATTGTTTTAGTTGTCAATGTCGATTGATTCTGATGACTAATTGATTAATCGGTAGAAACAAATTGGCACATTCTACAAATATTTTATGTAAACCGCAGCCGTAATACAGCTTACCGTACTAGAAATACCGCAAAGATGCAAATGAACAAATAATTAAATACATTTTTTAAAATCAGAAAATAAAATGTAAATGTAAAATGTAACATAGCATATTCCTTCCTTCATTTGTAGAAAAGAATACAATTTAATTTCCATTAATTTCTGATCTGAGTTCATTGTTCTTTCAGCCTTTTTTTTGAATCTGTATAATTAACAATCGATTACTAGATGATTAGTAGACGATTGTTTCAATAGTCATGATTAATCCAATTAATAGTTCGGCTCTAGAATTAAATGTTATTTTTTCCCCAGCAGAGAGCTTTGGTTGAACAACAATTATGCCCACTAGTTTCGTTGACGCTTCTTAGTCCCGTCCTCTCTACCACAAGAAACTGATTAAAGCCAAGTAAACAGAGATAATTGCTTCCACACAGCTGCCCACTTTAGATTTGCAGTTTTTTCCCTTCATCCAGTTGTTTTGAGCTTCTTATCTGCAGCCCAGTCATTTCCATCAGAGGCTTCATTCATCAGTTTTTCTTTTTTTGGGAGTGCAGCTTTAGATGTTAGACAAACAGAGGCCTGGTTGGCACAGGGAGGTTTCCTGTGTACAATGCATGGTCGATGGAGACTCTACAGCTACAGTGATGTCAGGGAGACAAACAGGGTTTATCTATATCAGTATATCTGTATATCTGGCTGCAGTGCAAACAATACCAGAGTCTGCAAACACTCACTCTACTTTCCATTTGATGCAATGTTGCTGGCAGTGGATGTAACACTTTCAATTTATGCAGTTTAGGATTGATTTTATAATTTATCCACAGATCAGACTTTTTGATTGGAATTAAGCATGGACTTTGACTAGACCATTTAAGGGTTAATATATTATCTTTAGGGTTGCTTTTCTCCTGGAAGGTGAACCTCCAGTTTCAAGTCTTTGCAACTGCTATCAAGTTTTATTCCAGGTTTGCCCTACATTCAACTTTGATCAGTTTCGCTTTTTGGCTGAAATATGCTGCTACACCTTGGAGTATTGCTTCATAAACCAACCCTGCTTTAAACTACTCCACTCCTCACCTGTCTGCTGTGTTAGTTTATTGCTTTGTAATAAATCTTTGCAATGTTTGTACTGTATCAGTTTGTTTCATTGGATTTCTTTTAAAGAAAACTGCATGGCACACTTTTGAGATATTTGTCAGAAAATTTTAAGAGCATCCTTTTTCTTCCACTTGACATATAACGCACAATTTTGTCTACTACTTAAAAGTCCTAGTCAACAACATTAGGACTTTTTGAGAAAATCAAATATGAACATTTTAAGCTGTATTGCACAGCTGATTTATTGACCTTGATTTCCTTAATTCCGGGAGATCAGATGATACTTATCCACCAATATCTGCAAAGGTCTCAAAATCACCCATGAAAAAAGGCTGAAGAAGTTTTATGATGTGAATAAATATAAGATTGGAGGAACTAATGTTTTGTTTAGCTTAGATGATATAGTAGCTTGAGTAGCAATCTAATTACATTCAAATGTACAGCTAAAACAAAATAGTTTCATGGGTTTTGTTCAATATTTTTCAGTAAAATAAGATTGGAACATTGAAGGTGTATTGTAATCTTAAACTTAAACCGTTTTAATGGATTTCAAATACATCACCAAAGTCTTACACATGCTAAGTAAGATAAACACATTGATTATTTTAAAACGACAATACAGTGAGGAAATCTTACCAGAATTTCAGAGCATCTTTGGTGCTGTTATTGGGGTGGTGTTGCACGTAGTGGAAGAGACAGAGGAAATTCTCCAGACTCTGAAGGCTGATCTGAGAATCGACACACAAACGAGAAACAAGAGCGACAACGTGATTGGTACTTGCACAAAGACGAAGAGGAACTGAGATGTGTATCAAATATTTCCTTTTCTCAGAAAGGTTAACAATGAGTTGGATGGTTTTAAAGTGAGAGCTCAGTTTTGATTTTTCATCAGAGATACAAAAACCACTGGAAACTAGTGTGCAGTTTATATTTCTCCTTTATTTCTCAAGCACAACAAATCAATAATACTGAAATAACCTAATATTAGATCAAATCTGAGTGACAAAGTCAGAACAAGAGAAACTGTGACTTTCTAAATGGTGAGATGAGCCATCTGACCTCGGTTAACAGCATTACTGGTTCCAGGGTAGAATGCTAAAGCTTCCTGGCTTACATGCAAGCCGCTAAGCCAGCGTGCCGCTGTCCGTCATCCCACACAGGAGGCTTCTTTACGCTTCTGCTAATCTGACACCGCTGACGGGCTTCATTCAGGCAACGCTGATCCCTGACTGATGTGGCTGCCCTGACTGTCTGGGTTGAGAAGCCTGAGAATCCACACCACTCCACAACCACTAGATGGCAACGACACGATTAGAGCTGACGCGATGAATCAGATTGAATATATGAATCGATTATTGACATAATTGCTGGCTAATTTAGGAATTGATTAACCGTAAACTGGAGGTGAGAGATTCAAAAAAGTATATATATTTATAAACATATGCTTATTCAGAGCAGGACTTAAGCCAAAACTTTGCATTTAAAATAAAGAAAAACTTTATAAATATGCTCAAACCAAGTGTCATAGTTAGAGCTTCTATTAAGAACCTTTTGCTATCCAAAAATCAAAAAACAGTGAACAGATCTGCCTTTCAGTATATTGATGTTAAGTCAAGCAGGAAGGTTTTCACATATTGATGTTAAAAGTTTTTTTTTTTTTTTTTTTGGGCTGAAATGCATCCTTTGATACAAAGGACCAGGCGTTCACTATAAAATGTTTCTTTTCTCATTTTTAAAAAGGAATTTAATTGGTAATTTGCATTTTTTATTTATTTTTAATACTAGTTTGTGTGTTCCTAACTTTCAAATCCTGCGTATTTTTCAGGAAGCGGACTAAAAACTCACTTTCATTTTTCATTGGTCTACAAATAGCAGAAGTTGACCCTGCTAAGAGGAGCTGCTGCTATATTTGTTTTACAGGGTGCAAAATTTTTAAATACATTAGATTTACATTTTACATTTATTTCATAGCCTCAACTGCACAATTTAAAAATATTGACATATTTGGGCTATTTTGTATTTGTATTTTTATTTCACTTAAAAATTAAGAAATATGCATTATTGGATCACTTTTTTCGGATAAAATGTAGTTTTTTAGGTTGTAAATTTTCAATGACAATTATCTGACAATTATTCAATTCAATTCAAAGATACTTTATTTATCCCAAGGGATATTAAATGTTGTTATAACTCATGTTGTCCTTTTATTTTCCAAAAGTTATTGTGGATGAAGATGTGGGCAGGAAAGATATCCAGTAACAGTCAATCTTGCATTAAATCTGAAGATGCCTCTGACTGAAGTCAGCTTCACAGCCATTATAACATGATAACAGTTCGATATGCTGGCAACAGAGACATAATGTTACATCTAAATGCTCAAAATCAAATTTTATTCTGAACGTACTAAAGAAAGTGAATTTCGTAGTTTTAAATCCTGCAGGATGAAGGTGCAGAATGGACCACACTCACCGGGGTCAACAGCTGAGACAAAAACCCAACCAAAGCACTGATGGGTTTGGTGAGCAGGAGTGTGGATGGGTGGGTTTGGGTCACAGCACATCAGGGGGCTGAACAAAGCCATACACAGGAGACAACAAAAAAAAGGAGGAAAAAGAAAGGAATGGATGAGAGAGTGGAGAGGAAGACAGGGGAAAAACATGAGAGCTGACATGATCACAGTGACAAAAGAAACTAATGCAACAGATGAGAAGCAGATATAAAAGCAGGGGAGAAAAACTGGCAGTAAATCAAAGTTGCAAAGCTGCCAGACCTACCATTAGTTCATATAAACTACACCCTGAAGCAGCTCTGGACCTGAACTTGTGCTGTTAAATAAATCTAAAAATTGGTGTCTAAATGGATCTGTTTGTCCCTGCGATATCTGTGTTTTTGAATTAATCAAATAGGAAAGGAAAACCAAATGGTTGGAGATAATTTCCAAGCAACAGGATTGTTTTTTTCCTCCATGGCCCTAATCCAATATTGTAATGCATTCTGCACCACTTTGATTTGATAATGGCGACTTTACTGGCCGATACCAGTGAACACAGCTTAGGAGGGAAATTGGTTCACAGAGCTCAGTGTTTAACCTTCCCTATGAACTGATTAACGTCTTTCATCATTTGCCACCAAACATTACGGTTTTCTGGATAGGTGGAGCCTGACTGCCACAGATTATTGCTCCCATTTGTTTAATAAAGATGAAACAAGAATATAATCAAAGCCACCAGTTGGAAACTTTAACAGCTTTATCTTTTTTCCAATAAATTAACTCACCATTCCTTGGTAATATAAGGTTGTACCAACAACACACTTCAGTGTAGAAGCTGTTACTGAAGAAATAATGTTCACACAGCATGTGTTGTGTTAACATATCCAACTTTTTCACATCAAAATGATTGTATTTTTCAATTTAATTTTGGGTGGTTCCAAAATGTATTGATAAAACCCATTGACAAACTGTTATATTTGTTCAAAATACGAGTAAATAGCTGTCTCTGCATTCAAAAAATTCTTCTTAAAATTAAATACTAACCATCCATTAACACCGATCAGTCCCTCCAGTATTTTGTGATTGTTTTGGGGATTTTATGGCATTCAAAATGACAGATTTTGTGGTGCTAATTTAGAAATATTTACAATTTTGAGATATTTGCGTTTATCTTTGACTCTAAATATGACTTTTTGCTACTCACCACCAATTGCAGAACAGAACTGAGACATACTGCCACCTGCAGGTGGGAGTTTGCATCACTCAAACCCAATGTTTTTGACCATTTTTTCAGAAAATGTGGAGATCTGTTGATTTTGAGCAAATTTCATCAAAAACTGATTGATATAATTTGGCTGCAAACAGGTACAAAACTGCTTTGATTTGATAAAATAATATTTCAACACTTGAAGGTTCTAGTTGTGCAGACCTCTGGAGTCTAGAGGGGCCAGATAAAAAGCTATAGTGAGCCAGATTTGCCCCCCAGGCCTTGGGTTTGAATTTAAATAAGAATTGAAATAAGAAATTGAAATAAGAAATAAGAAAAATAATTTGATAAACAAATATAACAAGGTCTGATTGTGTCAATTTACATTTATACTTACTTAGCAAGAATTCTTTGGCGATATGTTTTAGAAAAATAACCAGGACAGAATTTGCTGTTTTGATTTTAACAACGCTTAAGAAAGTGAAAGTGTAAAAAGCTTATGCATCCACCTACACTTTTATTCAGTCTACACTTTGTGCTTTTCTAATTTAGAAATGGTTTACTGATCCCAGCCCAGCCAACCATGCTAATTCCTAAAATATGAGGCTAAAGTCGGTTTATCATTTGATCTCTGATAATAGAAAAAGACAAAATGGAAAAATTATTTGTCACAGTAAAAGTTATTGACAATAAAAGCAATAAATACAAAATAAAATATAAACTGTGTACAAAAACAGCATAAAATGCCATAAAGAAAAGGCACAATTTCAGAATTTGTCCTGTTTTAAAATATGTGCAAAACTTTGTTCACAGACAGTGTGACATCCACTTGGCTCAATGTAAAAAAAAATTTACTTATTGCAGGAAGTCTGCAAAGAAACATTTTGAATGCTGTTCTTCAGCTTATATTCTGACAGAATCAGGTCAAAGCATTAAAAAAGCCCTGCAGATCAGCAATCAACACTGATTAATCTCCCATTATTTGCACTTATAGAAAACAGAAACTCAGAACTGAATGGAAAACAACAAAACTCAATCCCTCCATTTGCATGAAAGAGATGCATCTTTGCAATATGAAACCCCTTGGATTCAGTGGCTGCGCCCAGTGTGGCGATCATGGGAGAACTGGTCATGGGAGTCTCATAGCTGAGTCACCCACATCGGTACAAACTCTGCAGCTCTCTGGATAATTGGTTAGACTACAACTTGGCAGAGGGAAGAGCCATGCTGCTACTTATGTAACATTTTATTTTTGTTTTTTTCACTTCTCTCTCTTCCCGTAAGAAATTCCTATTGATGCAATTTGACGTTTGGGTGATGAGCGTCATGAGGAGCGCCTAACGTTCCACATTTCCGCTCAAACTGAGCAAAACGTCTCAAACCCACTCGGCTAAATATAATACGCAGAGGAAGCGTAAACCAGTGTTACTTAAAATGATCATCCTGCTCTGGTCAATTTTCTGCTGTTAAAATTTTGTTTTCTTTTCAAAGCAGCAACGGACTTAATAACGTGTCTGTAGGTGGAAAAAAAGCTGAGGTAGAGGAGCAATGGTTCAGAGGTCTGACTCAGCCTGGAACAAGGGAGATGAATTATTCATCCTTTCAACCAGTCGAGTGAAACAAGTCAGCGATCGGCGCGAGCTGGACTGAAAAGACGGGGCAGAACAATAAATGCAGATGTAAAAAAGTCCTGACAGCTTAAGAACTTCTATTTAATCATCATAAATAAGCTGAGGAAAGTGTAGAAACTATAAAAATAAATTACAATGACCAACATGAGGATGCTGAAAGCCGTGTGATAATCACAAGACGTCACAGTCGTCTATTTCCCTAAATGAGCAAACAGGTGAGTCATTGTGAATTTATGTGAATTTAAAAAGGAAAAAAAATCACTGAATTAAACATTTTATTCATTGAAAGCAGAAATAGAAAGTACGTTTAGCAAATGATATGCGGCCTTTTTCTATAGAGCTCAAAAAAACCACAAATATGCTTCATCAGAGTGGATTTCCTCTTCTGTAATGTTTCACCAGACTAACCGCATTGTCTTCAGTTGTTTGCGCACAGGTTTTACAACCTCCTTAAGTGGTAATTTATAAAGAAATAAGTCGCCTTTCTGAAGCAGCATCAAAACACTGCTGGGACACTTCAGTATCTGTACCACAAATACCAAAATAAAGCATATAAAGAAGAAGAAACAGCCCAAGATCAAAGATATAGAGAAGATAGAAGATAGAGAAGCTGAACATAGCTTTGTCAAATTTTACAGAAATCTAAGACAAACATATTCATATGTTTTATAGTCATAATCAAAGAAAATCAGAAGTTTAACTTTCTATATCAAACCTTGTCAATAACAGGAAGCTGGTATCAGCCAGCATCTCTAAATAAACCCCAAAACAGGTAACTGTTTTCATATTTCTATAATATTTGAGAAAGAAAGTCCTCAAAAAGCAAGAACAATTTCAAAAAGCAACTATAATTTTTCCTCTACGCTGTGTCGAACTGATGCTGCTTCCCACACATCATCACTTTTTGCTTTGCAGAGCTTAAGCTTCAATGCTCCTTTCTGCTGAGCTAAATGCTACAGAAACTTGTATGCAACTCTTATGGTGACATATTGCTTAAAACATAAAAACACCATTCAAATTCACATTGTCTTGTAAAAATAAGAGCTAAAACGAGATTAAATCACTCACCCTTCACCTTGTTCTGCAGCACATTTTGTTGTGTTTTTTTAGCAGTTTTTTCTAATAAACATCATTACACTATACAAAGTACAGCTTTGACGAGATCCTAGGTGGGGGAAAAAGCACTTTGAAAGCTGCACAATGGAGAAATAAAGGTGCATCAGTCTTGCAATCTCTTCGAGCTACTTTGTATTCAGCCCATTTTGCCATATTCTTCGCTTGAGAAGTTTAATCTTCTTTAGTCAAGCAATCAGAACTTCACCACAGAAAGACCAGAACGTACTGGCACAGGCGAGTGTGAAGACGTAACAACATGACGTGGCTGGGATGTGTAACCAGGGTTTCTCTTATTCAGGAAGTCAAAAAATTTCAGCAACTTTACCGACACTTAAGTTGTGCTATGCATGAAAGTAGAATTTGCATGATTGTCAACCATAAAACAAAAACAGGACTGAAGGCAGAGGAGATGCAGAGCTGTACTTACAAGACCGATCAGCCTTGAGAAGCAGAGTGAGCATTAATCCAGGAGTGTGACTGACTTCACTTGACTGAACTAGATGAATCAGACACACAGACTCAGGTGAAATGTTTAAGCAGGAGCTCACAGTTGGTACACAAAGACAAAAAAACGGGGCCTCAAATGCCTCACACTGATGTTTTGAAACATCCTGTTGTCTCATAATGAAACTCAACATTGACAGGCTACAGAAAACCTGCTTCTTATGCTTGGCTCCTGCCCAACAAACCATTCTGCTAAATTGACTCAGCTCATCAGGATACAGCGAGAAAGGAAACATGACTGACCACAAACTGCAGATTTACCTCCCCTGAAGGAAGATTTTGTTTTTAAAAAGAAGAAAGTACTCATTTGAATTTTTATCTGTGCAATGCAAAAAGGAATTTATTTAACTTTTCTTTATAAACAAAAGAATGTTTTCACTCCAAAATAGAGGAAGTAAAACCAATCTGTCAAATAATTTCTTTATCTTAGAAATTCACCTGCTGACCGTATTGTCATGAGAGTCAAGGCGACCTGGAGGTCATTTTTAACAATCCGACAGCAGCAATCCTGATCACTGAGCTGCAAAAACACAACAGAAGAAGTTAAATAGACCTCAGATCCAACACTTTGCAAAAGAATTCAACTGATTTTAATTTTTTCAAAGTTTTGGTTCAAACTTTATTGCTTTTTATTGTGATTTGATGCGATAAAACAGTAAAGCTGTGAAGTTTGCAGCTATAACTAGGCAGCAGCTTAGGCGCAGGGTGTTTTCACACTTTTTTTTATATAAGGTTCCTCTTCAGCTGCTATAAAAGAACGAGTTTATTTACCCTCCATATTTCACTGTAAGGTGTGATCACAGATTAAGATGCAAAACAGAAGAGCAGAGTCCTCCTGCTGTCAGTGTTTAGACATTTCCCACAATCACCATCTTATTTAGCCTTCATGAATGGACATCTACACTTTTAACACCCTCAATTTATTGCTCCCAAAAAAATTTTTTGGTGTTGTTTTTGTGCCACCAATTTGAGTGTCCAGTGAAACCGATGTGAACATATGTATCTCTGTAGACAAAAAGTAAAGTGCATGTAAACGAACACTACTGGTAATAAATGACTGATAGATATCTTTCATCCATCAGCGTATTCCTTGGATGTGAAGGAACCAACAACAATCTACAAGTCAAAATGCTCCAGGAAGTGACAAAAATTACACAACATACAGCAGATTTTCCTGCCTACATGCTGTCTGACAAAGAAAAGACACGGACCGCCAAACTTTACAGTGTGCTGTTGTGAAAAAAAATAATTTACAATGGTAGCCATGTGAGCACAACAAACTGTCACAATATCTTCCCCACTTCAGGATCAGTTGAGAGGGAAAGGTAGCACTATGGAGATGACAGCTGTGTTCAACAGACCCTCTCTGTGTGTCTGATACACTTAAATGATCATGCTTATCTAACTGACAGGTGCAGGAACAACCGCAGTTGTATCAAGGGAGCCATCGTAATAAAAAATGACGGATTAAGTTAAAATATTATTAGAAAATTCAGAGCATCCTCAGTGTAAAGCGGGTAAATAAGAATAAAGCTCACCAGTTTCAAGGATAAGACGAAAACAGAGCAAAAAGTGAAATTTTAGGTCAGTGACCTGTAATGTATCTCATACAATTCTAGTGTAACCCAGCTTTTCTACCAGAAGGAAACAAAGACACAATAATCTGTTTGTATAGGTGTGTACACTCAAATGAATCCTCTTTTTCTGCACCTTTTGATCCAATTTTATTGTTTAGTCCTCTTGGGTTTAGCAGCTCTGATTAGACACAAAGTGTAGCTGTTTGTCATTTGTATTCATTAGCTAAAGTCATGGTGTGAAGAGAGCCTAGAGTGCAACAAAACCCACAGAATCTTATTTATCTCTGAGAATCCTGAGTAAGAGCAGAAAACATTGGAGAACGGTGAATCAAAACCAGGACTTTTCTCCAGAAGTGATGAAATCAACAAACTGTCTGGTCTAACAGAAAAGCCATTCCCGCCACAAAAAAAAAAAAAAAGATATTCTAAAACAAAATGGGAAAAAATGTGTTGTGATCTCAGTAAATAAACACCATGCCCACAATGAAACACAATGGTGACAGCATCATGCTGTGAGGTTATTTTTCTTCTGATAAAACCAGGGATTTGAGCCAAACTGGATCAAATTATCAGCAACTGTAAAAAAAAAAAAAACCAGCCAGTTTGATGCAAAACTTCCAAGCGTGTTTGTGGTGGATTTAAATTTTTAGCATCACAGTGATTTTAAACAATATATTTTCTAATAGATTATATTTGAAATAGATCAGCCTATATAGAAAGTTGAAAATGGCAAAAATATCTGGGATCACCTAAAGAGAACTATGAATGACATATGTCCTTTTACAAGCAATTTGCAAGGCTGAATGTTACTAAAACACGAGATGTTTTTGTTTTTCTGATAAATTGAACCGGCTTTTGCATTACATAAACATTTAAACTAGTTATTTCTGGCATCAGTTTTATATTAAATAAGATGAGGCATTTTAATTGGAATCTGGACTGCTGAGATTTTCTGAATAAGTGTGTGTCTGATGAGTGTAAAGACACGCAGTCTGATCCTAATCTAGGTCTCGTGATCCGACTGCCGTTCTGCTCCAGCGGCACCAGGGGAAGGCAAAAGGAGCAGCAGTCGTCTGGGAGAGATTTCTGAACAAACACATCACAGCTCTTTCAGACAATAATGCATTCACACTGTAACACAACAAGCTGTGGTTTACACCTGCCTCCATCTCTGCTCTGATTCACCACACAGCACGTATGTGCTTCTACTTCAACTCTTGTGAGATTATTTCTTTCTCCAAAAGCTGGAAGCAGTGGAGGTAAATGGTTCTTAAGTAGGAATGGAACAGATCCTACTTCAGTAGGATTGCATTACACCCAAAATACTATTGTAGAAATGTGGGTGTAATGCTGTACCAGCAATATGATGGTATATTGTATAAACATATTCATGAGTAACTTCAAGACAAACGTCTCCTTTTGGCAGTACATTGCATAAGGTAAAGTAGTAGTTCTTATAATTGAAACTGGAAAAAAACTAGGTTCTCAAATATTTGATGATCATCTCTTTTTGGAAGAAAAAAACAGCATCTTCTTAAGCCACCTTAGACATTTACACACTGTTGAACACAATCTCTGAGGTTTAGTGACTCTAGGAAGCCATAAAACAGAAAAGGTAGACGTTTTAGACAATAAGAATGTCTGAACAATGTTTTCTTTACATTGCAGAACAGCCCAGAAGGTTTGGAAAATGATACCAATGCAGACAGAATATGACTAATATTACCCAAGGGAGCATTTTAAGAGTTCGACATGAAGCTAGATATATTTCATATGTATTAACATAAAAAAAACATTTTTATTGCATTTTTTCACCTCCAGAACAACTGGCTTCCAGTGCAGCACTGACAAGGATCACCACCGACAAAGCTGAGCTTGCATCCTATACATACTGCTGCAGAACCTTACCTGCAGATCTGCTCCCTGCAGCCTACAGTCCATATACTTTTCCCACGCATATGACAGATCGGTCTGCTCCAGATGAGCCATGGCTTCCAGGTTCTCCAGGCGCTTCCCCGAGAAAGTCAGGGATTTACAGCAATCCTTTCTTAACCCCCGGGAGGCTGGAAGCGCCCCGGAAAGAGACCCAAAGGTTCTCCTGAGTCTTTCATTGCAGATTCATAATTCACTGCGCCGCTTCGCCGCTTTTAAAGTGGAGCTCCTGGATGGAAAAACATGATGTTGAAGGGTATTAAAGCCAAAAAAATAACAAAATATAAGTCGTATAAGTCACTTGTTCTTAGAAAACGGCTTTCAGATGAACTAAGACGTTACTACAGCACGCTTTGCCCTGACCTGAACCCGAAAAACGTCGGTCTGACGATCCAGTCGCAGCGTAACATAACCAAAACAAAACGGTCTCAAGCTAGCTAACGAGGTACTACACAGAACTACCATCAAGCTAGCGGCAATTCCGTACCACGCGATTTCCTCTGGGGAGTTTCCTTCAAAATAAAAGCTTTTACGGATCACTGAACTACAAATCAATGAAGAAAAATGTTTGCAATTTTAGTTTGGTTTTGTATTGATTCATATGTTGACGCAACATATGAATGTGAAACTGTCCCATGTAGTAAGTAATTTCACTTTTAAAAAAATTGTATGTTTAGTGTTTTTTCATTTAGTTGTTTATATAACCATTTTATTTGTCCAGCGTTGTAAAATTGGGAATGTGCAAAGTGATACACATAATGAAAAAGTGAATAAAGAAAGAAAACTAAACAGAATAATTAATACAGCATTGCATTTATAGATATCTCCATTATTTTATGTGTAATTTTGCTATAAGACAAAAATAAGTATTTAATTAATATATTTTGAATAGAATACAAAATCGGTTTATTTAGATATTTTTTTTTTTATAAATACACTGCATATGAATTTCATTCAAATTTCATAGTGTAATAATTTCAAAAGTGTTGCACAGCTTAGCGGATCGAGTGTAATTAAAGCTTATGGGTTTGTTTGTCAAAACCAACACTGGGGAAATTTAATATCCACAATCTAAAGTCTTATTAGACGATATAATAATTTATTTTCTCAGCTAAGAAGGGAGCTATTAGTAGAAAAATTTGTGCTTGGTATTTTATTTTGAATTTCCTTTCCTTCCGTGAATTTAATGTTATGGCTACCTTGGCCGTAATGGACACACACGGTACTGGAAACTATAACAAAATACGATCAGATTTTTATATACCAACCGCACAAGCCATATATTTATAATTCATAAAACCATTTCCGAAATAAGCCCATAAATTTCAGGTTAATAACTGTCGCAAACAGTCACAACATTAGCTATTTTATTGGTTATTGCACCGCTCCGATCTGTGTGTTTTGTCAACTGTCAGAACTGTGTCAAAGAGAAATGAACGCATCCTCAATTGCTTTTAAAAAAATAATTATATGGTCTGGCTAAGTCGACATACCCCTTACATCTGAAGAATAAATACGAAGATTACGTCTTTGAACATACCTTGGTTTGCAGTGACTAAAAAACAGTTAGCCTTCGTTCAACTCTAATCAGGCTCTGGGCGATTTCGTCCTCAACATTGACTGGAAGGCAGCACCAACGTCTGTCTCGATTGCTAACAGAGGCGCCGAGAATCAATATAAAAGGAAGTCATTCACGAAAGCACGTCTGCATGCTTATTTAGTAGTCAATTTTATTAACCAGCATATGAAATGTAAAAAAAAAAAAAAAAAAACTCAAAACGTAATTAAAATTATAAAGTTTTATAACTTTATAATTAAATCTCTATATATATAAAAAACAAGTGGTGAAAAAAGACAAATTACTACAGTAATTTAATGCGCATAAACTAAGGTGTTTCGAACAGAAAATTGAGAATAATGTTTAGATTACGTTGCTTAAAAAAATGGAGCTGGTTTCCTTGCAGACAAGTCTGAGGGTGTAGCTTAAACAATTATAATCCTTTCTCGTGATATGGGTCCGTTCTTGCTTCCGATTGGACGTCACACAAACCGTGTCCCAATCAATGAAAGAACTGGCAGTTGGCACAGAGAGCTGTGGTGCGTTCAAAGAACTTCTGTACATTATCCAATCAATCGCGCTGAGATGGCGTTTTCGATGTTTAAAAGAGAGAAATTGTTCGAAAATTTCTCAGCCAAATCTAAATAATATTTAATAAGGAAAGGGAAGTTTGGTACTATCTGCTATGTTTAACATGCTATCAAAAGAAATTGCACAAATTATGACAAAATTAGCCATGATTCATGTCTTTTGCCATTTCAACTGAGTTGTTTGGCAATAGCTTGGCAACCCTGACCTATTGTTTGAAATATTAGCTCCCAAACATGTTGTATCGCATTCCAGATATTTAAAGTATACCGTAGCCAACACAAATGATCAGTACTAAATACTGATGAGGCCATTTTTAGTGCGGCCTCATCAGATGTGGAAAACCACAACCTTCCCTTTTATTGTCATTGAGAATAATTTCCTGTGAGCTTAAACAGGAATATATCTGTGTATATCTGCATTATGGTTATTTATTTAATATATGAGCTCAGTCCTGACAGAAAATTAATTTGCTCCAGCAAATGTCCTGTTTTATTCATAGAAATAAAGACAAAAGCAGAGAGTTAATCCGTGCAGTGAGGGCAAAACATTCCCAAACTATGACACTTCCAGCCCGTGGGTCACAGTTAGCCTAATGCTGTGTTTTGTTTACGCAAATCATGTCCAAGAACATTATTGGACATAATTTGCGAAAGATGGTGGTTGTTGTCCACCATTTTTCTGGTGAACTTTAGTCTTGGCCTTCACATTTCTCTTAGAAAGCAAAAATTTCCTCCCTGTACATCCACTAGGAAGTTGAACTTCTGGAGGATTTTTCTAAGAGTGACTTAGTCTTCTCCTATGACCCTGGCCAACGTTGATGTACACTCCCTCTTCTTTTTAGAGTTTATCAAACTTAACATGTTTATATTTGTGGTGGTAAGACAAAATTAGTTACTTCCTGGCACGCCTTTAAAGCTAGTTTACACATCGACTGTCTAATGAATGTCATGGAGACTAGTGATGCAAAGATCCTTTCTGCAGCTCCAGTGATATTTGGAAATGTTTTTGCCTCGTTCTCACTCATCTTGAGGTCTGGTTAAATATCTGTCATTGTCTTGTCTGGGCTAGTACTTAAGAAAAATGTCTCCCTGTGCCACGTCACATTTATACCCCTCGGAAACAAAAAGTAGACAGATTCAAAGTTCCTAGAAGCTCTAATAAAATCAGAAATCTTTTATAAATAAAAAGAAAAAAAAAAATAAACCTCATTGGTTACATTTATTTTACAGGACTTGGAAGTACCAACAACTATACCTTTGGTGATTGTTGTTAAAAACATTTTATGCTTTATGTCATTCTAGTATTTTCTCTGAATACAAAAGTAAAAGTTTACTTTTTCTTAAATTTTCAGGGGGAGATGTTACATTTGCAGAGTCAGATTAATTCATTTGAATGATCTCTACACATTTACACCACGTATGAAAATGAATGTGGCCTTGACTATATATTCACATTCAGATATGCAATATAAGCGATATGGCATTGAATAAGCTAATGTTTTATTATGTATTTGTGTAATTGTCTTCTGAGCTGATTAGCTCATTTTATTTTATTTTCAGTTGTTACATGACCTATTCATATTTGTTATTGAGTGAATTACTTAAAAAAAATAAAATGAAATAATAGAAGTGAAGTTAAATTACTCTGTTGTGTCATTTGATATGTTGAGCACTGGAGCTGCAGAAAGGATCTTTGCATCACTAGTTTTCAAAAATAAAGGGCAGCCGCAATGGTCCCCAATTCTCACAAAGTAACCTATTAAACATGGGTAGTGATTACAGCCAGGTTGGAGTTGATTACTTATAGCGCCATCCTGCAATTTTATTTATCAAAAAAAAAAAAAAAAAAGGATTTATGGCACATAGTTTTCCAAATTCCCATACAACTGCAAAGATGTTTTAGCATGTCAATTCAACCATCGGACACATGATGGCATTGTTGCTTTGCTTATGATAAAAACGCAAAAGCCTCATAGTGGTAGAAAAACATCTATTTATTTAATAACTCGCCGGTGTGTAACGGGATTCTGCCAGCTTCACAGAGATGTTTATCCAATCAAATCAACATTGAGACCATAAAAGCTAATAAGCTTGTAGTCGGACATGACACAGTGTAACACCACTGACACCAGATGCTGCCCCAATAAACTTCACATTAAATTATGGATCCCTTGAGCTTTATTCTCAGTTTATGTGCACTCAGGAAATAATTAAACATGACAGTGTATTTTTATGTACAGAACCTATTATGGATGAGATTTTAGTGAATAGAAATGTTAAAAAGTTAACTTTTGTTCCAATTTTTTCAAAAGATTTCACAACACCGAGTGGTCCAAACAGCTGAGAACGTTCGACTCTCTGAGGATTTCAGTACTCTCTCTCCACGCAGCCCACGCTCGCTCCGTTGTCGGGACACTTGCAGGAGCGGCCCCTCGGCGTCGCTAAACAGAGGTGAGTGCAGCCGCCGTTGTTCACAGAACAGTAGTTTTGACCTGTTGAAGGAGAGCAAACATTAAAGGACACTTATTTCAATAAGAAGCCTGAATAGCACGGAGTAGCAGGAAACAGCCTCTATACATATATGAAACACATCCAAGGGAAACACATAGCAAACTCCAGATGTTGGGGGCCCACTCCCTCCACTGCACATTCCCTCGGTTTGGTCCAGCCTTTATCTAGAGGGGAGTATGAAGCCTGGTGCTTCGCTTTATCATGACTCATTCTTCCAAATAAAAAACATCGAGCTGCAAATTCCTGCTGTTACTTTAAGCTCGTTATGCATGCAAGCTATATTTCTTTTTTGTTTGTTTGTTTTTACCAGTTACGTCTTGCAGTTTGTTTTCTAACTGCAACCTCACCTTCGATCTTAGCTGAAGTTTTGTGCACATTTGTAATGGAAACATAGCTACTGATTAACTGAATTTACTAGTTAGGTAACTGATTTTATAAAGACGCATCAAAGTAATGGGGGTTTAACAGAAATGCACAGCCGAGGTAGTTAAAATCGATTTCACATGTAAAAATCAGCCGATCACCAAGGAAATCGGCACCGAAAAATTGTCTGGTTGATAAATCGGTGCACCTGTACATAAGAACATGAGTCTCAACGTGACAAAGTGTTAAAAAGATGCAGTTTGAAACGTTTTGAAGAATATAAAAGTAATCATTTGTCACATCCATTGAAAAAATGTTGCACTTTTTAAACCTTTTCAAACCGGTTTACTACCTGGAAGACACTGGGCGTAGGCCGTGGTGATCCCGTAGATGTTGGCCCGT